TTAGAATAAAAGAAATAAACTGAAACTATGGTTCCATAATCAGTCATATCACCTACTGACAAGAGTCAATCTTGGTTTGTACAGAGATTCATTAAAGAATTCTATTATTAATTGAGTGGATTGGATAGAGTTCAAGAGACAAAGGATTATTCAAAGATTTATTAAGATGACTTTTAAAAAATATTAGAAGGACTAGGTTTTGGATAATGTGATATGTTGTGGAATGAATTGAATAATGGATTTTACGTATTATCAAGAAACTTGTTGGTTATCCTATTGGCCATCCAAGCAGTGCCACAACACTTAATAGAAATACCCTTGTATAAACCTAAGGTGGAAGAGAACATTTAGGTTAAGTCTAAATATTAATGTGATGAGAATGGAAATCTAATATTGAGTGTTTGCGATTGTTAAGAATTACACAAGATGTTTTATAAACTATATTTGAATACTAAGTAACAGAATGGAAATGGAGTTAGAAGAAGAATGGCTCGTTCTCCATAACCTGAGATCAGATGCGGATCACCCAAGATATCAGATAGAACTAAACAATTGGCTGAAGCTAAAAGACAAGATTCATCATTGTTTGAATGGTTCACTTAATAAGAGGAGAAGAAGAAGCAGGGTTTGGAAGAGTTGAAGAAACAAGTAGAGGAGGAACGAATGAAGGAATGTAAATCCATCACGAGAGAAATTACAATAGATTTACATCAATTAGCAAAGCCTCTCTAAAAGCAGGAGGATAGAACCACTGTGGATGTGGAATTCGATAACCAATAATAGCATTGCACATTCCAACCGCAAATTAGTAAACCAGCATAAAAGACTTAAGCAAGTAATTATGCTGTGTAAGAGATGGAAAAATAGGCAGCCAGAATGAAAGAAGCTAGATTGAGATAGAAGACTCTGGCCAATTTAAAGAATAAGGGAACTACTACAAATAATACTATTAGGAGAAAGGAGAAGTGTATCACTGAAAATGAACTCAACAATGAACCTAAATAAAAGAAGAATAAGAGTAGACCAATTAGTGACAAGAGCTCTCCCATGTTGTATGTGGATGTTAAGATCGAGGATGGTAAAAGTGCTAGAATTGTAGTGTTCGAAGGGGATACTTCAGTCAGTTTGGCCAATAAGTTTGCTAAAGAACATAGTAATAATATTTATTAAACATTAATTAGAATTGGATGAGAATATGAAGGAGAAACTTAAGGACTTGTTGGATTAATAGATTAATTCTTATTTGATGAAGATTGAAGAAGAGTAAGAGTAGGAAGATGACTGATATATATATATATACTAAACATATAAATAATATATTTTAAAATGTATGTCAAATTTTTGACATAGTGACAAGTTCACAATTAAATAACATCGGAATTAAATATTTTTACAGCAATGTTTAATGAAGAATTAGGTGTCATTGATTACGAAGTGGAAAGTGATGATTCAATTTAATTGATAGAAAATCCATAGGATGTTGTCATTCCAACTTCAATATAAGATTAAAAATAAATAACCTAATAATAAATAGTGCAATAACCATAACCATAATAATAAGCAGAATAAACGAACTAAGATAACACAGAAGATATTGAAAGGTAATAACTAGAAGAAGAATAAATGTTGCGTAGACCTTATGCATTAAGATGGAAGAAGAAATCAATTAAGAAATTAGAAAAAATCACTTCTAAAATGACTGATTAAGATTACGAGGAAATTAAAGATGTTTTAACTAAAAAGATAGCAATGTCTGATAATAAAATCATTAATAATAATAATAATAATAATAACAATAATAATAACAATAATGATGTGATCATTTCTGGTTCGATTCTAAAGAATCCATAAACAACACTAAATCAAGTGCAGAAATAGAAATAATTTTAAGTCCTAGTAGAACATTTTGCAAATAAACCTGACTTTCTAGAAGCTATTATTGCTCAAGATTTAGAATAAGAAAATGCAAATTAAGATGGAGGCATTCTTAAAAAACCAATGATTGTACCTCCAAAGGCAGGATTGAAGAAATAATAAGGCAAAAAAAAAGCAAATGTCACCTTTGAAGATCAATCACAACCACCAAATGGAGGCATTCAATTTATTAAAACAAGTGTTCTACCATAAAGATAACCTCCTCCTCCACCATAACCACAATAATAAATTCAAAATATACTGTCCAAATTCTAAGAAATTAGGGAAAAATCAGTTGCTCCAACTTAATCCTAATAAACAACTGCAATCTAAGAAGTGTCTGATGTGCCTTTAGGAACAGGAGCTTGGTATCCAAATAAATAAGATAGAAAGAGTCAACCTTTTATACCACCTCATGCTGGCTCAAATCCTAAAATACTGCCGACAATTAGTTCAGTTCAGATGATCTCTCCATCTTAGGCTGCTTAATAGTCTTTAAATCATAAATTTCTAGGAATGAATCAAAATCAATCCAGACTCAGCAATAGTCCTGCCAGAGTAAGAGATATGATCACATAATAATATACATCTTCATATTAAGTTGATAGACCTCCCATCATGCCGAGCAGACAATAGCCTATATTTTAATAATAGATATTGGAAAAGAACATCACTTATGAACTGAATCAAGTTAAGAAAAATAAGGAACAATTAAGCAGCCATTAACAATCTTAATTGAGAGAGTCTTAAATTAAACTATAAGCTAAGTTATAAGAAAGTGTTAAGAGACAAAGTGTTGCTTAGCCAACTATAGAGGAAAATGATTCTGATTTTTTGGATGAAGTCATGGATAGTCAGGCTTTCATCGATTTCAAGAGAGCTGGCAATTTGATTTGTGGATCTTAGTAATCAATACAATAGTAATATTGGCAAGAAATTAATTTTAATACCGACATTCCTAAAGATTATTATATGAATGAAAAGTTTAGGGTTGATGTGGGAGAAGACATTGAAACCTGTGATCCTTATGAATTGTTTAAATTGTATTTTGATTAAAGCATTTTCAAGTACATCTGCCAAATATCAAACAAACGCTAATGCATTAGAATTGATGAAGATATTTTGGAGTCATTTATCACAGCACTTATCTACATTTTCTATATTTAATTGTTGGGTATGAGAGAAATCAAAAGAGTTAGATTTGATCACATACTAGATTATGTGACATTTGGCCATATTTGTAAGGAAATTCGGATTGATGAATTAGAGGATTATTCCTTCATTTTTGAAAAGATAAGTAAGAATTTCAAAAACAATTACCAACCGGAGGAATTCTTAACTCTCGACTCACCTATCTTTTATCAGAATCATAGTGTGGAAGGTCTCATCTCTCTTTCTGATGGAATGAAAGGGTATGTGTTAGACTTCATCTATGGAATCAAAGATTAAAAAATCCTTTAAAGCCTATAAAAATATTAAGGCAAACATCATAAACTGTATTTAGGTCCTGATGTTTCATCTTTGAGTCTGATATCTCAATTGAAAAAGAAATAGTTTGGTTCATTGGCAAAGTTAGTCGACAAACAGGTATATACTTAATTATATTTAGACCCAATTGACTTAAGAGTAGACTTAAGAGGTGAAATAAAATGCTTAAAAAGGTAAAAGCACTTAATTCTTATCATCTGACAATCAGACAATTATGCTTATTTATGCAGAAAGACAATAGCATTTATAATAAGTTGAGGGATTCGTATCCTCATTTGCTGATTTCACAAGACTCAAACCTCAAGATACTAAGATTAAGAGTGATGTCAACAAACCCATCATCCTATATCTTTATGATAAAATAAAGACTTAATATGATAAACGAGGAAAGACTTATCAATATTCATAAATACCTCATCAAGATGCAAATCAGCATTTGGAAATTCTAGTTTAATTAGTCTATTCAAGTATTTACAATGCTAACATTTTAAATAAATCTAAAAATTAATCAACTACAATGGCCCCAGAAAAAGCAAAATAAATGTATCTTGAATTTGTGAAATAATTGCTACACTCTCTCTATGTGCGAAGCTTTAAACGCAGAGGTATTAACTAATTTCCATAGAATCACACTCTGGAATCTGGTGACACTGGAACATTTAGTTGTATAGAATGTGGAGAATCTAGTTAAACTATTTGTAGAGAATGTTCAAATCATTTCTAAATGTTGATTCCTGTTTGCAGAAGTAAGAATGAGCAATGCTTGAAATCACATATAGAAATGCTAGTAAATCAACCAAAAATAACAAATCCAAATAGAAAACTTACAAATAAGCAAGCCATAGTCAAATTTGAATTCTATCGTTCTCAAATTGAGGCTTCAAGGGATGCCAATGCCAAATCTGCTTTGCCAGTTATAGATGACACTTTACAATAATTGGACAGTTTGGATCCTGATGAAGAGTTATCAATTGGAATCCAAACTTTATTGGTTTCTTTGTCAGATTTGATACAAAAAATGTTCCAATAACCTAACATACTAGTTCCATAATAGAAAGCTTAACAAAACAGATAAGAGATCTATTCTTTGAGTCAAGTGGATCCGCCAATTAAATCAGCATAACAACTATCGAAATCTATTTCTTAGGTTTATAACTATTAATAGGATGCTGTTCAAAGTTCTTAGGTTGTCCCTCAATTAATAAAAACTAAAATTGGAGAATAAAAGAGCATTGAACCTGCAATCCAGAAATTGTAAGCTAGAGTGGCCAAGATTAATAAATGATACATATATAATAATATTATTTTTATTAATTATCAGCATTTATTTATAACTTAGAATGGTTATACAAATGAAACAATATTGCTATAAGATGAAACATTGACTATTTAATATATAAAATATTACTAAAAACTGAAAGTCATTTCTTATTTGTGGTTTATAAATATATATAGATATATTAGATATGATCTCGTCACTTCTCTATAATCATTCAGTAATTTTCAATTCTTAGTTTAATTGGATAAATGGAAAATATATTGTATGATTGTTATGGTTATGTAACAGTATTTTTATAAATTTAGGTTATAATTATTATATGCTAAATAAAGCATTAACTTATTGTCTTTAGGATGATGATCCAATCAGAATTTCTGAATTAATTGGTGTTCGAGAATATCAAAAATAACCAAAACTAATTCAGAACGCCTTTGTGACCTCTTCAGATTTGAAATAGATGATACATAACCAAAAGAGAGAGAACAGTGTTCAATCACATAGAAAAATTTAACATTTTGATGCTGACTTAAAACCAATCAATAGAACATTCGATTTTAGATTACCATTGAACCTTAATCCTTGCCGAAAATACATGAATGTGAAATATGTTCCAGAACCTACAAAACCTAGTCAACCAAAACTTTACTTTGGAATCAAGCATTAATAATTTAAAGTAAAAATATACTTATAATGAATTTTAGATAAAAATCAAAATGCAAGGTAAACGATTGGAGGACATGTTCTGAATATTAAACTTTGACTAATTAATTTATTAATTTTTTATTTGCTCATGAATTTTAACAGATAGGAATTACTTAATTTGTAAAATAGAATATTTAATCGTCCCAAGAGGTTGAATTCTGTTTATGTAGCACCAACCTTGGATGATATTGGAATCTTAGCAGAATTGCCAAACAATAAAGTCTCAAATTTAGGATTCAAGTAACAAAGTGCATTAAGAACTTAACTCAAAAAATATCGAAATTTATTTCTATATGACAAGAAGCTCTTTAGAAACAGAAGAGAATCCAGAGACTTCAAAGAAAATGCAGAAAATAAGGGATCAATTCACCATATCAATAGTTCTAAGCAATCCTAATTGCCTCTTTGGGAAGATGATATGAAAATCACCAAATTAAGCATTATGAAATCTGAAATATTACGAAGCAAGATTCCAGACATCCCAAAACATATTAATAATACTCAATCCAATTGTCCTAGGAGATTATCTCACATCAACCCAGAACCAATCTAATACAAAAACTTAGTAGTTTTACCCTCTATTAGAGGCTGGGACAACAACAACCAAAACTCTTAGAGATCAAACTGAACTATTACTATTTATTAATAAATTTATGTAAAATAATATCACATTATCTGTGGACTATAAAATCCCTATTCCTATTTAACATGACAAATAGCGTTTACTAATCACTTTATTGACAAATGAAGAGATCATAGTCCAAGTTTATTAGTCAATTGATGAAGAACGAGCAAAATTCAATTCCTAATTTACTATAATCAATCTAAAATTAAATCAAACTAATTAATATCAGTATCTCTCTCTTATATTAGATCGATAGATTTAAAGATGAAGTCTTTCAAATTAATATAATTGATGAACAATACCTATCCTTTTTAGCGTATGAAAAAGATAATTTAATGTTCCTCAATTATAGAAATGGAGAATTTAGCAATAAATACAAAGGTTGTTTATATTAACTGCTTTTTCATCCTTAAGTGGATCTGTCAATTAAAGAATACAGAGATTTATATTTTAATCAAGCCCTTACATATAGTATCAACAAAAATTCTGTGATTGCTCTAGTTTGTGATTTTCGAGTAACCAATAAGAAAGAAGTGCTAGTGACAATTTTAAAGAATAGCTAAATTCTACAAGTTTATAGCTTTTTTAGAGAAAATGGAAGACTTGGTAAAATGTTGCTTTTTTGTGTAATTAATCCATTCATTTTAGTTAGACTAAAACTTTATAATTGCTTAATCAATAGTAGAGGCATAATAATTAAATTTTATCATTTTGAATGAGGAGGGCTTTAAAGAACATTCTGTAAAATTAACAATAAGTGAAGATACAAGCATTGTAAAAATATTCTATAGAAAAGATAATGTAATATATTATATTGGATATTTTATAGATTATTTTTTTATTGAATGAAAACAATTTTGGACACCCTTGGGTTGTAATTGTGGATTCAAATACTCTCCTACTGAAAAAGTGCATAGAATTAACATTAAAGATTGGTGAGAACTAATTTGCAGTGATATTAGATGTAAAAATACAATTATAGTCTTAGGCATTTTTATTGAATTGTCAATAATTATTTATATACTATGAAATGAACATTGCAGGAATGTACAATGAATAGTTTTTATAAGCAGTTGATTTTACAGAAGGCTTTTAGAAATTCATAATTAAAGATTATATTCAATATCCTGAAACATCAGTTGCTAATATAGTGGCATCGGATTGTGGGTTTGTGACTGTTCCCAGAGCTGTGGAAATAGGCACAATTTAAGATAATTATTTAGAATTTGATGTCTCTCCCATATCCATCTAAAAAGGGGATACTATAGAACAAAAGATCAAAAAATTAAATTAGGAATCACAATTAGTTTATTACAATAGATTACCCAATATACTGTGTTATGCATACCATTTTATGGCAAAGAGAGGACTATTTACATATTAGAGTGATAATGATTTTTAGTATATTGCAGGAGAGATTATAAAGAAAATGAAATCCAAAAAAACAAGCAATCAAATTTAAATAGAATGATCTTAAAATTTGTGATAATGGAAAGAATGATAATAATTAATATAATTTATATTGTGGCTCAATAGTCTTCTTGTAAAAATCCAGCATCTCTTTTGGGGAATGAATTGCATGAATCAACATGAATTTCACTAAGTTGAACATAAATATGTACAATCCATTTCTGCAATTCCATACATCATGTAATTTTTCATCTTGAATGCACCAGTGTTTCTAGCAACATTATGATTTATGTAATCCTGCACAAACATGACCATCCTATTTTTTGCAATCCTTGTGACATGAATCATTCTCTGCAGTTGATCTCACCCATTTCTTATCATTGCTTGTGATAGGAGGAGCCATTGTTGCTGATATTATACCAATCAATAGAAGAACCAATAATAATCTCATTTCCGTTTTTATATTAAATTATTAATTCAATTTATTATATAAAATAGAAAAGAAATTCATTCAATGCTTTTTCTTTCAATTTTCATTTTGTAATAAAGTTAATTATTTATAATAATATACAATCATTAAAAATATAATAGATAATATTCTAAAATTGCAAAAGGAGAAATATTGTACATCCCAATTATATTCCTTCAGAATTCAATAGATTTTTACTTTAAATAAATAAATCAGAAATGTAAAATAAGGTAATTAAATTTGAAAATGGAATCTAAGCAAATTGATTGGTTTAAACTTTCTGATTTAAATCACTTGATATGTAATAAAGGTTATAGATTTGCCAAATATCGCGATTTGGTAACTTCATTAGAGAAATATATTTCTTTTGAATCACCAGAGGAATACGAAGAAAAAATGTTCCCCTTGTTTCAAAATGAAAATTATTAGGGCTTACAAAAGGAAATGGCAATTCATAAAAAAATTTTTTTAACATCATCTTCTTATCCACTAAAATTTAGTGTTATGATTGATGAAGATTAACAACCCAATTTCCTTTCAGGTATTAGGCTACAAGTAGTGAAACAAATAAAGGAGCAGAAAAATAAGATCAATTCATGGAAGTTTTAAAGGTATGGACAATATTTAACTTTTAAAAAATCTACAACATTTATAGGCGGTATATTCATTAAGCAAAATAAGGAATAAATTTACTAAACATTATGTCTACATATAAAAAAGGATAAGCAAGAATTCATAATATTACCATACACGAGAGATGTTATAAACAACTTCGGGTATATATAATTGAATGGAAGGGACAATATTATAAATTTAAAAAGAAAATAATTTATAATCAATTTTATTCCATTAAGTTCTCCAAAAGTGTACTTGAATGAAGTTAGAACAATATTTAGACTTTATAGTTGCAGTTTTCATTAACTTATATTAAGACCTTCAACAAAAAATAACGAATAAAAATTGACTGCATTTGGAAAAAATGCAAAGTAGATTTTTTAAAGGGCAAAGCAAAATAGCAACTTTACAAGACATTTTGATAAATCGTAGTTAGAAGCTATAGGAAGTGCTATGGATTTTGAATAAAAAGTAATTTATTATCAGAATAATAGTTTACATTAATTGAAGGTCCTCCAGGAACAGGAAAAACCTAAACCATTTTAGGTATCTTATCAATTTTCTAGAGTTTATTAAAAGAATCTAGGAATGAGGACAAGAAGGATGTAATTTTAATATTAGGAAAATCCAACGGAATAGTAAATGATTTGGTGAGGAAAATTAATAAAAGTATAGAAACACAAAATTCTATAATCTATTGCTCGGAGGAATAACCTTAATCTCTTAAGGTACTTCGATATGGTAGACCAGATTTATGTGAAAATGATATAGCCAGATATAGTGTAGAGATTCGTTCCTAATAGAAATTCTTTTCATAATTTAAAGTTGAAGTTACTAAAATATTTTAACTACATATCACATCCGATATAAGTTAAGAATTAAAGAACGAGTAAATTTAAGACTTTTCATCTTTTTTGATGGAAATAGATGAATAAAACAACATTTATACAAATGAACCACCTTAAATAAGTATAGTTTAGCTCATGAAATATATTGAGTATCTAAATTTTAGAATTAAAAACAGTGTATTAATATTAAAGGCTTTTGGACATGTTTTTAAGGATTTGCATAAATTGTTGAAATCTAAACTAAGCATATATTTAGAAATACAAGAAGAGATTTTTAAATTTGTATATATTAATTATTAATAATAGCGTCATATTATAGCATCTACATTAAATAGTTGTAACCATAATAAATTGCAAAATGAGTTGTAGAATGTAAATTTGAGAATGTGCATAATTGATGAGGCTCCAACAGCTTTAGAACCATCATAGTTGATTCCATTTATAGAATATAACAATATAGAGAAAATAGTCCTAGTTGGAGATACTAAATAATTGAGCCCTATTGTCATAGCAAAAGAATCTGAAAGTAATCATTTAAATCGTTCCTTATTTGAAAGAATGTTAAATTGCATTTAGTCTAAAAAATTGACAGAATAATATCGATAAATGCCAAACCTAGCAGAAATTACATCTAAAATTTTTTATTCGAATTCTCTTAAGAAAAGTAAAATCTAAATGTAGATTCCTACTTATATTGAAGCAAGAATAAGTCCTAATAAAAACAGTTTTTTTTTCAACACACCTTATAATACAGAAGAAATCAAGGATTCTAGTTTTAGAAATGTCCTAGAGTGCGAGGCAATAATTTAATTAGTAAAATATATTTTGAGTGTGGAAATCAAATCGAAAAAGAATAAAATAATATCAATTATAAGTCCTTACTAAATGTAAAAAGAACTATTGAGATTGAGATTAAAATAATAGTATCTGCTCAATTATGTAGAAGTAGATACAGTAGATTCCTTTTAAGGGAAAGAGAATGAAATTGTTATTCTATCTCTAGTACGTTCAAAAGAGTAGATTGGATTTTTATATGATAAGAGAAGAGCAAACGTGGCATTATCGAGAGCTAAATACTGTTAATATGTTTTTGGATCTGAAAGCACTTTTATTTAATAAGGGAATAAAAGCTTTTGGAGATAAATAATATAATTATATTAAGATTAATCTCGAATTATTGACTATGATGAGGAGAGTTTGAGGGATCCGAATTTCTTCCAGTACAAATTGAATGGATGATAATCTATTTTCAATTAAATTATAATACAAATATGATTCTATTCGAATTCATTATTAATTAAAATAATTATAACACAAACATCAATTATTAAATGGGAACTTGCGGTGGTATATGCGGATAGAGTAATCCTGAAAATACAATTGTTAAAATATAATAAGTTAATATGGGTGATGTTGACAATTAAATTGAAATGGGATTATAAATGGGAGATGAAGGTGTTCCAATTACACATTAATAAAGAGTTGAAGAAACAGTGAATTAACCCAACCCAAACAATTAAAATTAAGTATATGAGGCATAAAAGAGACTTTCTTTCAAATTTGATGAAATTAAAACTTAAATATTATAGGAGTCAGTACTCGATAAATGTGAGCCTGTAACATTGGAATCCGGAGCCATTTATACTGGGTAATGGTAAAATGAGTAAAGACACGGTTGGGGAAAGCAAGTTTGGCCAGATTAATCAGTTTATGAAGGAGAATGGGTAAATGATAAGGCTTGTGGAAAAGGGAAATTGATACATGCTGATGGAGATGTGTATGAAGGTGAATGGGTTAATGATAAAGCCAATGGATTTGGTAGATATTATCATAGTAATGGAGCAACGTATGAGGGGGAGTGGAAGGATGACAAATAACACGGTTATGGAGAAGAAAAATGGCCAGATGGTTCAAAATATAAGGGATAATATGAAGATGGAAAGAAACATGGTTAAGGTTTGTTATAATTTGTGGATGGATCATTTTATAATGGAGAATTCAATTAGAATGATATACATGGAAAAGGTAGTGTATTTTAGTGAATATAAGGTCGATATGTTTGGGCAGATAAAAGAGAATATGAAGGAGAATGGAATAGCAACAAAATGCATGGAGTGGGAGTAACCAAATGGCCAGATGGAAAAATATACGATGGAGAGTAATTTATTGGAGATAATTGTTTCTAGATATGTCGATGACAAAAAAGATGGTTTTGGTACATTCATTTGGCCAGATGGGAGAAAGTACGTTGGATAATGGGTGGATGGCAAACAACATGGGAGAGGAATCTTTACTAAAGTAAGTGGAGAAAGTCGTCAAGGCGAATGGATTGATGGAAAAAGAATCCGATGGATGGAACTGGAGGAACAATAAACCAATTGAAAATTCTCTCAAATACATTATAAGCTTATTTGCATTAAACTTATATTTATACTAGAATTATAATAAGAAAAATATGTCTAAGGAAAATTATAATCCATCAATTTAGGCTGAATAAATTGATATAATTAGAAAAAAACCTAGTCTCAATTGTCAGCCAGAATAGAATTACTAAAATGATCAGTATTTCTTATTTTTATTAAATAACTTCTCATTTAGAAATGAATTATAGAATATGAAAGCATGCAATTAAGAACCTATTTTTTTTGAAGTCCCTAAAGTGGAATAGAAACTTAGTTTATATGATATCATAGTAGTAAAATAAATAGAATCCAAACAATTAGGCAAATTGTATACACTATATTTATCAGTTAGAATTCATGCATCTCATTAATTAGGAGGTGTATTTTTATTTATTGTAAATGCAGTTAAAATACTTGGCTTAAATAAATTCACTGTTGTTTCATTTACTATAGCCATCTTGATCATTATATCGTAACAAATAAATATTTTACAATGAGTTCTCTACTTTGGATTTTTAGTGTTGCCATCGGAACGATTGGTATCAAAAGACAAAAGTATAATTCCCTAATCTTTTATTTTTTGGGAATAACTGTATCATTTTTCATTGAATTTTCAAGTACTATTGTTATTTTAGCAACAAATCATATTGCCGATCATTAATTAGGGATCTATAATAAAAATGTTGTAATAAGGTTAAAGTAACAAATATCTCATAGAATAATCATATTCATGACACTTGAGTTTATGGTAGTTCTCTATTAGCTCTTGATGCTTAGATCTGTGGGTCAAATCAGACAATTATTTATTGACATTGAAAGATTATAAACGGAGAATCAAAGTAATAATGATATCGAAATCTAAAAAATGTTATGATAATTATTCCCATTCTTTTATTTTCGACCCAATTTTATCAATATTCATTCTATTTTCCTTATACATCATTTTTAATATTAATTTATAGTTTTAATTTATGGGTAAAAAAATTAAAAAGGGAAAGGAAGGACCAGTCAAAGAATATGTATCCAGAACCAAAGCTCTCAAAAAACTCTAAGTCAATCTCAAGGATTTCAGAAGACTTTGCATCTTAAAAGGAATTTACCCAAGAGAACCACCTTAGAAATTGAGAAAATAACACAAAACTTATTACCATAACAAGGATATTGCTTTCCTTAAAAATGAGTCTATACTTGATACTTTCAGACAAAGACAGGCTCATTTAAAAAAAATAAGAAAAGCATTAACTAGAGGTGACAAATTAAAGGCCGGAAGATTACGAAGAAATTAACCAAAAGACAAGTTGGATCACTTGGTCAAAGAAAGATATCCAACCTTTATAGATGCATTGAATGATCTTGATGATCCATTATGCTTAGTGAGTCTATTTGCTTCATTTCCTACACACAAGGAACTTCACATTCCTAACACCTTAATAAGAAGCTGCTAAAAATTGATCAACCAATTCTTATTATATGTATCAGCCAATAATTGCTTGAGAAAAGTAAGAGTTTTCACCTTATACTTTAGGTTTTCCTCTCTATTAAGGGTATCTATTATCAAGCTGTAGTCTAAGGAGCCACTATTACTTGGATTATGCCATATCCAATTCAAGCTTCTTTGCCATTAGATGTAGACTATAAAATTATGATGACATTCCTTGAATTCTATCAAGTTTTGATGAGGTTTGTCAACTTTAAACTTCTAGGTTAAGAAATTGAAATTACTGACTTCAGCGAAGAAGTTAAAAAATTGAAATCACTCTCATAAAACAATCAGTATTTTTTATTTGTTAACATAAGGATTGAAATTGATGAAGCATTTAAAGAAGATCCAACAATCTAATAGATGGATTAATAATAATAAGAAACCAAAAAATATTCCGAACTATTCAAAGGCTTAACATTTTTCCTTTATCCAGAAGTTCCTAAGGCATCCTTAGAATTTGTAATATTGAGTTTTGGAGGAGAAGTGATGTGGGAGAATGATAATAAAAATTCATAATTAACTGACCCTAAGATTACTCATATAATTACTGAAAGACAAATTTAAAAGAATAAAAAGAGAGAATACATATAACCATAATGGGTCTATGATTCAATTAACTAATTAAAATTATTGAGTGTAGCTGATTATGCTCCAGAATCAGTAATACTTATTAATATTATTTTAGACTCTCCCTCCTCATTTAAGTCCATTTGAATAATTAAACTTAGAAGAAGTCCAATCAGAGAGTGAAGAAGAAGATGGACAATAGAAGGAACACAAGCCTTATTAGAATAACAAAAAACAAAAGGAAAGATAGGCTAAATAATAAGAAAAAGAGACCAAGAAGTTAGCTGAAACTATGTTGAGCAGAAAGAATAAGAGATTGTATGATATGATTAAGAGAAAAGAAGACGAAGAGAAATAAAAGAAAAATAAATTATAAGAAAAGAAGAAAATGATACAAAGTAAATAATAATGAATTATAAATATTTGATGTTTATAAAATTACAAATTTTAATTTATATCTTATCATAGATATTCATTTAATACAATCTACTATCACAATATTTTTCTCTTATTTTAGTGAAACTTCAAGAGTACCTCTAATTTTCGCAGTATGTTCAATATAAGAAAGCTAATTAATCATTTAGTTATGTAATTTAAACCACAATAATAGCAACATTATTATAGAATGAATTTCGTTGTGCTGTCCAATAGAATTATCTAAATTATAAGAAGAAATAAAATTGAAAAATCTCTTCATTAAATCTTAACACCAAATCCAAATCCTATACTTTTTTGTATAGATTAATCTTAATTTTAATCTATGAGCAAGTATACAAAAAGTGTCTGCTTTTAGTTTCAATTTATAATAATGAAGATAAATTCTTTCGTTACCGAAAACTAACTTATTGTAATTTTTGATATTAAAATAATCTTTAAAACATTTCTTAATTTAGCTTTATGTTAATTGAACTTCACTAAAATCTCAATAATTATTTCTATAATGCATTTGTCAAAGTAACAAATATATATATTTCTAATTATTAATTTATCAACAATATTTTTAAAAACCTCTTTTATAGAGGTTTAAGCAAAAGAACACAATATTTTAGATAGGTGAACTTTGATAAGTTAATCGTATTCACATAGATAAAAATTGGATTCCAATTAAAGAATTAACATCAAAGATTATTTGAACTTATACTTATAAGCATATATTTGAAGAAATGATGCTTGTTAAGCAGAATCAGGGTTAATTATAAGTTTAATTATTTAACCAATCTCAGTTGCAGAGCATGGTTAATTTTCCTCAATTTTAAGCTTATGACAGAAATTATAAAGTTAGCATGGTTAATCATAAATATGAAGTAGATTCCTGCATGAGTAACCAGATATATTTAGATAGTTCTTAAAGAATAGGATTTCTTATGTCTTCTGATTGAAAATATCAATTATGATATGGATAGAGTAATTGAATTTCAGGATATTATGAGATTGTGTATAATAGGAACCAGTGGTTAATTCAAGCAAAAAGCATCTTAATATCCAGATCCTGCTCGATTGGAATCTATTGCTCTATTTCATAATGAGTAATAATGGAATAATAGATACCAAGTGTTTCGTATGCTTTAAATAAACATGATAATAATAGTGGCCCTTATTCTTTTGAAGTTTAATATTTTAGCTGATTATATATGTTGAGTTCAGGATATTTTATATAATTATTTTAAATATAAATGTTATCAGAAGATAATTGTCATCTCTTTGATTAGCATAGGCAATCTATGAAAACTCACTTATTTGGACCTGAGAGAAGTTTAAACAAAGTAGTAGCTAAGTAATTGGAGGATGATTTTAAGAAAAAGTAGTCGGTTTCTTTTAAGGATGAAGATGATATCTTCATCGTTGAAAATTGGAAGGAGTATAACGTAGATGTGAGTAGTTCAAATTTCCTTTAGAAATAAAAACAGAAATCTAATTCTTAATGTTTCAATATTTGCACTACTTTTTGATTTTATTTTTATATACTATAATAATTCATTTTTAATTAGAATTTAATAGTGTTATTTATCAAATTATAGTTTAAATATTTTTTGGAACAAAGAATTCTTAACATTAATTAATTTATACAAACAAGAAAAACAATAGTTAAAAATGCCAAACACTTCAATAAATGGTATTGCTCACTAAAAAAAATCAGTTTAATTCAGCGAATAACCAACCGTTCACATTGTTGAAAATTGGAAGGAATTCAATTATACTCCTAAGGAGATCAAAAATAAAAATCGATAAATGAAAGTAGAAAAGATAGTTATCAGAACCGATTTGGAAAATTATATGATAGACAAATACAATAAAGTTAAATCTGCACTAAAAGAATTGGCTAATTCATGCTCATTTATATGAGAATTTTTGAGTTTTTATATGTGTAATGTTGTACTATTTTTATAATAATTTAAAAAAATAATTCTTCAGTTCTGAAAACTTTTTGAAAATTTTTATGAAGTTGTATTAAGTTATTGGCAAGATTAACGCGTCATAAAGTCTTATATAGCTTAACTTATAGATCCCGTTACTTTTGGGGGCACAAATAGCAAAGGCTCTTGTTGATGGTATATTTTAGTATTACTGTCCATGATATCAGAGCATACCATTTTGAGTGGAGGGTTGTCATAATTGAATGTTGATGTATTTTTATGATGAGTAGTCGGATATTACAAGTCTGCCTTATTCTATTTAATGCTACTGTTAATTAATTAAATTTCCTTGATCAAGTCAGGATTGTGGAATATTTTAGCTTAAGGTTTACTTTAATTATTGACTATTGCCTGTTGTCTACTACAAAGCATCATGTATTGCTAATTATAAACAAAATAGAAAATAGCATTTTTATTATTAAATTGCTTTGAGGGGTTCATATAAATTTAACAGTCTAATTTGTATTTTTGACTAAAATTAAAGATGGGAATGTATGTTCTTGAGTATATCAATTCTATTTAGAGTTCTCCATAGACATTCTCTATAAATGTTTAGTCGTAATGACTCAAAGTATTTGATGGAATTTCAACTAATTCTGAGTCAAACGATATTGGATTAAATTGAATATTATCTGAACCAAAATTCAATTAAATCGAGTGAGATTTCATCTGTGTTAGTATTGTTTTGCAACTTAAATAATTGAAGCTGATCACTTTATTTTATAGGAGTGGTAAGTCAAATATTCTAGGAGTTAACTATGATATCGGCTTCATGATAGTGAAATAACCATCTTCAGAATATGTGGCGATCATAAATTGTAACTAAATTTTTTTGTCCTCTTAATATGAATCTGAAATCATATATGCAAAGGATAGTTTAAGTTGCTTGATTTGTGATTTGATTAATGGTTTTATAGATTTGTATATGATATCAGTTGGTATATAGGAGCATATATACTTTAACTATGAATTAAGTATGGAGACTTCTTACTATAATTCATTGTTTGAATAATGGGGTTAAGTGAATAACAAATGATTTTCTCTTATCTAAGTTTGGAATTGTGTAAAGAAATCACTGTCTAGTTAAGCAAAAAATGCAGGGGAATCTGTCTTATTGAATTCATTGAATGATTGATTCTCAGGCATTTCTGAGAATTACATTTCTTATGATAGAATAGGGGAATAATACTTTCACAATCGCATATGATAAGGGGATATGAAAAGACTTTTAGTAATCGTAAAAATTAGTTCACTTTTTATTTGCCATCAATTGTTAAATTCATAACTAAATAATATGAGTGAGTATGAATAATTATTATAAATTTAAAATGAATTATTTTATAAGAATATATATTAAATTAATACTTCAATCTCAGAAATATAGGAGATGCACCAAAGTTGTTATATATTACATTTAAAAACAAACTAAGGGGGGGAACTATTCGATTTGAATGTTGTAGCCTTTAAATTACTTATATCAGAGAATAGTATACTTTAGTTAGTCATAGAATGATCATTTATTTGGAATCAATTGTATTGTAGAATATTCAACTTATGTCTCTTTTTATATAAACATTTAGTTGGAAGTGATGGGATTGCTAAACTAAATCATTCAATTAAAAAAAAGAAAGAATGTATAAGTTTTATTTATCTATTTATTTCAATAGCAAAATACTTTCAAAATTTTACTTAGTACTTTGGCTTTAACTGGTTGTGGTGGGTATCTTTCTCCATCTATACTCAATGGACAATTAGTAATAGGTTCAAATGTATATTCTTATACTTTTTCATATTTCCAATTTCCTTTAGGTTTTACATTTCCCTATTCATCAATTTCTACATGACTACCATCGTATTATTTCAATGATAATTTGACTAATTGTGACCAATCTCCTGCCTCTAGATATTATACATCAATCAATCCATCATCTATTTTAGCTGCAGGTGCTGATAAATAATTATCACTTATGTAAGGTATCTTCTATGCTAAAAAATACCTAAAGATCATTTATTGATTATTGTATTTTGCCTCATATTTTTTTTAAAACAAAGCTCTCCATGTTCCATATACATCAAATCTGGCTCCTCCCAAAAATCTTAGTGATTCAGATCCTAAATCAACCTCAGAAATAAAAGCGTAGGCTAACGATAAAAATGAGACCACCTTCTTCTGAGGCATTTCTAATAATATAAGATCCATTTGTCTGGTGAGTCCTTTAGCTATTAGAAGAGCACAGCTTTCCGAATTGCATTCTAATTGTGATATTTTGGTTAAGGTTTTAGCAAATGCATTTCCACTCCCACCCGGTAGTACCCCAATAGTAACAGATTGCGATACTTATTCCCAATCAGGCCTTGCATATAATGCATTAATAGCCTCATGTGGTAGTCCATCCCCTGAGACAAGCACAACTCCATAAACATTTGATAGGTCTTCTTTCAATAAATAGTCATGGCAATGATTTTGATATTATGTCATTATGACTTAGTATTTTACATTGAATTTATCAAGAATTGGTTTGGCTTTATTCCATTCTCTCAAAGCATGACCTTTTCCACTTGCTGGATTAACAAAAACCAATAACTATTTTGGAATATCCATTTAATAAGTTTATAATTTAATAATAATCAATATTTCTCCACTAGTTTATCATTATGCCATATCCCAGATACTTTCTCATTTTTTTTGTAAAGAGTTCCAATCCCATTTTTTTGATTTTTATCAAAATTTCCAACGAAATAGGAGTCATCCTCATAATATTCAATGCCAGCACCATTTTTCAATCCATTTATGAATTATCCTTGATAAGATAACTTGCCTTCTTAATAAAATTTTCCAAATCCATGATAAACATTATTTCGCCATTCTCCCTCATATTCAAGCTCAGTTGTAAAGTATGAACCAATTCCTTCTTTCTAATTTCCATTCATTTAGCCAACATATCGATAGTTTTATCCTCTAATTGTTATAGGAGTGTCTGATCGAAGTCTTGACAAAGAGTGAGAGGAGGCATTGAGATTTTAAATTTTAGGCTGAATTAATCTATAATCAAATTCTCTAAGAGAAAATAGAAAAATAATAAAACTTTTTTGGATGTCTTTAAGGTGATTGCTATGTAATATTTCTATCAATATTTCGAGCTGGATGATTTCCCTAAGGAAGTGAACGGTCTTTTGGATATATCAAGATATCATACAATCAGTATTGGCATTCATTGTTGATTTTAATAACAAAATAAAATTTATATGTATATTTATGAAATCAATTTTATTAATGAGTTTGCATACCTGCAATATCTTTAATTTTCTTCATAATTTGAGGATCAGTGTCATTATCCCATTGAGCCAATTAAATTCTCTCTTACATTTTATCAAGAGTATCCTGAGAATGATAATTTCAACATAATACTTTGAGCATTCTAGCAAATTCAGCTGACATCTCTTCAATTTTACGTTTCAATTCACTAATTTCATCATCTTTCTTCTTCAATCTGTATTCATAATCTTTAACCATGTCTTGAATATATTATTCTTTGTTCTCTAAATTTGATTAAGATTAATAGGTTACTTATGATTTCTTCTTTTTCTACATCAGTGGATCTTAAATCAGTAATTTATTTGAGTAATTCTTCCTGCATTTATTTATATTGTCTAGTCATATCTGATCTAAATTATGAATGGACAATCCTCATACACAATGCAAAATAATTTGTCTTTCTCCTTCTTCAAATCATTTTCCATTTCCATCACTCTGGCTCTGATCTCATTTTCAGCTGCTTTGGCTTTATCACCTCTTTCTTGTTCCTCCACTTAAATTTAAATTAATGTTCCTACCGAAACGAGTCTAGAGAGCTCTACATTTATGTTCTAACACCATAACCTTTTCTTCTTCTTCTCTCTCTCCATCGTCTCCTCCCTTCTTCTTGCCTCCTTTCTTTGACATGTTTATTTTATATATTAAATATATATCATATAATTTTTATTATAACTGTTTCATGATCAATTGAGTAATACTCGCTTTACTGTTTATTATTCATCGTCAATCTAAATCTGCTTAAATCATACACTCCTTTCTCAGTAAATACTCCTTCTAAACTCAGTACTTTCATCTCCTATGGCTTCAAAGTAATCTGGTGTTGCAAAATGCCTTCCCACAAAAAGAATGGCTACTAAATGTCATTAATTGACCTTATTTAATTAATTTATTGTACTTCAAGGGTTCATCCCCGTTAAACAAGGTCACAGTAAAACTTATAGACTCTACATACTTAGTATTTTTGAAACTAATCTTTATCGGAACCATCGTAATCATATCCTGAAGTTAGACTTCAAAGGGAGCTATGATGCCAAAAGACATAGGGAATTCTTTCACATCCCTATGTAAATAATTTTATTGCAGAACTGGCAATTCATGCAATCCATATACTATTTCATCCTCATATCTGTACGTCCATCTTGCTATTATGAATAAAGGGAATTCGTCCATCTTTTAATTCTACAACTTTTGATAAAAAACATTGAAGTAATGTTATATATCCAGATTTACAAAATCCAATGCAACATCTGCAGGAATGTCTTGATCACCCAATATTATCTCATTGAAATTGTCACCCTCCCTATAGAATCTCTCCTTTAGTCTATTTTGATATTCTTCGTATCGATAATCCTTTGTTTGGATCTTCTTCAACTTAAAGGTAGTCAGAAGAAATGGATCACCACTTGATTGATAAGGAATATCAAAATATTTCCAATTCTCGTTCAAACATAGAATTCTGTCAAATCTTAAATTGCCTTTCCCTCCAAAATAGTCTTGAACCTATAATGTAAATTTCCAATAATCCACTATCAAATCTGTTTATAATGATATCTTGAAACTGGGGTCCACTTTCATTGGAATCTCCAATTTCTAAATTCTAATTCCTCCACTCTATCCTTATTAATACTTAAACAATAATTGGCCAACAAATTCCTCTTAAAAGCTGCATCTCAAATAAAATTAATATTCCAAAACTTAAAAGGCACTTAAGATTATCTTTTTCTCTTCAAATCCAAAATGATAAGGTATTATGGGAGTTATGTGAATTACAATTTCTTCTGGATTCTTGTTTGTGAACTTAAAAAGTATAGGCCTAATTTCACCATAAGCAATCACTGGTTTAGTGTAATATTCAATATCAATTGGGATGAATTTAGGAAACACTTTAAACTTGTTGTAAAAATTTACACTCTTCTTCTTTGATTGATCCCTAGCATCATAATTAATTAATATTTATGCAGGAATATTAATGAAATTCCATTGCAAACCTGTAATTATCAAATATCCAGCTGATGGAGGAGTTATGGATACCTCTAAGTATTCTTGTACTGCTCTCTAAAAAGTAATGTCCTTTATTTCTAAAGTATTTATTTTTGTGAGTACATATTCTTTTTCATTACCAGCTTCTAAATCTAAAAGATTCTCTTTGAGTGTGTAATATTGATACATAACTTATAAGCTATTGATGTAGCTGGGCACTTTAACAGGCAAATTTATAAAAAACCTTAAAGTGATGACATCTTCAGCAAAGCATTGCCTTCCGAATTTGTTAATCTTGTCAATAACGTCTGCAACTTTATCAGAATTTAAAATGCAAGGGGTTTTATTGAAGCATGCAATTCTTTCTTCCAAATAAATGGAATCAAAACTTCTGATTGATGCATCTTCAAAAAAGGATTCATTCTTTGAGACTGTATTCCATAAATTCTTAAATTTCTACTTTATATTAGTAAGAACTATGGAATCTAATACATCTTAACCATGTGTTAACATGTCTACAGGTCCTTTGACAATTGGAATTTTTAGGTTAGTATTGGATTAAGTGAAATATTTTCTTCTGAAATCTTATAGTTGTTCAATTGATTAGTATGCTTTTTTCCAATCTACAACTAATTGATTATGCAATTCCAATGTCTATCTTTCATTTAATTAATTGAATGCTAACTTAAATGAATCAATGGCTTCTTGCACTTTGTGATTCTCCAAACAATTAGCCCCTATGTGACCTTCTAGCCAAAACAATAATGGCACCCATTTCGATTATTAATATAATTACTCAACTATTTTAAAGCACCTTAATGCATGCTTCTTGAAATTTTCAGATTCATATTTATTAGCAACTAATGTCAGATTATGAGCAAACTTCCTGAATTCGGGGGGATCTAATCTTAGATGAATGAATGCTATTTATTCATATACTAAAATTTGATATACTACAAAATAATCCTTCTTTGTAGTACTCCCTAGATCCTTAAAATAACGATGAAATCTTTGAAGGAAATAAATCTATTCTTTACTGTATTTTCCAAACATGTGAATTGTTATTATGTAAAAAAACATCACTCTTAACATGTATGGGAACTGAACAAACTTATGATAACCAACCTAGATTTCATCAAAAATATTCTTTAAATTATCTATTTTCTATTATGCCAATAAACGAGAGTACAAATAATACTCTGTTGCATACAAAGTAGCTATAGTCGTATTAGTTTTATTATTTTTGAGCTCAGTTATAAGTCCTTTATAATAAGTGACAGCACTTTCATAATCATTCATCAAAAAATGATTATCACCCAAGAATCTCAATAATTATTCTTTTTGACTCATCTTATACTCAGTTTCAGTTGATTAACCTGTTCTTGTATTGAAAATGCTTGTCAAAAATGTATCGAATGTTTTCTGCTTCATTTCTTAATAGAGTTGAGTCTATTTATTGATTTGACTTTCCAATATGATCAGTGCTTGTTATAATATGACTTCCTCAATCACCTATCTATATATCTTGGTCCATTGCTCATCCAATATTCCTAAAGGATGCTTGGGGACCTCACCTTCATAATTGTATCTCTGATATGCAAATCTAGACCAGTGAGTTTATTCAATTGGATTTGGCAAGTTGTATTTGAGTGTGTATGCTCGAAACTTGCTAAATTCTTTGAAGATCAAATCAAGAGATTCATATTACACTACCTCCTGTGCATCATTCAATATTATGATAACCTTGCTCACCATCTCCAAATCACTAAGGTTATTCTTAAAAATCATCTTTATCAAACTGTTTGAATCGTTCCTTATTTTATGGATCTCCTATACCAAATTTTTCTCTTACCCACTTACTACATAAAATAATACAATTGGATGATCCAAGAAATTATAATGATATTAGAATCCTAAACAATCACCCACTACTTATTACAATTACTAGAACCCTGCCATCTTATTTTAATCACAGATTTGATCTAAAAGTTGTTTACTGCAATTTCTTGAGATTTAAACTTGCTCCAAGAATTGAGTATCCTCCAATAGAAGACGCGAATACTTATCCAACTTTACATTTCCAATCTAATCATATTCCTTCATATCTAACAATTTTATGTTAAGCTCCTTATCTTTCTCTCTCAAACCCAATTTCAATCTCTGCACTTTTCTAGGTAGAAATGGTCTTAAAAATTCAGCAGGAGTTATTTGATATCTACTTAGTAGAGCTGCCTGAATGAAATCAGATGAAATCACCATACCCTTATATTAATGACAGGCTTGATTAAAGAGTTCTAGCTATGTAATATTCATTTTTAATTAAATTTTGTTTTCTAAATTCCTCATTCACTTTCGAATAATCTTTAGAAGTTAGTTCAAATTCAATAACCTATATTCCTCATTTATTTAGAATCTATTGGTAAAATTCTATTGAATGACTATAAAGACATACACAACTTAAAGTATTTATATAAAATAGAAATAGGAAATAATATGATTATAATAACAAATTTCTCATTCTAAAATGGTTATGAATTATTTATTGTATTTTATTTTAGTTCTAATTTAATCATCATCTAAACTGTCTCAAAAAGTAGTTTTTCATTAAATTTATATCAATATCAGAATTCAATTAATTGTTAAATATCTCTAAAATTAAATCTAATTACCTTTTGAGAAATAATAATAATGTAACTTTGATAACATTTAATGAGAATTTCTTCTTTTCTATATAAATTCTATGATATAAGAATATATGAATGAATAATAAAAATAATTAATTATTATGAGTGATTAATAATAACTTAAATAAGAAGTCCTGAGCAATGAAGTTTATAAAACCTGCTTCAAAATGCTTCCAGTTAATGCTTCATAGGATGAATTCAAGAAATGCATGGGAAATTATATTCAATCTTACGAGATCATATAATAGGCTTTTGAATAGTTTTTCAAGAAACCCAAGTTTCCCTAATAATAATAATGAGTATAAAAATATCTATAAAAACATTAAAATATATTCTAAGTTGAATTTTCAAGCCTATTTATATTCTTTAAACAAATCAATTAAGGACCCAAAATTATATCTGACAACCTAATGCAATATTTATTCATCATTTTGGCTATGCTTTTGTTTCAATTTCAAAATGCATTCTTAAGAGAATTACATTTGCTTCTTGATCTTATTAAGTAATAAAGTCTTCTTCATTGACTACCTTAATTCCTATGTTATACCTATTGTTATTTCTTCTTCTTTGGATCCAATTGTTAAAACTTCACTTAAAACATTTCTCTAATTATATTCTTCTTTTTCTAATATTGCTTCTTAATTTTCTTAGTGTTCTCTATGATATGCGCATATTTATTGCAACTTTCCACTGAGTCATTTGAAATGAATTAATCAGAATCCATATGATTTATATTTGAACATCTACTGCAAATGCATTACTTGCTTTTGATAGGGCAATTCCAATCGGGTCTAAGTAATATCTTTATTGGGTTGATCTAATTGATTAAAATGAGCTCTTACCTTGAATTTAAACATCAAGCAATCAAAGCAGAATCCATGTCTGCAGTCGGTTGATTTATAATTGCTGAAACAATAATAACACATTTTCCCATTTTTATTGCAATAATGGCAAAACCCCTGTTTGGTAATTGAGCCTACTTAATCTCGAATTTATTATTCTGTTAAAATCTTTATGTTTGTCTTCTGCATTTCCATCTACTATTACATGATTTAATTAGATTGCTATTTAACTACTTATTGCTTCTATATCTTGACATCCTATTCCTTTGTTTTAGGTTGATTGCATTTAATTCTCGACTATTGTTGTTGTTGTTATTATTGTTATTGTTATTAACCAATATTATATTAATACATGGCTTAATTCTATGGATTCATATAATAGAACTAAGCAGGTTATATTTATTGAGGAAACACATAATTTGGAGGCGGATGTGGGTACATATATTATTAAGGATACATATATCCTTATTAATTATACATAAAGTTGTTTTACATATTTGTATTATTATAATATTAATAATAAAACTTAATTTCCAATTAGAAAATAGAAATTTAATTTATATATACTTGACTCTTATTTACATTATTGTGTTTTGATAATCCTTTTCAAAATAGGTTGTTTCTTTTAAAATATAGACTTAAGATTTGGCGTCTCATTTTATTATTATATACTTTTTTGAATTTAATAATAATAATACAATAAGAACAATAAATGATATTTGTTTGAATTTCCAAATATAGGTGCTAATTGGCCACTATTTGATTTATATTTATATATAAAATATACCAGTAGTAATCAGTGCTCACTATTATATGACGTGATTAAAGTCTAGATAGAGGTATTATATTAATATAATATATTCCTTATAATAATTATATGACTAATTTTCTGGAAGCATTTTAAGTATTTAATAGCATTTCAAATTCAAATCAATTTATTAATTAAATAAATTTTATGTGGAGGCATAAAGAGTTTGTGGATGGTTGAATATCGTCATACAATAGTATGTGCCTCAAAGGGATATTAAGAGTATAATTAGCTGATGTTCACTATGATTGGGCATTTGTTGACAACTCTTGAATAAACTTTATCAATATTATGAATAGCTAACAAACTCTTTAAATTTTGGCTTAATACATAATTTAAAGCACGTTAGCTTAAAGTAAATAAAAGAGAAAAGAAGACTTTTCATGTTTTCGTAATTTGCAACACTCTTTTACATAAATTGAATAAAATTAATATCTTGATGTTCATTTCTTTTTGCTTAAAGTGTTGAATATGCTTTAACTTGTAAATGATATCATAAAAGAATCCCAGAATCATTCGACATAAGTTATGTTTAAATGATAACCCAATGTAATTAAATTCTGGAATAAATATTATTAGCAGCTGAATTTATGCGTAGAAAACAAACACATAATGTTTGAATTTCTCAAGTATTCAGCATAAATAAACTAAAATTCACAAAAGCAATCAAGTACTCATATATTACATGTATTGCTGCTCGTTTTTTAACAACATCTTAAATTAATAAACTTATATAAGCCATCAAACTACTTGGAAGTTGGGTCAATTAATTGATCAACTTAATGCTGATGGCTAAATTAAATATAGAATTATTAGCAGATATTGATTGTATGTCTATATCTGTCAGTCCTTCTTGCACAATATACTAATTTAAATAAAAATATAATATATATTATATATATTTAATGAAATCTCCAGAACCATTGAAATGTCCAGAACATACAAAACCATTAAGTAAGATCTGCATTGATGAAAAATGCGATCTTTAACCATATTTATGTGTAGATTGTCTTCAAACTCATTTATGTCATAGTTATGAGATATAAAATGGGATTGAAGAGTTTGCAAAAAAATTGAATGTTAATTTAACTTAGTTTGATAAAATGCAAATTTAATTTAAGTAACTTGATACTGATTCATTTGCATCATTTATCAAGACCTAAAAGTTAAGGGTTTCTGAAGATATGTAAAAAATTAAAAGGAAAATAATGCAAAAATGTGATAATTTAGAAAGTAAACTCTTAGAAACCTTAGAAGAATAGGTGATTATTTACAATAAGAATGTTTAACAATTCAAACAACAATTGAAAGAAACTGAGAAATTCCAATCACTCCAGAAATCCTCAGATTTATCCATACTTAATTGCATTTTGGGTGTAAAACTGCCTAATCACAATGATCCAATAAATGTAATGAGAAAGTTTAAGTCTCATCTATTGAATTATACTACATTTTCTAGTAGTGGCAAGATCAAGCAATTATAAGAATAATTGATTCTCTTGTAGAGTTAAACAGTGTTTCCACCCACATTCAAAAGTTAGGAATTCTAAAGGAATGAATACAATAGATTAATTAATTACTTTGATTAATATTTATCAAATATTGAGTCAAACATCAAAACCTATATTAAATCATTTCCAATCACTGATTTCGATTCAAAGAGTATTCAAATCAAATCAACAAAAAAAGAATAGAAACTAATTGAAGAAGACTAATGCATTACTAGTTTTGTGGTGTTACAAAATAACTTGATTTATGCATTAAATGATATGACAATAAAGATAAGAGATAAATGCTACAATGAAGTTGAAGTAATTCAATGTGAAACACAAATAAATTGCATAATCGAGATCAACTGTCAAATTACAGAATTGACACAAAAGATTCTAATTAATAAATCATCAGATTTAGACTTTAGCAAAACAACCATATTGGCTTTGGGAGGAGACGATTTTACTTTAATTTGGAACTGTTCCTAATCAAGTATATAGTAATTAAGGAAGGTGCAACATCAAAGAATGAGCAAGGTTGTTTCTCTCTTAAGCTTTGATGATCTATTATTAATAGGGGATTGGGATGGACAAATCTTTGGTTATGATTTAAATTTATAGAATCCACTTTATATTGTTGATACATCTTCTACAATATTGTTTGCACTAGTTAAATCGTCTAAGTTTGTCATTTCTGCATCCAAATGCGATTTAGAATAAGGAGGCATCATATTTTGGAATTACAACAAAAATGATTTGTATTAGGAGAAAAGAATAAAAATTTAATCTGTTCAGAAGATGGCTTAATCAAATGATCAATTGTTTGTGGTTGACGTAAAGAATAAGTTGTATATATACGATTGCAGATCTATTGAGTTGATTAAATCATTTATTTGCAGTGAGAGTTTTGTGAATGAGATTGCTATTGATAATTCCTAACAGATTTTGTATGTCTTGAATCAAACCTGTTTAAAATCTATATCGGATTAGTTCTAATGGAATTATTAAAGCTATGAAGATTTTCCTTGTCTTCAATGTCGACAATATTATCAGAGCAACAGGCTTTTCGTCAACTCAAATGTGATTGCTTTCATTAGACATTTGCATCAATGCAAACATGAATAGGGAGATGACGATAAATGCTCAATGAAGTCGACATTGTATTTAATGTTTTGAAGTTGGAGTGATATAAATTTATTATTTTAATAATATGCACCATCGGCAATTAGTATTATTATAAATGTCTTCATATCTTAAATTAAAATAAATAATATTAATAATTCATAATGCCTCATGTATTAGAAGATTTAAGGAGAGTCTTTCCAAAAAAATCGTTTCTACTCCAAACCTACATGTTAGGTTGTTTCTACTTGATACATCAACAACTAAATGTGGATGAGAAGAAGAAGGAAAAACAAACAATGCCTATATGGAGATCAAAGTTGATTGAAAATCAACACCAACGACATTTGAAATAATTTTAATTGAAAATCTTAATCGATCAACAAATACCCCTCAAACCACGACACAAATCGTCATATGGCTTGATGGAATTCAGTAATAGATTGTCATTTATATTTTAGGAACACCGCAATTCGTTGAGTTTCCAAACTTGAAAAGTCCCAACACAACCTCATAAGTGGTATAATTGGAGTATATCCTTTAGCATACCTTACAAATCGACTCGAAGCAGATTCAGAATTTCAGTTTGGATGACCTATCAACTATTGAAAGCGAATTTGTGCCCGATTTGAAGACAGACTTATAAGTACAGAAATCTGTGGACATGACATAGAGTTGCATCTTTTGAATTTGTTTTTTTTTACTTCTCCTTTTTAATTATATATATTATACATATAAAGAAATATATATATTTTAAATTTCTCTTCAATCAGTTATTTATTTAAAAATGTCTTAAAAATCAAAAACCCTATTACAACTACTTCAGCAACAATAGCATTTCCATGATGATATCAACACATCCTTAGAGTCTAATTACAGACATAGCTCAGAACACACAGAAAAGAAGTTTGATCTCAAATTACAAAAATCCATACTCGATCTCTATTCTCAAATTAAAAGCAATATCCTTAAAACTGAAGATCACGTACAAATCCTAATCCCAATTAGTTGCTACTATGTCAAATAAGAAAGTTAGTCCCTTTGGACAAGTTAGAAGATCTTTACACAGATCCAAATAGTTTGATTTGTTATATTGGATGTATTTTCACAGTTCTGATGCAAGATAAAGTATTTTTTAAATCCTATTAGTTAAATTTAGAATAATAAGTAGAAGAACAAAAAAATAGAGATCAAAGTGATTATGAAGAGCAACTAATTAAACTCGAAGCAGAAATCAGATAACACATAAGAGTAATCTTGAATACCTATATTAGATTGAATAATAATTGAAATTATTTGCAGAAAACACTCAATCCAAATTGGAAGATGCTTTAAAAATAAAAGAAGACTTGGAAGAAGAATTGTTAGCAATCAAAAGCGATTTCTAAGTCTTATATGAAAAGAACAATACCTTGAATCAAAAACTCAGAACTTAAGAAAAAGAAATTTAGATTATTAAAAATAATAATACTATTGAAACTACGAATCAATCTCTTAAAACCAATTAAAACAATCAAAAAAATATATCTAAAAAAGAGAATATTGAAAATGAACATCCAAAATAACAATAAATTACAATAAATTTATAAATAGATAAATAAAAACCTCCTCTTTAAGACCATGTATTATTTGTAATAAATTTAATAGTAAGATAGACTCCAAACTGATCCATAAGATGATTACTTTAAACCCAGAAATGACTCCCATAAAAGAATCATTTCAACCCATGTAGCCAATACTTAAAATAATAATAAATCAACTTATTTGCCTACCAGAATACAAACAGAATCATGTGAATATTAAGATAGGAAGAGAAAACATAATTTATCTCAATATGAAACTTCAAATGCCACTAAACATTAAAGAAATAAAACAGCTTAAAATGTTTTGAATCTAATAAGTATTTAATATTCTCATTACAGAAGATTAGGAACTTAAACGACAGTAATCAGTAAAAGCATGTTAAGATAAACCTTAATGTAATCAAAACAAAGCAATTAAGAAACCTTCAAATTCACAACATCAACATGCTGAACCTAACCGATCCAATAATTCTGTTCACAGTTTTCGTAAATAACCTCCAGAAGTAAGTCAAATTCCTAGACCTTTTTCATGCGCTGAACAAATTGAAGAATCACATAATTCTGTAACTTGATTGTTTATCTTAGTTCTAAAAGGATCTAAGTATGGATATGGGTAATTATTAGAAACAAAGTGGAGAGTATCCAGATAAATAACAACAAATAAAAAAACTATTGCAATAATATCAATAGAAACATTGTCTAAATGACACTTTAACCAAAAAATTACTCTAAGAATACAAAAAAAGATAAGGCTACAATTGCAAGACAATATATTGATAATAATTAATTAATTTTTATTCATTTATTTATTGGATTCTAGTTGTTCATTGTTATTTTATTATCAGTTTTATTATTAAGTAATTTATTTCTATTTTTTATAACAATCCTAAAACACAATGTAAGAAGATGTTTTTGATGAAATAAAAAAGGAACTGCAATACTGTAAATACCTGAACTATGCTCATATTGCGATGTCATTTCTTGGATTCTTTGGTTATATGGCTAGAAAGGTAATTTTCATTTAAATATAGATGCATTTAAGATTTTCTTCACCTTATTCATTAATGTCCTCTCTATTCTGCTATCTATTTTAGGATATTATGCAATTGAAGAAATCAATCAAACGAGAATCGTTGTATATGCAGTTTGTACTAGTTCACTTTTTGGAATGGTGTTATTATATGAGATAATTGCTGATTTATTTTCAGAATCTTACGTAGCAAATATGATTATTGAAGGAAACTGAAGCCCCTCCATAAGCCTTTGTGTTTTTAGTTATAACTTTACCTTTTCTAATTGATCTCACAAGTGGGTTGATGAGCTTAAAATTAAGCTATACCTTCTCAAAATATGATAATTTGGAGTTTAAAAGAAAATACAATGTATTAATGAATTAATCTAGTAAATCCTTGTCGTTCAAAAAGGACCAGAAATGAATTACAAAGAATCTTACTTAGCAGATGAGATGTGTGTGATATGCTTAAGTGAAAAGAGGAATATTGTTTTCTATAAATGTGGACACAAAGTTTGTTGTAGAAAATGTTCATAAGCCTTTAAATACAAGAGTTGCCCAATGTGCAGAGCTGAAATCTAGGATTTAATTTAAGAATATGATGGTTGATTGTATTTCATAGAATTATATAACATTATCATATACTCTAATCTTAGAGTATAAACCTTACGTTTTAGCCTTTTCATACTTGTTGTATTTTTATTAATGTAACTCAATTTAATATAAACTATTTAAACTGGTCATACCATGTAGATTATTATTAAAAGAACAATGAGACTTGTCCTTTTTATTTTCATGGTTATCTGAAATACATATGTTTCTAATTCGTTCTTTTTAAAGCAAGAAGTTTGATATCATAAATTATATTAACTTTGAATAAATTCTAAAATGAATTAAAATTAATTCTTTAATTAATGAATAATAAGGAAGAAATAGTCCTTGGATATTTAGAATAAGCAGATGATATCCTAAATGCTGATGATGAATTACCTTCTTATGCAAATGGATTGCCTGTAGATATTTTTTATTAAATTTTAGTATTTTTTGGAGAATGAAGATAAATTCGAATCAATAAAATGTACTAAATGCGGAAATCAAATGAAATTGTTGCTTTAAGTACATATCTAAATCTACTTTTAAGATATATGCTCCCTTGAATAACAAGCATGCCTCATATAGAGAAATTTATGTTTTCCTTTGCTTAAATGAACAATGTTCTAAACACAATAGCAGTGTTAGAGTTTTTAGAATGCAATCTTCTTAAAAGCCATAACTTTTTCAATCCAAAAACAAAGACTATATTCTTTCTCCCTCAAACAAATAATTTATAATTGATACTGAAATAATAAGTGCTAAGGAGAATAATAATGAATTTTAAGTGGCTGAAGAACTATTGCCTACTAATTAAGAGGATGAGGACAAGGATGTAGATTTGAAGAATGTTAAATTTGATAATGAAAATAAAATCTATGAGAACTATCTGAAGAGTACTGAAGAGAAAGAAGACATTGAAGATATCGATGGATTGGAAAAGGATCAATAAAATAACATTGATGGATGTTTTCTGATTTATTAACAGTATTTTGTCTATTCATAATTAGTTTTCTTACCTAATATTAGAACCATGTGGTCAGATATTGCTTTGACTCTCAAAGTAAACCACTCTGGTTTAGTGACAAGAAATAGCCATAAATTGAATCCAAATGCCCACATTGCAAAAAGAATAAAATATTCGAATTCCAGATAAATAACTCTATACTTACCTACTTTCCTGAATTGTACAACTTAGAGTGGGGAGCATTATATGTTTACAGTTGTCCTTCAAGTTGTTCAGTTGGTGGGTAAATACTCATTGAAGAAACAGTTTATGCTCATTCAGATGAATAAGAATTTATTAGTCCGAATTTAAAGGTAGATCCAGATACAAAATTAGTAACAATCAAGTAGGATACAAATAAAGCGAATAAATAGAAGCAATAAATTTAATAATAATAATAATAACAAATCTAGTAAAAGATAGATGAGTAAGATGAAGAGGATGATTGGTGAAGAAATTCATTGTATTTACAATATTTTTATATCAAGACTTTAATTTTTAATTCATTTACTGTTTAAATATAAGGTTAAAGGTAAAAGATTATTTGTTGTAATACTTTAAAGGGTTGTATTATTTTTATAAATCAGTTTTTAGTAATAAGTCAACACTAACATTTTATCTGAAATATAGAATTTGATACTCATCTAAATACTTCAATTTAATTTAATATTTTTAGTTATAAATTTTTTAGAAATCTAGATTTATAACTAAAGTGACTTGAATTCAAAATATATAAAATATATAATACATATATGCTTATTTAATTACTTTAAATTTGATGGCAGTTGATTATTTCTCTTAAATTAAAATGATTCTATAAAGAAATCTATAATATTTATGGAATTTCCAGGAATTACTTAATTTTAAATGGTATTCGATTTAGAGAATAGATTACTATTTATAAAGGAATGCTAATATTATTTATATTTATTAATAAATTAATAATATGCAGATAAGAAAATCAAATAAAGTAGTAGTGAATAGGATTGAGAAAGTGAACTCAGAATTATTGACTTTAACTTATGGTGCAATAGTTTCCCAAATAATCAAGGATAGTGACACTGTAATTGAAGCGAATGAATAATTGGAGAAGATGGGTTTTAATATTGGATAGAGAATCATTGATGAATACCTTTCAAAAGCAGAAATCAAGTAATGCAGAGACAAGATTGATGTTGCAGAAAATATCGGCAAGGTTTTTTATTATCGTAAAGATAGGGAGCCATGTAAATGTTTCTTGGAGTGACAGCTGAAGTAGAAGTGTTACCTGAGACTGATAAGATATTCACTTTTAACTTGCATTTCACTGAAAATCCGTTGAATGACTTTGTAGAGTTGCCAGAACATTTGCAAGGACTCAATTACTCGAACATGATTGCAGGAGCCATCAGAGGAGCTTTGTCAACTGTATTGCATATAACAATTAATGTAGATTCATTGGATAGCTACTTGTAGATTCTTGAAAGATCAATTGAAAAATGATGATAAGACTATTTTGCAAGTGGAAATGATTAGAGAAAAGTTCAAAGATGATGAATGATTAATATAATAAATATTTTAATTTATGTCAACATATAGGGGGACATTTGAACACGACTCATTTTTGGGATGGCTGAACCTATTCAAGATCAGAAGATTACAGATGCTCTATAATGTTGGTGAAAGACCACCTTATCCAGTTATCATTAGTAAGCCTACTGTTGGAGATGTACATTAATATCATATATTGCAAAGGTATTGAGGAATTTGAACAAGGCAGATTTCGGGCTATTTGCAACAGTGACATTTTTGGGTTTCTTTGCTGCCAGAAAATCCACTTTGGGATTGACCACTACTGAGTTTGTTAGATAGAGAGGATTCTCTATTGCTTGGAATTCAATTATGATGGCTGGAGCATTGTTTGCTTGCATGAATAGTAACAATAGACTTACTGTACATTCCTATTAATGATTTAGGGATTTGTCGACAATGGATTGCAATGGAGAAGAAAGGAGTAAAGATTAACTAAATACGATTTCACATCTGAATTCGAAGAAGGCACTATTTGGAAATTCTTCAGATTAAGATGACATTAAATCATATATTCAATGCATATATTTTCATTATTATTTTATTGGTATCAATATTATATTAAATTGCAATTCATTAAAAATTTTAATTTTTGATTTATGCTATAGTCAGAGTATTAAGAGATGATGAAGAATTTGACTGATTAATAAGTTATGCAATACAACAAAATTAAACAAAATCATGCTGAGATATCCAAAGTCTATATTGAGATTGAAAATGAAAAGAAGGAACATATATTAGTTTTAGATGCAATCAAAAATATTGATTCAAAGAGAAGGTGAATCACTCTGTCTATTATAGATGTTGGAGGATGATTGGTGGAGTTCTCGTCGAAAGATAATTGGATGATGTGTAGAAATCATTAAAGGAAAATTTAGAATTGCTTGAAAAAAATGGATAAAATTACAATACTGCTATGAAACAGATGTATGCAGATTATATTTGAGATATTTTAGAGAAAAAGAATTAACTTAATATGAATTAACTCACAATTTAAGACCCTAATAAAATCAACAATCACAATAGCAATAATAATAACAACCTGTGGCATCATCTAAAACGTAAGGAGTCTTAACTTGAAGCATCATTGCGTTTTATATTCAAAATATTATTAATAAGATTCAATGTATTTTAAGAATTTGTAAATATGTATGCATTTTAATAACCAAAGAATTTAAATTTCATTACTTTTTTAACATCTCTACTACTTATTAATTAAATCTATTCAAATGTTTCCTTTTTCCTAAATACTTATTATTTTGATTCCTATTTAATGTGATGTTTAAAAGGTTCTTATGATTATTAGAACACCTTCCAATTATTAATATTAAACTTTGACTTTATTATTTCAACCTTTTTTAGATTTGTATCGTTGATTTTCCTATTCAAAAATACCTTTAAAACAAAATCTCAATTGAAGTCAATCCCCTATTCTAAAATAGAAATTATTACATTTATCAATACTGCAATAATATCTCATAATAACGTGATAAATTGATTATGCAATAAAGGTTGGATGGCAAATTAGTGCATAGAGAATATATACAATTCATAGTAATGATTTCCAATAGCAACAATAAAATATGAAGAAAATAATTCTTCATTATAAAAATAAGTCTTCAATTGAAAAGAGCGCTCTAACTAACAAAATAATCTAAAAGAAACACATATTTAATTTGATCAGGATTGCTTCCCAAATATCTAAAATTTTAAGAAGGTCACAAAATTGACTAATTTTTATATGTATGACAATTACATTATTAATGCATGTAAGATATCTAATAAATTATCTTCGTTTTTTGAATGATCATAAGAATCTATATGAAATATGCCATTGGCTAATGATATAAATTAGGTCACTTCTAATTTACTTTTCAAAATCTTCCGGTCAGATTTGCCTTTAAATAAAGAGTTCCCCTAAAGTCAATTTTACAGGGGAACATCAGATGTAGCTCTAATGGTTCCTGAAGAAGTAATGGAACATAACTTTACAACTATGTCATTTATTGGATCGCATTAAGGTCACATATTAATATTTATTATCGTTTTTTTAACAATGAATTAATTCTTACTTTCCTTATTGATTGTCACTACTCTATGTGGCTAATAGTAAGGTAGTTTCCTATAAGAGAAACAAGATAACCAAATATTCACCATAAAATTAAAGGAGACTTAAAAAATTGTAAGTTATCCAATTCGAATCATAGGTGACAGCTAAAGAAATGTATGATTTTCTATCAACTAAACAAACTTATTTTCGCTAACATACTCCTATTGACATATAGGAAATAGAATTTGGAGGATATGTTCCTAAACTACAATAAAATGATGAAAGGAGGAAGACTTCTCTGAAATTACACAATTTCAGAAATACTTAATTCACTGGGCCTATAACAGTAGGAGATTAGGAATTCTAAGTGATCTTTGACACCGGTTCTGCAAACTTTTGGATCGACTCTGCTAAATGTAAGAATGAAGGATGCAGATAGCATACCCAATATCAACCAAGTTTTAGATCGAAGCATTTGGGATATGCTCTGAATGTTGAATTTGGTACTGGAGATTTGAATGGGGAAATTAATTCAGATTTTGTTCGCTTAGGAGAAATAGAGGTTGAAGACTAAAATATCGCTGAAATAATTGAAGAAAATGGTTCAGTTTTTTAAAATGTATAAAAGTTATATAAATGTAAAGTCAGGTTTTGATGGCATAGTAGGTTTGGGCTATCCCAGTATGGCAGCCTATAACTTTAACCCATTGTTTGACAACATAATGCAAGAGAAGAAATTGAAATCTAACCAATTCTCATTTTATATGAGTAATTAAGTCAATAGCTACGAATCCTAGATTACTTTTGGTGGCTATGATGCTACAAAAATTGATGGGGAAGTTCATTATCATCCAGTCATTGATAAATACTATTGGATGATATAGGCTGACAACATATTGGTTAACGGCAAAGATGAGGGATTCTGTCCTAAAGGTTGTAAAGTGGTAGCTGACACTGGCACTTCATTAATCACAGGTCCTTTTGAAGATTTGATCAAGCTCTTGGGTAATTTGAAGGTTATATATTTAGAGTTAACGAATATTAATGACGATTGTTCAAATTTGAATGAGTTACCTAAATTGACATTTAGAATTGGCGGAGTTGATTATGACTTAGATTCTAAAGATTATATTATGGAATTGAGAGATGATGGTACAGAAATACCTCTAAATAATGATGTTTCAGCTTCAGCGTTTATTCAAGGAACTTCTAGTAGATGCATAGGAGCATTCATGCCTTTGGATATACCAGATCCACAAGGACCTGCATGGATATTGGGAGACATTTTTTTGACCAAATACTTAAGTATTTATGATAGAGATACAAATATGGTTGGATTTGGAAAGGCCAAACATTGATTAAATAATTTATGTTACAAAAATATAATCAACTCAAAAATGAACTTGATGATTCGGTAGATGACAGTATAAAACTGCTTTCTATTAAACTGGAGGCATCTTGAATTACTTTAGTTGTTGTTGATAATCTATGAATAAATTAATTCATTTACTTTGCACTTCAGTTTGTCTCTTTGTCAATTTTTAGAGTAATTAGATATTCAAATACCAGAATTGAGCTGTAATTACTTGAATTTCAGGTGTCGTGTTATGTGTTTTGAGTTGATCATCTATTGTTCTGAACAACCCTTCTGCAGACATATATCTTTATTCAACTGTATTCAGCCATCCCAAACCCATCAATGATTGATGAACCTAGTTTTTGGCTTTCTTTTCTGTGAATTTTAAAAATCTATTTAGTACCTAGCCAACAATAGTCTAAAGTGTAAAATATTCTTTACTTTATTATAGGTCTACACATTGGCAGATATTATGAAATCAGTCAATGCCTTGTAAAGTTTGAGTGAGAACTCAACTGATGGCATTTTATCTACCTTGGCTTCTGCATTCAAAAAATGATCCAATAGTATCTATCCTTATTGCATTCCAAAATTGGCATTGAATGAAACTGGATTGTAGCCATGTCCGGATGCCAACCATTTCAAAATGGCATAATCGAGGAGTGATTATTCTGCATATTTTTATCCTTACCTTTTTGAAATCTGGCTTCTGAGTATTCAATCAATGATATTAGCTTCTCTTCTGTTTCAGGTGAACTCAATAGAGCATGGTTATACTTAATCATATTGATAATGTTATACAGCTTCAACTCTTTTGAATTCGTAATGCAACACATTTCCAATAAATTATGGCTCATGTTAAACAAGCAGATCCACATTATGATTCATGTTGTAATACAGATTATTTTGCATATATTATAATACATTTCCAAGGGTGTCTAGTTTGTATTGCAAAATATCGTTTTGCTATTTTGGACCTATTTTTACAGCGTTTTGATATGATCTAATTGATTAAGAGTGATATTACATAGACAATAAGTCATTAGGCAAACGACCATGAGGTTTGAGAATCTGAATCAATCTTAAAAATAAATCATGCGCTTATGAGAATGCATGATTATTCATAAGAGTCTAAGCTTGCTGAAATTCATGCATATGATAGAAGGCATGTGAATATAAATAAAGGGACCTTTTTAATAACATAGGAATAATAATTAATATCTACAAGAATTTAGAATGTCATTGCTAGTATTTTCCAATTTTTATCATAATCTAGATTTGATATCAATTTGCTTAAAATTAATACGTGAACAGGGCTGTGCATTGTTTAAGATATAATAATTAGAAGCAGAATCTTATTAATTTTCAATAAATATTAATCTTTAATGAAAGCACCTTAGCAAATCTGTGAGAATCGACCAGGAGAGAAAGTTGAGAACCAAGACTACTTCATACAACAATACCATATTGAATGTTTATCCACATTTTCTTATTACATTGAATCCAAAGGAGAGGCTTGTGTTATTGATCCATTGAGGGATATTGAATAATACGTGTAATGAATGCATAACTATAGGAAGTGAATTAGCCAAAGATAGAAATGCTAAAATTAGATGGGTGCTTGAAACTCATTTCCATGCAGATTTTGTAAGTGGTCACAGAGAATTGGCAGCGATCACTGGAGCAACCATAGTCTACGGTCCTACCGCAATGGCTAATTTTCCTATAAAATAAGCGGAAGATGGAGAATTGTTACCACTAGGATCTGTCTAAATAAGAGTGGATCACACTCCAGGACATACTATGGAATCCAGTTGTTTTGTTCTAATTAATTAAGGAAAAGATCATTCTGTCTATACTGGAGATACCTTATTTTTAGGTGAAGTGGGTAGACCTGATTTGGCTGTGAAGGGCGAAGAACTAACTGTTGAGATGTTGGCTTCATATCTTTATGATTCATTGAGAAACAAGATAATGAAATTAAATGACGATGTAATTGTTTTTCCTGGTCATGGGGCTGGCTCATCATGTGGTAAAGCTATTGGAACAGGAAAGTCTTGCACTATTGGAATTCAAAAATAGAAGAATTATGCTTTGCAACCAATGTCTAAGGAAGAATTCATTAAAAAATTACTTGAAGGCATGCCCAAACCTCCCTAATACTTTTTCCATGATGCAAAGCTTGTAAATATTTATATAAATATAGTGTAGAACAAATGTGGGCCAAATGATCTCACAGTTTTATTGAATGAAGTTTTAAAACCTTTGGAATTTGAACAGTTTATGGCATTTGTAAAATCTGGAGCAACTATACTTGATACAAGACCTAATGTTACAGAGGGAATTATAGATGGAGCAATCAACATCTCATTTATGTCAGGATTAGTCAATTTTGCTGGAAATATAATTAAGCCAGAAACTAGATTAGTAATTATGGCCAAATAAGGTGACGTATAAGACACAATCCTCAGATTATTAAGAATTGGATATGATAATATATTAGGCTATTTGTAAGGAGGATTTGAAGTTTACAAAGCCAATGGTGGACCGTTAGCAACTGTCAAAATAGTCAGTCTAGTTGAATTTTGTGATGTCAAAGCTGATCCAGGTATTATAATTGTATAAAAATATAGAAAACCATGTATTTTTAGATGTCAGAGGACCAGGAGAACATAAAGAAATGGGATTTGTAAAAGGAGCTATTAGAGTTCTATTACCAGAAGTGGAAACCAATCTTGATAAAATCCCAAAAGATAAGTTTGTTCATGTTTATTGTAAAACAGGAGGAAGGGCTAAAATGGGAATGAGTCTTCTTGTTAAGAATGGTTATAAGAATGTTGTCATTGCATAAGAAGGCGGGTTCATTTTGATAAAAGAAAAATAATTGATGGAAATAGAATATATTTGATTTAATAATTTTAAGAGTAAAAGTGGTACATATTAAAAAAATAATTCGAATAAAAATATATAAATTTTGAAGAAATGGTTATGAATACAAATATAAACTATAATTTTTGTACACAAACCAATACTCTCATTATTATTTGCATTCTGGTTTTTCAGCTTTTCCTTTTTTGCCCTTATCAGATTTTTTGCTGTCACCACTCTTCTTTCTTTACTATTAATATATATAAAATTAAACTTACGCTCTTTTTCTTTTTGTCATCACCCTCATCATCATCATCTTCTTCATCCTCATCATCCTCATCGTCTTCATCTTCATCAACGTCTTCATAATCTTCATCATCTGGATTAATTCCTAAGAAATATTCCAAACTATAAGGAATGACCTCCTCCGCAACGGTCTTTCCAATTTCATAATCTTGCTCAATATTCTATAATTTATCATAAATATAAATACTCCAGCTTTTCCATCTTCTTCTCCTTCATCCTTATCTTCTGAATTCTTGAAGAAATTGAAGAAACTCAATTATGTTTCCTTCTTTTTGATGGTTCTTGAAGCTCCAGTCTTCTTGTTTTTTTATTTCTAAAATACTGATTAATCAATACCTTTTCGACAATCTTAACTGTAACATCTTTGCCTTCATTCCATTCTATCACAGTTCCAACTGTACTTGTTGGGAAGTCTTTGCCTTCTTCAATGATAAATTTCTTTGTCAATTCTTTGTTCTTGAAGTACTCATTGTCTTTGAATGTGAATCTAAGAGTGAAGACTTCAGTATCAGCTGATGTTTCCAAAACAATTGAGGTTAAGAATTTAAGGATGTCCTTGTCCTTCTCTCCAAAGACATGAGATAAATTATCGCAATTTGTTAAGACAGTTCCCCAATAATTTTCAATTGGTTCAGCTTTTTAGGCAATTTATTAGGCTTCCTATAATTCAGATTCAGAAAAGAAATCCTTGAATAGTTCTTGTTCCTCTGCACTCACAGCTCTTTAGCCATTAATGAGGGATTGTTATTCTGCATAGATTGGTAAAGATTTGATATCATATTGCTTTTAAAGGGCGTGGATCTTATCTTCGCATTCCTAATCTAGTTTCTCCTTTTATAGATAATGATGTTAGATGGCAATAGCCTTGAGTCTATCCTTAAGTGGAAGCTCTCTAATCTTATTTTCTAAGGTCTGAACATGCAATTCATGTCCCTCCTTTGCTTCATTTGTAGTTGGTTAAGCTCCGCCTTCCATTAATTTATAAAAAAATGTGGATTTAAATAATTCATTAATATGGGGGTATTTATATATTAATAATTACTTCAAATTACTCAAAATAATTTACTTTATAATTTGTCTTATAACAGGAACAAGATCTCTCAAAATTTCTCTTGTCTAATTCTTACTTAAAACCGATTAATCACAATTATGTTCTTGTGACATTTTTAAATATCATGCACACTATAAATTTGAAATTTTTAAATATTTTGAAACACTTTAAGCTTCCTTAATCAAACTACTTGAATTAAATTATGTCATATTAATAAATGCAAAATTAATTTGAAATAAAGTTATTTAAACATCTATATAATTGTACACTTTAGCTAATTAAACAAAAATGAATTTAATTTATATAGATTTCAATTTAATTTGTATTTGGAAGAAGCCAATAAATTATATATATTATTACAATCTTATATCAATCAGAGCAACATTGTTTTTAGATTGGATATCTATCATGATATTCCAAGCATTTCTCATTAGGGTTAGAGTAAACTGGTCATGAATGCTATTAAAGCCAAAAAGAATGGTCAAGGTAATGAGTTTGATTCATATTCATATTCATTTTATTATTATTATATTACATTATATTCAATATTTTTTCACTAAATTTAATTAATGAAACCAAATATATGATTAGAGTCTAATATAGTATAAAATTATTTATTTGATTCCTCTAAGTTTAAGTTAAATAGTCTTGTTTTGATTTCTTCTATTGGATTATTATTGTTCTCCCCTAAATAATTTAAGTTAATTCTAGAAAAATTGGAAATTAAAATATTCTACATATCACCTTCTTATTAAATTTGTATGGATTCATCTTATTAACAAGACTTGTTATACATAAAGTGATTTAATTATTTTTTTGATATTTTTTTACTAGCCCTCACCTTTTTTTAATATTCTACTTTACATTAATTCTTATTCGCTCTTTTCTGTAAATGCATAAATTTGCATTTCTAATCACCTATTTTAAAATTCTTGATTTCTCCCAACTGTTATTCAAACTGGTCGTCATCTATTTTTTAGCATGCCATATTTAATTGTTGTAATTATTTTTCCTGTGTATTTTAAGAATATTGAGTTAATTCCAAAAAGAACGATAATTCTATTTGTCATCACAATCTGACCCTTGTTAATCTGTAAATATTGCTCAAACCATCAAGTAAAAGATAATTAATTAGAATCTAATTATTGATAAATTTCAGAGTCAGATAATATTCTCTTAACTTCCTCTTTTCAATTTTCAATTGATCTGTTAATTCAAAATAGTTGAAGTGTCTATTGAATAATTAGGCTCTAATGTGAAACTTCGAAACTATAATGACAATCTCACATTTGGATTCACTCAAAAATGTATGATAAATAATACCTCTAAATTATGATCATAGGCAAATAACTTAATTGCTTAAGAATGGGTGTCAATAGGTATAAAATCCAAAAAGGGAGAAGGAATTTTGGAAGTAGAATAAATTAAGAATTTGATAGGTAAGAATCCTTTTTATTTAGTATTAATTATTATAAATTATTATAAAATTTTATTGATATACCCTTAATTTAATAATCATTTAAGATGAATAAACATAGATGTTGGATTTTCTAAATAGGTTTTCCAAACATTGTTAAATCTAGCCACAGTTGCACCATCAATCACTCTGTGATCACAACCGAAACTTAGGTTCATCTAAAATACAATAAAGATTTCAAAGTACAATTTTCCTTGGAACTATGTTCATTTTAGCATCATATCTAGGCACAGTCATCAATCTACCAATTCCAACAATGCAAACCTATGGGGCCAAAATGAGTGGACCAGTGTACGTACCTCCAATTGTACCGATATTACTCAAACATATGGTGCCCCCAGATAATTCATTAAAACTCAACTATCCCTTTTCTCCTAAGGTTCGTAATCTATTCATTAATAAGAATTGAAGTTACCTATTCAATTCATCTTGAATTTAACTAATTGATAGATTCTATACATTTTTAATATTTGGAACCACTAAACCTTTAGGAGAGTCTAAAGCCACAGAGACATTATGTGATAAATGTTATGTGTATTCGAATTGCTTAGTGGGATCATATGTAGAATTCAATATTGGATATTTGGCCAATGCCAATGAAAATGATTTAATGAGTAGAGTCATGAATGTGATGTTCTTTTCTTTCTTCAATTATTCTCTCATTTATGCTAATTCTGTGAGATCGACTTCTTCTTTTAAGTATAAATGAGGAATGGAATTGGCCTCAGTCATTGACTTTTGCATTCCCTTCTAAAAATCAGACATTTTGATGACCGTTGATGTGGATTCACTTTTAATGTTAATTTTAGTTGATGATGATGGTTGTTCTTTTTGAGATTATTTATCCTTTTCAAGATCTGTCTTCAATATTCTTCCGTCTTTGCCACTGCCTGAAACTTTGCTCAAATCGATTCCCTTTTGCTTAGCCAAATGACGTACTGCAGGTGTAGCCAATTTGTGATTCTAAGATAAATTCATCTAATAATACAGAGGTTGTATTGTTTGTTTGGATTGTTTAATGAATTTCTTATTGCTTTGAATCTTCTTATTTAATTGAATGATGATGAGTCTCTGATGCTGCTGATTATTGATTATCAGATTCTATCTCAATCTCTAAGAAATCTCCACCCACCAAACAAGTTTCCTCTTCCTAATGGAACAATTTATGAACCTTCCCTGTGTAATTACTTGGAATTTGAGTGAACATCTTATCTGTTGAAACATCCGCAATAGGATCGAACTATTATCAAAAAATGACGTACTTCATTTACGTGATCTCCTATCTTAACATGCCATTTTTTTATTGTTGCCTCCTTGATCTCTAAAATCAGTATAAAATTTACTTTCCCCCAAATCAGGCAACCTGAAGATCTTCACTGTACCAAAGTAATATCTACTCAAGAATCGCGAATATATATTCATTATTTAATAATAAATCATTTCTAATCAGTTGATACTAAGGAATTGTATCACATTCATAAATTCTCATTTATTGGTATTCATCCATCTACTTAGGGATACCCTAATTATTCAGATATGATTAAATTTAGTAAATGTTGGAGATTCCAATTAATATTCGACAATTCCAATATATATGTACATAACATAGTATCTCTGTAGCTATTTTATGATTGTATCTTTATAAGTTTATGAATATGATCTCATTAACAAATTAACATTTAGTAATTTGCATTACATAAATAATAATAAATTTGAATTCAAATGCTTGATAATTGGTATCCATTTTCCAACTATTTTTTAGTGACTCCATTAGAAAGGGACTTCTCTACACTCCAACTATAGGAGAATAAATTGATGATGACATTGCAGCATCATTTGAGCAAAAAAGAGGAATCAATTATTAACATGAATATATGAGACTATACATCGCTAACGTCGTTCTGACTCAATAACTAAAGGAATTGCTCTAAGAAAAAGGGGATTTAATCTCTAAAATCAATAGACTTGAAGTATTCCCTCCTTTCTTATTATTAGGATGTCGACATATGCAAAACTAACTCCAGAAAACTAGATTACGAGGAATTGAAGAAACCAGAAGCACTCCCAAAAAAATAAATAGGTATTCTATTTACAATTATCATTAGTTCAGAAGGTTCAACCAAATACAATGATGAAAATGCAGTCCCAAATCATCAATATCAAACTAGAAAATTAATTAAGAAGAATTGAACTATATTCATCTATTTTATTCAATTCTTCACCAAATGTCCTCGTTTTATAAATTTAATTCTTATAAATATTTTTTATAATGGTAAATTTTTAAATTGCATTATATAAGACCAGCAACGAATAATATGTATTCCATATCTCAAAAATATATTTCAATTAATGTTTGTTTTCAAAGCCTAATCAAAAAGCACTTTTAACTTTTTGAGAGTTCTTCAAAAACATTTGATATTTATTAATTAATTGAGAATAAAATTATAACTCAGAGGAGTTAGAAAATCAAATTATTTTTGTACTCGAAGATATTAAGATATCATGATTTAGAATTCAATTCAAAACTTCTATGAATACTTTTTGATTTTGTTAATTATTCTATTAGCATTTTTGTTAGTTAGTTCTTAAATCACTATTTGAAACAAAGTGGCTGAATTTCAAATTCCATATTTTTCTTTATTTCTATTAATCCTTAAGTAGCTTTAGGTTTGTTTAAGGATGAGTGGTGTGTCAGATAACTCGAAATTCATTTAAGGATGAGGATCCAGTTATGAAAGAATGAGTATGTTTGGAATTGTGTAAGGAGACAGTAGAAGGGGAGTAGCTGAAATGCGAAAGATGGCAAAATTGCAAAAATAGCATTATGTAGTTGTAAGAATGTGATGGATAAGATGCTATCTAGATTGGTTGAAGTTCGCGCTCTTTTGGGTGATAAGAAAAGATTTTAATTTTAAAATTAAGTAATTCTAAATATCTATTATGAGGAGATAGAACTGTGAATAGTGCTTATGATATTTGGATTGTAAGTAGTTTGTTGTATTATTTTTAACTCATTCTGATTGATTTCATTCATATTTGACTTTTTTGTTGAGCAAGCAAGCCAATGGATTTGCCTATTGACTGGGATGTTGGATCTGATTCCCTGACTCACCTTAATGCTTTTTGTGTTATGGCCAGAAACCATATTTAATAATGAATTCTTTCTTTTGGTTTTCAAATTCCTATACATATTTTATAGTAATTAACTTGTCTCAACTTTTTATATTCCTCGGCTGCTTTCTCTTTCAAGGCCGAATTTGAACCCCATTCAAATTTAATTGTGCGATCAATCTAAGTTCCATTGTACTCGGGATGGGTCATCTCAAGTTGTTTCCTCATTTGTTTTTGGAAGCTTGGAGTCATAATAAAATATAAAACATTATCATGACGGGAGGAGGAGGCTAGGGTACAGGCACTCTTTCAGTATCATTTATGTTGACATAACCATTTTTTTAGAAGTACTTTTGTTTATTCATTTTCTCTTTGACTTTCCATTTCAGGTTGATCAATTTAATAAGTTCTTCAGTGGTTCTTTTTGGGTATTGTTATTGAAGGAGAACGAGTTGTTCGTCATAAAACTTACGATAGGCAGAGCTTTGCTTTTTGGGGCCAGGCTAATCCAATTACAATTACTTGAGTCTCTATTTTTACATGTTAATAAAATTACTAAAATTAAACAACTATTTTATTTAACTTATCGGAGTAGACGAATCCTTAGAGACAGTCATGATGATAATTTCTGAATGGCATTCTAACTTTTTGGTTGTAAAATAAAATACAGATGAAAATATTGAGATATAAATAAAGATACTTTCTAAATTGATATCCCTTCTACTAGGAAAATGAAGAGAAGGATATTAGTGACATAAATATATTATTAGGATTTATTATTTATTTAATTAAATTTATCTAAATGAGTGAATCAAGTAAATAAGATAATTATACATTTAGATTCCACTCTCTTTTATGCTGGGATTACATTGGCATCTGGATTGATCACCGATTTTCTGATAAATCGATTGAACAAGAAGGATGTAGCTGAAGAGCCCAAACCTTTGAGAAGTCTAACACTTAGAAAAAGATCATTTAGTAATTTTGGATATTAAGATAGTCAACTCGAAACAGGCTCCAGTTCCAGAAGCACTCTTAAACTCTGAGAATCCATTGCTTGATGAAATCAAATTCTTAAACAGTGCAACTTGTGATATCGAGAGAGTCAATCATCTATCACTTGGATTGGATGATGAATTTCCAAATATTAAATCGCCATTATTGGGAGAAGGCAATTTGAGATCAGTTTTTGGAGGAGGTGGATTCTTACCAGATGATGCCTTTGTTTATTGTGGATCCTATGTAATTAATACAGCTGTATTTGGTCCTGGCAAAAGGATAGAATAGACAAAGAAATGGCTCAGAGCAGGACCACGTAAATCATTGTTCTTTGATCCAAAAACAGTCAAAGTATAAATAGTCTAATGTGTAGGCTGCAATAGTGACATGCGGAGGATTATGTCCAGGATTGAATGTGGTAATAAGAGAATTATTTATGTCTTTGCATTACAACTATGGAGTTCAAGATATCTATGGAATAAAGTACGGATACAAGGGATTTTATTCTTATGATTGGATTAAGTTTGATGCAAACTATGTTAAAAACATTCATAATTTGGGAGGAACCATATTAGGTTCATCAAGAGGTGGATTTGATTTGAACAAGATAGTGGAGGCTATTGTTAATCATGGAATTAATCAAGTATTCTGTTTAGGAGGAGATGGTACTCATGGTGGAGTGTTGGAATTGTTTAAGGAATTAAGAAAGAGAAAGCTTAAGATATCAATTGTGGGTATTCCCAAAACTATAGATAATGATATTGCAATCATAGATGAATCTTTTGGTTTTGAGACAGCTGTTGAAGTAAATGTTTTAAATCTATTATAAGGAAGCAATTAATGCCATTAGATCAGCATATGTTGAAGCCAATTGTGCAGAAAATGGTGTGGGATTGGTCAGACTAATGGGTAGAAATGCTGGATTTATTGCTATGTCTGCTTGCAATGCTTCCAGAGATGCACATGTCTGTTTGATTCCAGAATTCAAATTTGAGTTGTATGGAGAAAGAGGGCTTTTGGAGTATTGTTACTAGAGACTCAAGAAGAAGGGCACTTTGGTTCTTGTCATTGCTGAAGGAGCAGGAGATGCTATGTTGGATTATAAAGTTAATGTGTTGGAGACCGATGCATCAGGTAACAAAAAACCTTAGGATGTTGGAGTCATTGTGAAGGATGAACTTACTAAATATTGTAAAAACAAAGCAATGAGTATCACTCTTAAACACATCGATCCTACATATATGATCAGAACAGTCCCTGCTAATCCTCATGATAAGATCATGTGCACTTAATTGGCTCAAAATGCTGTTCATGGTGCCATGGCTGGTTTCTCTGGATTCACTGTTGGTCATGTTAATAACAGATTAGCTTACATTCCAATTGAAGAATTGCTGTCTGGAAAGTACTCCAATAGAGTTGTAGCTGATAGTCGAGAATGGCAAAGATTGTTAGCCAGTACAGGTTAACCTTCATTCTTGAACAATGAGGAGCAGATGATCTAATAAAAATAATAATAATAAATTTGAGAATATTGATAAAGCATATCTATTAAAAACAAAATTTATAACATTCTTAATGAGCAATATTCGCCAACCAAATGATCTATAATTTATTAAGAGAAAGTCACCTTATATATTACAGGAAATACCATAAAAGCTCGTCAAAATATCAATGATGTCTCAAACTTAATTTAAAGACTTTCTTGAATCTTTATCGCTCAATTTCACTCAACTTAGTCATAATCTATAACAAATGCTCACTCTATATAATGTTCAAATATTTCATGAAAATGATGATGATTAGCTCTTGACTGACAGCGATACTGATACATTCACCAAATTCTAGAGAGACTGGCTCATTAAAACCATCTGTAAAGTTGGAATCAATCATCAATTCTGGCCTGAAATTGCATAAGTCTTAAACAAATCTCTTTAAGAAGTCAAAGCCTTTTGGATTAATCTGCAAGATAATTGGACCAACGATTTAGACAACAAGTTGACCCACTTTCGAAATTAGTAGCTAAATTGGCTAGAAATAGCTTTAAGACTCGACAAGAACAAAATGAACTGCAAACATAGATGGAATAATGTACTGGATCCTAATTTATGCAAAAGTCCTTTCACCATTCAAGATGACATTCTATTACTCCAAAAAGCCATTTAATTAAGTTTTGATTGGAAGAAAATATCAAAGATTATATAACCAAAAAGGAGTCAAACAGATCTAATTTCTAGATTTATCATATTATAATCACAATACAACAATATTGATAATCTCATCCAAAGAGTTCAATTTACGATTGCTCAACTCCCTAAATACGATAAAAATTCCATGCGGATTCTGCCTCAAAAATAATCAAAGAAGATCTAGAAGACTGTTGTAGAATATGAAACACTCTCTATTCTAGATCTTAATTTACTTGACGCTATGTCATTATAATTTTGTTTAGTAAAGCAGGATTAAATATTCTTCGTTACTCTTGAATACATGCAATAGTTAGTTAATTTGAAGTTAAATTAAAGAAAACTCTTATAATTTATCAAATGATTATTATTATAATCAATTATAATTACATTATTTCAACATATTTTTAATAATCATTCTCCATAATGCTAACTGACATATTCGAAAATTTCCAGTGCTTCTTTCTATCTATTTAAGAAATTTAGAGTTTTAGCTATTTAATTAAAGGAATATCTACCTTTATTTGTTAGATACTCTGGTTTCTCTCCATATGCTAATGCAGAGTCAAAACACTCTAATGCTTATTAATACCTTCCTGAGGCAAGTAAGGTGATACCTATAATTAGAATTAGTATAACCTTTTTGATTTAATGTATCTGGTGAATCTGGTTCAATGGCGAGAGCAGCATCAAAATATTTCAAGGCCTCTTAATATCTTTCTAAAGTATGGAGTGCAACACCTTTTCATAAGCAAAAGTTATACCAATATTATGATTTATGGAGGATGAATTTGAATCAAATCCAAGCGCTGCTAAATAACAATTTAATTCTTCTTGAGAATTTCCTAATTTATGTAAAATGGACCCTAGAATTCTCTTTCAAAAATACCTTTAAGATGCAAATATTCTTTTTTAGTTTTTATGTCTAGAGCTCGATTAATAGTCTCAAGTGCTTGATCATATTTTTATAATGATACTAAGGCTTAAGCTACAAAATAGTTAGATAAATAAAACCTTTCTTCAGATAAAAATCTGGATTAATTTGAAGCTCTAAGGCTTTATCATAACACTCTATTGCTTCATCACATAGTTTCAAGGCCTATAAGCTGTAACCTGATAATTTAAAATTGCCAATTCTTACCTTTATGATAATAAACTGCTTCCAATTTTAAGTTCAATCTTAAACAGTCATTAAAGGCATCCACGGCTTCCTCGTACTACTCTAAATGTACCTAAGAAAGACCTAATTTATTTTAAATAGAATTTATTACCCTTTATCAAATATGCTTAATCAATGTTAGAATCGATCTTTATAGCTTATTTAGTAAAATTTAATGCTTCTTAAAAGTTTTCTTGTTTATATAAATCAATAGCTAAAATATAATAGCGATTTAACCTGAAGCTAAACACTGCATTGCTAGTTATTCTTACTTCAATCCCTAAGTTTAGGTTGGTGATTCTTAACTTTTATTACTATTTTGTCTCTCTATAGATCCTTATGGAGCTGTTGCTTGAGTTTAAACCTAAATAGTTTCAGCCTTCATATATGGTTATAAGAATTAATCCAAAGACCTTTTGAATTTTTTTATTTCATCTAATTACAATCCTACAGAATTTAGAATGAAATTCGATACCAATATTATTGCTTTTAACATATTTATTTTAAGTAACATTTCTCCATTGCTTTAACTATTCTAATTGATTATTAACTTAAGAGCAGTCTTCATTATTTAATTATTATAATAATTAAGTCAACTTTAATTTTTCACTAGAAATAAATTTCAGATGTTTATCGAACAAAAGTCTCATACTTACCATTATATTCGATTCTTGCTTTTCCAAATTATCTAAGATTGTAATGCTGTCTCCTATCATTTGTATGATTTTGTCGAATCTCAAACAATCATATTGATGTCTTGAATGTTATTGGCTGTAACAATTAAAACAGATTTATTTTGGCCTTTCACATTCCTAATTGAAACAAAATCCAATTATTGGTTCATTGGGATGATCTAATATCTAGCAGAAATACCCATAATTCATTTGATATTAAAATAATTAATATCTTTTAATTCTGAAAAGATTCTTTAATAAATATTCTAATTCTATTAGTTTTATTACTCTATTTGATGTTTGTATTTGAAAAATAGAGTGGTTGTAAATATTATAACATATAAAAATTATTGATCATAGTTAGATACAGTGAGTATCCTAAACTTTAAAAAACAAATTGGGCATTCCAGTGATCTCATTAAAATCCTCATTCAAGATCCCTAATTTCATAAGTATAGATGATACCAAATACAAATGGGGGTTTGATAATATAACCATCAGCAATTTAGACATCAACCATCTTAGGTCTGTAATAAGTGCTAAATCTTCCTAATCCAATTACATTGTCTGAAAACCTAACCTTGCTATTCACTATGAATTAGGGGACATAAAGATTCTAATCTATTGGTACTTGCACTCCACATTGATTTAAAATCGATTGCACTTTCTGCATTGTGATCTCCTCATTATCTACAATTAAATTGATTACTCACATTCAAATACAAAAATGCTTGTACTACTCTAATCAGAGGATATCAAGTAAACTTTAAGATTGCCTGAATCAGACACGAAAACCTTCGCAGTCTCAGCGTTAGACACAGATGGAAATCCATTATAAATGAGTCTTTGATGTTAAGCCAATCTGCATTTTGCCCATTTGAAACACTCTTTGCAAAAACTGCTAATGACTTTATCTGATGAAAGTGAAACCTCAGAATTGGATAGGTTCAATTATTCAAAACCCTCAAAGTACTACTTAATGTAAGCATTAAAGTCATCACTTGAATGTTCTTACAGTTTAATTCCCCTAAATCCAAATTCCTATTTAAATCTCAATATTATTGTACAGTTTTTATGAGATTATCCTTGTGCGAACTAATTGTTTCATTATCCAAATCAATCTTTGTATTTAGAGTGGTCAGACAATACAAGGAGCTAAATGCATCCGTATTTTATATTGTATTGTTATCACAAGTAAGGTAAAGATGCTATAGGAATATGGGATCCATCTATTTAGGTTGATCTATATCAGAAGGTCTTCTAATGGCTTCGATAATATTATACTATACCCATAACTGTGAATCTTGTTTCCGAATTAACACTTTACACAACTTTCCACTTGAATCCCAATTCTTTCAATTTGGTTGTAATTTCTTTATTAGCTTAGAATGAATCGCTCTAATTGTAATGATATAATGCCATTCTAATTTCTAAGCAAGGATCAATTTCCCAAATAAATTAAATAATAACTTTAAGCAACTCCTGAAATTATTAGGGATCTACTGTTGAAAAGTGACTTAACACTATTCTTCTTTCTTGTAAAGACTGATCTAGATAACACTATCCCAAAGCCATCAACTAGGATTTTTAATATATTCCTAAACAAAAGCTATCATCTTATTGATCATATTGATTTTGCATCAATTGAACTTCTCCTCTCCATGACTTCTTGAAATCCTCATTAATATTGTTTAAATGATCTATAACTTTTTCATCAGTCAATTTGCATTTTTTCACCTTTAATGTATCATCATCTTCAGGAATCCCATTTTATTGATCAGTAATAGGGCCAGCTGCATGCAGAGAATTCTAATGTTTTTGCTCAGATAGAGGAAGACTTATCTATGCTTGCTATTTATTATTGGAATCATAATTGGATGTCACCTTAATTGAGTTTTACTTCTAAGGTGTAGCACTTCCTTATTTATTTGGCTATCTAGCTTGAACTCCTTTAGGAATTGTGGTAATGATTTCATTTTGGTCATGTTATTTGTAAATTATTCTCTAAAAAAGGGATTTAAAACACAAATTACTTTTTGATTTTGACTTTATTCCTATCTTTTTGGAGGTCTTATTCGTCCTGGTTGTATCGGTTTTTCTGGACTCATTTTAATTTGATCTCTGGAGTTTGCTTGATTGTATATTGATTTATCATCCTTAGCAATTGATGAGGTTTCTTCTTATATTATTGCTTCACAGTTTTTTATTCTTTTTAAGAGAGGTTTGGATATGAATTGAACAATCTTACTAGAATCTTCTGCCGGTTTTGTTATGGCAACAAAGAAGGGATCTGGTTTGATCGAAAATTGGTAATAGTTAGATAGTATTGAGTTTGTGATGTATGAGATGTCCTTTCTCATCTAGAAATAGATAATGTGAGATTTAAACCTTGATCAAATAGTTTTCTCTTTGATATAGATATGGAAGAGAGATGCTTTCATGGGAATGGATATTGACCAAGAACTTCATTAAGTATTGTCTCCAACCAAGAATCTGTTCTACTACATTGATTGAGAGAATCCTTAAATGTGTGATTAATTCAGCACTTTTTTGCAATAGTTATTCATCTCCAGGACAATCCTAGAATTATTGGATGTGATTAATCAGTAATGCTAAACACTTTTCTCTGGCTTCCACAGCTTGCATGCAGAGCTTAATTATTGGGTATTGTAATACTTGTATATGCGATTTCTTTTGTTGCATTTCTTCTATTTCGAATTGAATTGCTTGAGTGTTTTTTGGTAGTGTTTGCAGACACATCAAAAACAACTATCTAAATAATTAGTCAATTGATATTACCTATGAAACTCAGGAATAATGTAATAATCTTGAACTTCGATTAATTTTGCTGTGTTATTGATTTACTTGGGTTTCTGTTTTTCCACGGATTCATTTTTATTTTAATTTTAAACATAAAATCTATTATTCCAATTTTCTTCCTAAGAGAATCATCAAATAATGAATACTTTCTTCTTTAATTAATTCATCACAATCAAATGTCGAGATTTCGTATTTACTACTTGCTCCTACTTTGACTTACGATGTTCCATAAATTATTGTTCAAACATAAATATATAATAAAAATATATTAATATTTGTATAACTGTTTAATTAATTGCACTTTCTAAAAATTAAATTATCCAAAGTAGAAGCATTCTCAGACGCTCCTTGGAACGTGCTAACTTTCAATTTCATCGCAACACCTGGAACCCCTTTCATGAGACATATCATTATGTATATTTCTGATAATCTTATTAAATGATTTATGAACTAAGATTTCGTACGTATATTAATTTAAATAATTAAAATGAACGCAATGTGTCCATTACTCAGACGAGATAGCTTTAATGAGGAGGAGCAGCTATATTAACACAGTGAGTGTGATTAAGTTGAATTTTAGCTAACCAATAACTGGTGTTAAGCTGAGGCTGACACCGATCCCAATATAATCGACTCAAAAAGCCCCTCAATTAAAAAGAAAAGACAAGGCCGATACAAGAATGTTCCCTACACCTTTGGCCGACACTTCAGGAATTGGATTGCGACTGAGGTTGACTCCATTCGATGTCCAGTTGTTTAAAAATTCATCTCCAAACGTAAGACTAATCCTAGATATCATGACAGCTTTAAGGATTTCAATGAACTATTCCAACACTCAGGTATTGGTAGATAACTAGGTTAAATCTTTTTTGGACAAAAGAAATGGGTACAATACTTACTTGAGAATGAAAGAGTAGATGGTTTATAAATATACTTTGAAGTTGAAAGTACTTATTACGAAGCCGCCCTTAAAGGAGCCAAAATCACTGAACAAAAGGTGAGAAATCTTTGATAACTTTTTATATTTATTTTTGGTTGTACATTCCTGAATGTATAATATTTATAATTTACACATATATCCCATTAAAGATGTCTTCTATTCTAATTGCGATTGAATCAACAAAAAAATCCCATTTCTCAAAACAATTGATTACACACCACTGAAGATTTAAGTAATTCAAATATTGAATTTTAAGAATTAAAAACAATATTGTTGTAAAGTGATCTGATTAGATGAGAACAAATAGTTTAGATCTAGCACTAATCTTTTTAATTTAATAGACTTATTCAATTTGAATTAAGTTCATATGACTTTGACTTTGATCATCAAAATTTATATGGCATTCATAAACTCATTCGATAATAGCATGGATTAATGATCCTGTAGATAGTTAATCTGAAAATTCCTTCGATAATTACAATTTGGATGGTTCACCATTTACATTAAATTTAATAAAAAATTATAATTAATTTTACTGTTAAATTTTTATTATAAAATTTAAATTATAAACCTAATCTACATATACAAACAAAACATCCTGGACAATGGTTACTCAAGTATAACTACTTTGATTACATCAGAATGGATGATTTTATCAAACTTCAAACCCTTCAAAATGCGTTATTTGTGATCATCTAATTAATTTCATGGAAGATGATCATCAGAAGCAATTAATGAGATGATTAAATTAATAGTATTTTCAAGAAAGGATTCATGAAAATATTAACAAATGTCAGACATCTTCTTAATTTTACATGAATTAATATTTAATTAATTATACTATTTTAATTTAATTAGTTATAGATATATAAATATATTCAGGAGTCGAATACATTTTGAATTAGCTATGGGTCTTCTACTTCAGTCACATCGGCTGACTGTTTCTCTTGTTGTTCTTAGAACATATATTGTTTATTATCAATTTGTTCAGACGTAGTCTAATTTTAATTATTCCCTTTCCAATCGATTTCAAATCGAGTTATACGGGGTTTATTATTGAAGATTTAACGTGAAATATCTTCTATAATAATTTTGGGGGGGTCGTTCTCTATATTCTCTTGAGAGGTATAGGTAGTGTAAACATAGTAACCAACTCTAAAGAATTCCTTTTCCCTGTAGGAACACGTGAGGATGAAGGCTGTGATACCTAGTAATTCGTTTTGGGGAATTTTTTGCCAATCAGGAGGATTGCATTCTAGAGTAAAATGTTTTGCTCCGGCTTAAAGCGGTCCCATTGAGAACTAATCAAGTACCTGATCATGTTACTCATCTTTGGGTGAGCCAATAAAGAGAAGCCTACAACTAAAATATTGATGTACATCCATTCGATTTCATCCTCAATGTCAACGATGACATCGAAGAAAATGTCAATATTGATTGGACTTTCGAAAGGCTATGGCTTATCGTCAATAACAATGTTGGTTATGTTCACTAAAGACATTAAACTTTTAAATTAATTATTAATGAATTAATAGAGGAATAATATTAATTTCAATTAGATACAAGGGTTTTAGCTTTCTGTTTCATTTCCACTGTTGTTAATTTTTACTTCTCGGAACCTAATATTTTAGGTTGCTTCTGCGTTTATGATTTAATGTTGCATGAATCTCTGGAGATTGCCATTTCTGCCACTTTTGATGGAGTAGCTGAGATTCTAACATTGTTGGTTAACTGAGTTTCTGTGAATGTTTGGGTTTAAGTATGGGCATAGGAATATTGTTCACTCTCCTCGATATCAGATGCAGCAATCCCCAACAATTTTGACATCTTTAACACCTAGATCTTTTGTATGTAGGGATTCAGGCCAAATAAGTAATTGTATTGTAATATCTGGGTATTGATTAACGCCAAGAAGATATTATAATAGAGGTTGAGTGAATTTGTGAATTGAGCTGCAATCACAATCAATAAAAACGGGGTATAGCATATCAATTGGGTGAATAATGCTACTTTGAGTGTTTTAATGAAATTCTTACGAAATTGTATTGTTAAATCTTAGGAACTCCTATCTGCTTAATTATTAATTAATACGTTCTGAGCATTTTGATTGACAACCCTGTAAAAATGGATATAATAATCAGTAGGAAGGTTAAAGAAGCGAATAGGTCGATCACTTAAAATCTGTTATTGGGAGGGTAAAATATTCTGTACTGGGAATCATGGACAAATAGATTGAGTAAATTTAAAAGGATTGGGGCAAGTATGGCAAAAAATATGAATTAATTCTAAGATTTCTTCATCTCATCAAGAAACTCCTTGGATTGGGTTTATAGAAGGAAAAATGTTAGGAATTGCAATATGGCCATAAATGCCAATGATTATTGTAGTGTCAATGAAAATGTAATCCAAGTTCCAACACAAACCAAATGCATATCAACAGTTTATTTGCACAAAAACATATTAATGATTTCTGCTGTGAGAGTAAGGATTGCAAAAAAGAACATCAAAAATATATAGTTATCTATAGGATTTTTCTTTCTGGTAATTGTCAAACCTGCTCTCATCAACCCAGTGAACATGTTAATCGATATAATGATCAATTGGATAACATTCAAGTAATTGAACATATTATAATTAAATTAAATTCTTTATAGTTTTGATCCAAACACTTTGATCTGCAAACACAGAAGAGTTATACAGACTAAGGTAGTCATAAATATTTTATTTTATTATTATTATTATGTTATTATAAGGATCAGAAATCCTCCCTATCTAATATTCTGTTACATTCAGCCAGAACCTTGTTTCTTTCTCTTCCAAGATAAAATGTTTCACCCAAATTGCACATATCAAAGTATTTTTTATTGTGTTTCAAAAATTTAATTGGTTGAAAGTAGAGATAAGCAATTGGCCAAACAACAAAATAAGGAGCCCATGAGAATCTCTTTGTCTAAAACATTCTGACCATAGAAACAGCAGCTGCACATGCCCAACCATCAACAAGAGAGGAATAAGTCACATCATAACGATACCTAACGAAAATAAGTACATAATCATACTCTCTTCTAACAACATATCCCCAATCTCTTTCCTCTTATGTTTTGTAAAAATTAGTGTCGAAGTCAGCAATAAATTTCTAAACAAATGCCTTTCTCAATTTAGCTGCTTGCATCTCTTCAGCTGAGTATCCTCGCTCGTATTCCATCTCCTCTTTGGCATTCACATATCTACGAATTGCTCTTGACATCTTTTATTTAATTAATATATATTATTCCCAAGATATGGATCAAGGTAAATAATCCTCCAAAAGCAGCATAAAAGTTGGAATACAACCTAAAACATTTGCCAACACAGTGCAGAATCCCAACATGTCTGGTTAATTGGGCTAGGAATAGAAACCCAAATCTAGATTTGTATAACCCAATATGGCTAATTATGCAGCAATGCCAGCATCTTAAAAGGTCTCCATTAAACCAGTTGACATGAGTCAACAATCAAATAAAAGAAATGAGGATGTTAATTTAGCCACTTTTCTTGTCCCTGACGGAATGACCAAAGAATAATATTAATAATAAAGTGCAGTCGTTTCTCAAAACTTTTAAATTGTTGATCTCTATCCTGTTTAAATTAAAGATGCAGACATTAAAGATGAATAAGACACCGCTGCAAGTTAAGAATAAGAGGAAGTCACGCCCTATTAAATTAGTGTTTATCATCTCAAGGCTCAAAGATAAAATTTTAATATTGTCTTGAATGTCAAGGATTCCGATGATAGAAACACGAGAAAAGAGGTCAATTATTAAGAAACAGAAATCGGAAAGTTTGGAAATGCTGCCGTTAATATGATTTATCGCTAGAAGTTATTGTACTTGCCTCAAAAGTCGATCAAACTAGAATAACAATAAGGGAGAGTTCTGCCTGTTGCACTTGAAACACTGCCATAATCATAGGACAATTATAAAAGAATTTCTATTAAATTATCTGATCAAGTTTAGGCCATATTGTAGCAAATTAAAGAGAATACTTCCTTATTTGATTAAGTTGTTAAAGAACTATCAAAATATTCAGTAGTTTCTTAAGTTAAGTAGATAGTTATTGATAAATCATATAATAAAATCTTGGATAGGTTGACTGTGTTGCAATAAATAATGAATCAAAATCTAAATAAGATCAATGAACTTATTTAACTTACTGAAATTCAAAATGAAAAAGTTCCTGCAGTTTCAATGTAGAATATGGTTGATTTTATACTCAAATTGCCATAATAATAAAGCATTGAATTTTAATAACTTAAATATGCTTCATTTTATACATGCCAAATTATGTGTAAATAATTGGAAGTGCAAGAAGAATAATGCACTAGTTGTTCTTAATTTGTCATTCAATTCAATCAAGGTGTTGATGCTGTGTAAATTCTGTATGATTTCGCCAAACTTAAGATGCCGAAATTATACAACAAATTGGATATAAGTAACAATAAATTGAATCTCATTGTGTTACCATACTTAGAATTTCGATAAAAGAACGATTTCATCCTTCAAGATATTTAGAAAGTATCATTTACATGCTATTTACTAGTATCTAATAAAAATGACTGAGAAGAAGCATTTCATTATGAAAACTCTGATGCAGGAGATCATGACAAAAGAAGAAGTGGAACAACTAGATTAAATCTATATCTTAAATCAATATGCCACTTATAGGAATCAGATTATCAGAAATCCAAATAAATTTAACTATGAAATCCTCAAAAAAAGACCACTCTTCATTCTTTAATAAATTAAATTGTAACTATTCTTATGAATTAGACTCTTTCATGCTCAACTATAAATCGAAGACTTATTTTATAAAATCTAAAATTTGTAAAACGTCTATGACACCTATGTTCAATTTCCCAATTTCGAATAACAATTAAAGCAAGTTCAATTGAATAAGATGAAAATCTAAAAGCAAACTCTAGAGACTGATGATTAAGAAATATTCAGAGACAAAGTAGTTGAATTGAAGTAAGAAATGATCGAGTTAAATTAGACAAGATATGGACATATTGTTTAAGTTTCAAAACATGTTTCCAAGTGAAGTTGAAGGTCTTCCATATGGATTTATACGCATTAAAGATTGGATAGATTGTGAAATTGGATCTGGATTGACTTTGCTGAGAATATTGAATAGCAAATTGCATTCCATTGATATATTGGAGAACTAAATCAGTGAAGCTGAGGGTCTCCAATTAATTGAAAAGAGTAAAAAATTAATTGCCTAAATTCAAAAATTGATTGATTAAGAAATTCCACTTAACTATTATGATTCTAAATTTAAATTACCATCTGAAATCTAAAATGCTGTCCTAGAAATTACTAATAAATATTTATTGGATGATGAAGCTAAGCAAACTCCTTAAAGAACACCTTTGCAATTACCACTTGCTCCACCAAATGCATAAATGAATTTATTAGAACAATGCTCTAAGGTTCTTGAAAGATTATCCAAAGCCAGAGAAAGCATCCTAATTAAAAAACAAATAATACAAGAAATAAGCACTCAATATACATCACTCAATGATTTTTGCTTTAAATATCAAATTTGGGAACACATCAATGCAACAAGATATTTGATGACTTCCCAAATGTTCTATGATATTATATCTACAATCATTAGTGTAGAACCATAAAAATTTACTCTTGATGGTATTATCAAGAAAATTAGAGATCACATGATATATTTTGAAATGAATTAGAATGTTTAAACTAGCATTTATTTCAAAGTGCATCTAAAGGATGGCCTTCAGTTATTATAATTATTTAAAGACAGTCAAGATGAATATAGTAGATTATTAATAGCTAATTCAAAGAAGCCAGGATCGGTTTCAATCGATTCATTAATCAATACCTTAACCAACAATGTGAATAACTTTCTAAAAATTAAGACATGCACATTAACTTAATAAAAGGATGCAATTTTGAGAGCCATGCCATAGTATATTGGAATGATTAAAGAGCAATTTGAGGATTCATCTAAAGCTGCTGAACTAGACTAAAAGTTTTCTGAAGCAGAAACGGTGCTTGTTGAAACAGATTCATTCTTTCAAAAAGGAGAAAACAAATTAGGGAAGATTTATGAATTAGGAGTTGAAGCTGTTGGTTAAGAAAAAACAAAAAAAACAATGTCTCTTGAATAATTTAGAATGAGTTTAGGCTTTGATTCATAAATCTAAATTTTGAAAGATAAAGCAGAAGCAGCTCATAATTAATTCTTGATGTAATATATTATCTAAGACTATTTATAGGTACAAAGAAAAGCTATCTCTAAATAGTCTTCCAATCTACAAGAATAAGTTAGAACAGAAATTGAAAGAATTTGACTCCTTAAATCAAACCATTCTTATGTTTGATAAGACTATTACTTCAATTTATTATAGTTCCATTGATTTTCTAGATGCCTTAACTGAATTGTAATAGAAAATTGAGAACATGCTCTCATTGGCTAATTCTTCCTTCATTTTAGAAGGATTGAATAAATAATTGAAGCAACAATAGGAAACCTATGGAGAAGTGAAAAAAATATAATCAGGAGCGAAATTACATCCTTCAATAGAACCTATAGTTTTAACTACCTAAGAAATTTAGGTTAATTTGATAGAAATGCTCACAAATATGATTTAAATTATCACTGCCTTTGTTGAAATATATGATGGTTTCATGTTGTTTTAAGACTAAATCAACTTATTAAGTGAGGAATTCTTTTAGACTGTATACAGATGGTTAACATTTTATGAAGGAAAACCTTCTGATAGAAAATTAGTCTATACGGAGGCTCTGACAAAGATAGATGTGGCTATTGAAAAAATTGGAAAGTTTCCAATACTAAGAGTTCCTTGTACCAAAATTTATTAGACTTTAAAAAAAGTTGTTGAAACATATTAAAGAGATGTAAATACTGAAGTTATGAAAATGCTTTCAGAGTTTGGATAAACCTATTAAACTAAAGGAAATAAAGTACAAAGTTTCTAAGAATTCTAAAATGAATTAACATATTTATTAACACCTGAAAATTCCAAAGAAGCCACTAGAAAAGCACTGCAAGCATTTTTTGAAAAAAACAAAAAGGCAGAATAACCATTATCTAGAATGTCTTAATTCGTTAAGGCAACATAAACTATTTCAAAGGATGAAAGATTGAAATCTATGAAAAGGTTAAAAAAACTATAGAATCCAGATGAAATTCAGACTCAAATGGGTGGTGGACAAATGGATTAATGGATAGGCTCTTGTAAAAATATGACTAATGCTTTGGAAATGTATTTTAAGAACGTAAATGACAATCAACTTCAGCCATTAGTAAATTATACATGTAAAATAATTAACATATCATATAGAAAAAATCGAAGACTCTGCTAAGGGAATGAGCAATTAAGATCTAAAGAAATTTATTGGTAGATTTTTAGAAATGCTTAAGATAGATTATAATCTCAGTAAATTTTAATGACTCTTTTAATATTATATTTTTTAAATATATAATCAAGTTGTAATTAAGAATTGTCTTTTATCAAACTAAATAACTAGATTGTATAAAATACTAAAAAATGCTATATGATGTACAATATTCCAATTATCGTTGTGCAGATTGCAACAGATAGACCATAATCATGCAAGGACATATGACTTGGAGTTTTATTATTTTCCGCATATAACCATAACGCTATACTAAAAAATTAATATTCCATACAATAAGCAGAATAGACCTCTTCCAAATTGATTGGATGCAAAGTAGAATTTTTCCACTATCACTAACCTTTTTGTTTCACCCAGCAAAAGCAAAAAATTCATAGTCCTAATCCATTATACAAAAATAGTACATTAAATTAATGTTTGTCATAATAGAGTTTATTTTATAAAAATCCTATTCTATACAATAAACGGTGGACCAAATACAAAAAATGAGAATCAAAATAAAGTTTAGCAAAGTGGCTAACTTTGAAACAAAGCTCACATCAATTTCCATTGAATATGCTATTTTAATTTATAAGTGAATAAATTAATAAAAATTATGACTAAATTTTATAATAAATAACTAAAGAATTAGAAGATATTATTTATTTAGAGTCTAAATATACTATATTGATAACCAAATCTTTGATTATCAAATAAATACTATCATAATATTAATCAGCTAATAATAAAAATCGTTTTTAAAATGATATAGGTAAAATTGTTCAATCATTTTGATCATCATTTTCCTCAGCAATTTCTTCAGGATATTCGCCTTCACCTTCTCCTTCCTCACCTTCTTCATTCAATTACTCAGGGTCAATTCCAAATAAGTGTAAGTTTTACTAAATTTTTGTAATATATTACACTAAAGATCTCTCTAAACTGATTGTTTTCATTGGCTAATTTCTCAACTTCCTCTTATAATTGTTATTTTTCATCACTTAAATTTTAATACAATGGTTTAAAATTTTCTATCAAGTCTAATAATAAAGATATGTATTTTAATACCTTCTAATCTTCTACAATCCTCATCTTTTGCTTCAAGCTATTGTTGTAAGTTCTATATCAATTGATCCTTATCATTATCCTAACTCTTTGATAATTTCTTATTAGATGAGAATTGATTTCTTGTATTTCTACTATTGTTTGCTTACTCCTCTTGAATTTATTGAATTGCTTCTTACATATCTTGAAGTTACTATTAGTATTATTCAATAATTTAGTCTTTCATATCTGACTCTTATTGTAGTTCTTCGATTTTTTTTTATATATCCTCCTAATAAATTATATTATGATTCATTACTAAATTAAATTCTTGAGTTATCTATTCCAATTGTTATTCCTTCTCATTGTAAGCTTGTTCAAGTTCGTTAAGTTAGGATTCGTACTATTGTCTCACTTTATTGATTTCATCTTGCAAATGCCTATTAGCTTAATTGAGTTTTGAATTTAAGTTTTTATTTTCATCTTATAATTATTAGATTTTTTGTTTATCTTCTCTATGTTTTGATTCATAATCCTATTCTAACTTGGCTCTAATTTAAATTAAAAATTTAGTTTTACAAACGCTTTTAAAAGTCCTTTTCTCTATCTTTTGCCATATTCAACTCAGCTCTAAGTCTTTCTGTTTATTATTATTCATCTTTTAATTGATTCATAACTGATTAACTAGGTCTATCAATCTCTTAAGGTTTTTGATTGGATGTATACTATTTTTTATCAAAACCTGAGTATTGCTAATCATATCTTTTGTCATGGCTATCAAGTTTTTTATCTAAATAATCATGTTTCTTTTCTGGATATTCTGGTTTCCTATTAACATCAATAGTTTTAGAATAATCAGGCTTTCTGGTTTCACTAGATAAATAATCCTTAGTTGGTGGTTGAGCTTTAAACTCATTCTTTTTAATTTAATTTGATTGTTCGAATTTAGAGGGAGCTGGAACAAAGTTCTAATTCTTTTGATACATTTCTAACTTTATCAAATAGGTGTACCTTGATAGGGAATGATTTCTGTTTTGTGTTATTAGTCGATTGGGCCTGTGCGATTATGAATTTATGAATCACAGGAATAACAGAGTCGATAAGTTTAACCATAACGACATTAGGAACATTTGATTGTCGCTGGTCTTTGTTGACATTTCTAACACTTTACAAATAGAGATTGCATATTTGAATTTATGTTTATGTATTAAATATTATTTGAATTTTCTATAAATACAGAAATATATATAAATAAATTATATTTATTATTTTTAATATTTTATATAACATCAAGCCCAGACTTGACCTCTAAATTATATAGCTCTGGAGTTCTTCCATCCTTTTTTAAAGTGATTGTAATACACACCATCTCTGACTGCATACATTTCCCATCTGAAATTTCATAGATTTTATAAAATACCTAAGAGAGAGATTATTTCTATAAAATCCTCTGGTCTTCAAGTAAGCAAAAGGATAGATCAAAGCAATTCCAGTCAAGAACATATAATATCTTACAGTCTTATCTGGTCTTTGGAAACCGCTTCTTCTTTACACAAATTGAATGAAATTTGTGACATCAAAAGCCATTTAAGGAGTAGATGCAGGTGTTCCATCTTCGTAATCGACAAGACCTATTCAAATGGAATTATATTCAATACCATCATGCAATTATCTAACCATACCAATAATCATGTGATCAAAATAAGGATTGTATGCTTTTCCTTTAGGAACATCCAATCCTTAATAAGGCTTGTAATGGTAACCAGTCAAAATGTTGTAGATGTAATTGATACCTCCTGGTCTGAGTCTGATTTTTGAGAAATCTGTTGGCCAAACTCCACCATTGGCATTTTTAGCTTGGTCTTAAGAAAAGTAAGGAGGGTAGATTCCTAAAATAAAGATTATTAAGAGAATGAGTACTGTCGTGAATATATCTATCTCTTTCGTCCCATTCTTAGTAGTAAAATTGCTTGAAATGATGATGAGCAGGATGAATAGTGAAATTGCTGACCAAGGCTGCCAATTCTAATTGCTTATAGACTTTATCCAATAAAACATCATATTTCTTATACACTATTCCATGGCAATTGGCACAGTTTCTAGAGAATACAAGAAATCTAAAGAATCACTATGCTTCATACCCTCTTCTTACACTTGCAGAGTCAAATGTACCCAAAAATCTGTATTATGGCCATGACATATGTCCTCTATGAGTACCTACTTCTGTGACTTGTTCTTCATAACCCTTGATACCCCAAAAGGCACCAATATCATCTCTGTAAAGCCAGGCATGTACAGTGTTGTCCTTTTGGGTGATCAACATTCCAACTCCCAAACAAAAAAGAGCCTTCATTTTTAAAATATTTAATATCTAATAAGTAATGTCACTATTTATATATAATGTACTTAAACAACATTTATAATAACCTCATTTCTTGGCTTGGGCTTTAGGTTGAGCTTTTTGAGTTGGTTATGGAGCAGTTTTGGCTGGAACAGTCTTAGCAGGTGCTTAAACTGGTGCTTTCTTGGAGTCTTTGGCTGGAGCAACCTGTTTAACTGGAGCAGCTTATTTAGTTTATTTTGGTTGCTAATCATTATGGATTAAATATTGTACTGCTGCTGTTTTAGTCTATTCTTTGATTTCAGAAGAGGCTTTTCTGTGTTTCTTGTGAGCCTCATGAACATCATGAGCCAACTTTTTATATGCTTCCAAAGCTTGCTTTGCTTTTGTTCTTCTGGCTGTTTCAGTCTTCTTTTGAATGGTCTTTCTTCTCAATCTTGATTCAGTAACAAGTCTTTAGATCTTTGGAGCCTTTTATCTCTTCTTTCCATCCTTTGTGGTCCAGGTTCTTCTGATGAGATTCTTTTAAACTATAGCAACACCGTCAGCCTTTTTGAATCCGAATAATCTTCTCAATTTAGTTAATCTCTTTGGACCCAATCTTCTTGGGACATTTTGATCTGTAAGTCCAGCAATTTCGTTTGCTCCCTTTTTAACAACTTATAAGGCAAGGACTCTAATGTCTTAACCGACAATGCATCCTCTAATTGATTTTCTCTTCATTTCACCATCTTTTCTGGGTCTGTAACCTTTGTGACCCTTTCTCATGAGAATTCTCACTCTGCCCTTGAATAAGACACCTTGTCTCATTGGAAATCCTTATTTGTCATTACCACCAGTGATTTTGAACACGTAGCCTTTGTATTCATCACCTAAATTGTCAGCTTCAACGACTTGACCCATTCTCTTATCAAAAAAGATTGAGCTAAAAATTATATATAAAATGTTCTTACCATTTCTTGTCGTCATCAATTTCGACTGTCTTTTAAGCTCCTGTCAAGGGATAAGAAATGTTAAACTAAATAAAATAGTTTCAATAGTTACCTTCATTAAAATCTTTGGATTTTTTTAAAAATTAGATTTAAAAATGAATATGAGGCATATTAATAAAATATATTCGTGAATAAAACAATCAAAACATGCCATCAATTTGAGCTCTTGGAATTTATATAAATGATACTCCAATTCCTAATTTAACAACAATTGCTACAAAGATCAAGTAAATTCAATGCTCTATTCATTATCCATCATTTTGCTTATACAATTTTAGAATAGGCTCATGTATTTTAGGAAAATAATTCACTTTCTATTAAGAAGATTATTTGCTCATTTCCTTTTGGTATTTCTATTCTGAATCTGAATGACCAAATGTTAATAGATATTAGATCTTAGTTTTATATGTTCTTTCTAAGAATTGTGGAAGAATTCAATCACACTAATTGAGTTGTTTCTAAATAACTCTCATAACCTAAGTGGAAATCTATGTATTACTGAGTAAGCTAGCCATAATTTAAGGATATTTTGGATAGAATGATTTATTAGTAAGAATATTAATTATAATTTGATCCAAATAGATTTTTGTTAATAAAATTCATAGCAAGTATATTTGGTTGTTTATCTAATAATTCAAATATATTGGAAGATTGAATTATCTTAACACTTCAAATCATGTATAAAATACAATTATCAAATAATTTGCATATAATAAATTATTCTATTTTTAATATTATTAATATAACTAATCAAAAGAGCAAAAATGCCGATCTATAATGAAGTTTGGGAGGAAGAGGGTATCATATTACCTGTTATATTAGATTTTATGTTTAGAAACATGATAAATCTATAAACATTAACAAAGAATCATGTAAAGCTATTAGATAATCTGAAATTTGAGTTTGTTGAATATAAAGTAATTTCTTTATAGAATTGCAGGCTAATTAATTATTGGCTTGCCATCTTTATGATAGAATGGCTCAACACTGCAAGAATCAATTCGGTCTGTTTGAGGATTCATATGTACCAGAATGCTTAGATGCTAGAAATTATTTCTAATTATGTGTGAGAATGAATGCCTCTTATGGACTGGCCAAAAAATATTTCCCAGAGTAATCATATCAGAGTATATTAGATATTTCTTAACCAATGAGTACTCAAGACCGAATCCTAATTTTAAAGAATTAGGACTTTGATCCTTGATACAAATACATATATTTATTATTATAGCAATTATCAACCTTTTAAATTTTATTCTTTAATCTATAAGTAAACTATCTTATTGGCATTATTTGTAATACATTGTTCATTCAAAAATTATTTTAATTTTAATACCTTTCATGTCATAAAGATTCAATATCTATAATTTTTAAATTAAATTGATATATCTGATATAATAATAATTCAATTGCATAATGTAAATTCTTTTTTGTATATTAATTAACTACATTAAGAACAATGATAGTGCTTGTCTTTGCAATCATCGATAATGAAAGGTAGCCAACATAAAGGCCAAAAAATGAGTAAAAGTAATAGAAATGCTAACACAGTTTATCCTCCTACTTTTCTTGTTGAAATAAGTGTATATTGACGTCCACAACGCATACAGCTATTTCCATTTGCTATCTATACTCCTGGTTAAACAACACTAAATTAGGAATAAAATAACAAACACTTGCATTTATTACTAAACAACTGGTTATGGTTAATTGACAACAATCTATTAATTTAGAGGATATTGTTGATATCCAAATTGTTATTATGGATATCCTCCTTGATAAGGAGGAGGGTAACCACCTTATTGAGGAGGATAACCACCTTAATAAGGAGGGAATCCAGGGTTTTATTAGTACACAACTTTTTGTTATATGTAATTTGGGCCATTTTTATTTTCAACCTAGAAGTATGCCATCTTAAAATATAGCAATTAGAAATTATAATATATAGAAAAAAATAAAATTTCACAGGATAATATAAAATGGCAAAATTATTCTAATACACTTATCTCGTTGCTTTGATAATCATTTGTTCTTGAGAGGTTAATCATGAAAGATTTATTTATTTATTTTAATAATTGAATAAAAGATAATAAAGGGATAGATATGTAAAATCTTTATAATTCAGTTTATATACTATTGCAAAAATAAGATTTCTTTAATTACTGTTCCACTTTTCTTAATGTTTACATATTAAGTTGCTGCAAATCACTAACTATTTAATCCTTTTTCATCATCAAAGATCAAGTTCCATAAAATGATTATTTATATTAATTATCAATTACTTGATTTTTAATTAACAATAATAAATCTATTAATTAATAAGTTAAAAAATAGTGGCTTGCCAATAAAATTCATGATATTTTGCATTTAAATAAGAGAAAAAATTTGGATAATAAGAGGAATCAAAATCTATACGAATATGGGAGATTTATTCTTAAACTTCTCATTCTAAATATTCATATATGTTGAGTAAGTTCAAAAAAGAATATTGATGAATACTAAGTTTCTTTTTGTATATATATTGAGTGAAAATAGATTCTTAAATTTCAAATTTAAGTATTCTTTTGATAAAATTTAAATTGCAAAATGATATTTAAAAAATTAGAAAAAGAATTTAAAAACCTTACTTTTTGATTAAGTTATTCTGTTAATAAATTAGGTTTGAAGAATCGTTAGATAAATTAGTTGTTTTATTTTTTATATTTAAAATTAACACCTTAACATTCAAAGAAGATCTAAACTTAGTATAACACATATCTTATTAAAGCAATATAATATAAATCATCTAATATTTTTATTTAAGCTTTTTGACAATGTTTCTTGGATTCTTTTATTTAAATTAATGAGTTTTTAATCAACAGAATCCGTTTAAGCTGTCTTAATAGTAGCATTATTGTTATTGAAAGAACTTGTTAATTTATTACAACTATTAGTAGTAGTCTCTCTATTTTCTTAGCTTAATGTTAATTAGTCAAATGTTTTTTAAGTTTATGACTATTGTTAGTGTTGTAACTAAAATGAAGAATTTAAAATTGATGATTTATTAGTCAAACCAAGATCAAAGTTAGTAAACTGAATATCTTTTAGATTGACTAATAACTGCTAGATCTCTAACCAATCTGGTCTTTAATTAAAATCAATGAACAGCATCTTTTTGAGTATTGAGTCAACTCTTCCAGGATACAGCTACTTCAACTAGTCGAAACAATCATTCAGGTGGACAACGCTAAGCACTCCAGTTTCAAAGATGTAATCACAATTTTTTAGTAGGCAGAGAGACAATATTATCATACTAATGTTTATACAAATAATGATTTACCCTAATCCAAAAACATCTTGCTTGAATCTATTGACTCTGAGATTACCTCCTGATTCTGGGGATTTGTATTAATTTTCAAATAGATGTGGTGCTCTGGCTCTGAAAGGACTGACATCTTGAATTCGGTAAAGTAAATATTCTTCGTCGAAGTACACTGATTCCAATGTCAAGGCAGAGTGGGTGATGCCCCTTTTTTGGAGAAATACGAAAGCCTCGCATAATCCCGAAATCATCTTCCATATTTCTTCTTCAGGGACATATTCTTGTGTTTTTGATCTTTTATCAATCAACTATTTGATGTCCAAGGGAAGATATTCGTAGAAGATTTTGAGTTGTCTGTTTTGGCTAAATTTGTCGCTTTATTCTTCAAAGAAGAGGAAAGAGACTAGATTTGGGTGTTTCCATTTGGTTCTTTCTTGGATAGCGCTTACCTCTTCAGGTCCCACAGTATTGATCCAACAACACAAATACTTGGCAAAAGGATCCAATCTATAGATGGAGGAGGTGGGAGAGATATCAATAACGTGATTAATGGAGGTGTACGCGGTTATCATGTAATCCTTGGGATTTTCATTGGGTTATCTGGGTCTTGGTTCGTTTTGCACGACTGGATTGTAGGATTGGGTAATTTTGTGTAAGGGATAGGGTTGTTATCTTTGGGCAACACAATATTCTGGGTACATGTAATAAATTTCTGTTAAAAATAAAATCAAGTATAAAATAGGTTTAGTTTGAGAAATATTTCTATTTAATAAATGAAACTAACTAATTAGAAATGAATGATTGATTATATTAATTATAAATTATGTTTAGAATGTTTGATCCGATGTATCAATCAATGAACCAGATACTGGAGGAGAGTGGGAACATTTTATGGTTGGGAGATTGCACTGCTGCCTATGATAGAAGTTTATTGGATGGTAAGGGGATAAAGACTGTTTTGACTGTGGCTTCAGGATTGAATGTGTCATATTCTGAAGGAGGGATGGTCCATAAAGTAAATTAAAAATGAATTTTACAAGGTATATCACATTTTGGATATTGAATCATCAAATATAGCAAGATTGTTCCCTGAAACAAGTCAATAAATAGCAGAGGGTCTGAAGAGAGGGGGGGTTTTGGTTCATTGTGCTGCAGGAGTGTCAAGATCAGCATCTGTTGTGATAGCATTTATTATGAAAACTAGAGGGTGGTTGTTTTAGGAGGCATTTGAGTTTGTTAGGAAGAGGAGAAGTGTTGTCTTTCCAAATTATGGATTTTAAAGATAATTGAGAAATTATGAAAAAGATTTAAAATAAAGCAAAGTTTAAGTGAGTTTGGATACACCAATCAAGCAAATTTAAAAGTTCCAATAGGAGGGCTAGAAAGAGAAAGTGGAGCAGTTAGGCAATGTGGAATAGAAGGTGAAAAGTGTGTGTAACAAGACGAATTTTTTGACTCCTTAGAAGCAAAATCAAAAATAGAGACAACTTTATCAATCTGCAAAAGTGAACTATGCTAAACAATATCAAGTGATCCAAAACTCAACAAGAGCGAGTTCGTCTGTAAAAAGCAACCTGGTTGATCCACAATTCAATTTTACGAATCAGGGGCCTATGATCATATCGTATTAGCAGTAGAGAAAAAAAGCAGCAGAAAAGATGCCCGAGATAAATAAAAGGAATTTATACAAGTGAATATTATAATTAATTAATGAATCCTCGGAGAGCTTAATCAAGTGGAAATAGAGCTTCGTCTGCTGTCAAACGAGTTGCTATGCCGAATGGGTACACTTTATACAATTAGAGTGGGCAGAAATTTCATTTGCCCAACATGAAGAAGTACTGCAGTTATATGAATGTAAAAGTGCATCGCAACGTTCTATCGAAGAGGCTGAGAACAGGGCCAAAACATCAACTCTATAACCAATGCATAGTGAAGCACAGACGATTGTGCATCAAAGACCACAAAGTACAATAGAAGTAAAATAAATTTGAAATTCATTTAGACGCCTGCAGTCATGATGAATAAGTACATCAATTACAGAATAGCACAGCCATACTCATCCACAATAGATGTGAATGCCCGTTTGTGGGAAGCAAGTAAAAACACAACTATCGGTTTGAAAAGAGTTTCATCAGCTGTCAAGAAGGAAGAAACAGAATATTAGTAGGATTGTGAAACTATTAGCGGTACCTTAAAACCTTACGAATTTCTGTCATCTCTTGGTGGCAAAATGATCTCAAATGATCCTTCTAAATAATAATCAATAGATGTTTCTAGACAAAATAATACACAACAGGTACGTCCTCAAACTGTGACATCCATAGGCAAGATGGACTTCACTATTATTTAAGAACAACAATAAAGACTCTCATCTGCTTAATAAACGTTAACTAGACCTCCTGTTTCTAAACGACCAATGACATCTATATAGAGACCTTAATCTCAAGCATTTGACAACTAAGAAAGCAAAAGAGTTAAATAAGATCGAATCTAAAGTGCTACTCTTGACGTATTTTAAAAACCTACTACTCAAAAACATAAAAAACAATTTAACGAAATGATAGACTAACAAGTTCTAAGACCTCAAAGCAATTGGAGTCACCAACGACCTCTATCTTCTAAAACAACTGCCCCACAATCCTTCTTCAAAATCTATACCAAATTTACTAACCTCAGTGCTCTTGATTTACCTTATGAAGAACTTTTCGATAGAAATGAAAGAACTGTGGCAGCTACTTTTGCTAGATTTGGAGATCTGGGTTATTATTCACCAATATAAAGGATTGGAGTCTATATGCAATTTTCAGCAAAGTTAAAAAAGGAGCATTTACTCAAAATAATAGATTTATAAAAAACAATGAGTTCAGCTGAGAAAACAGATGGAGAGGTACCCATCTAATTGGCAATTGTAAATGAATTGTTTCCAAAGTAAGGAAGAGACAAAACTGGTATTAACTCAGGAGCTAATGATGCTTTAACTAGAGAGCCAGTATCCCTTTGTTTGTATCCAGAATATTTTGATGACAATGATGAGAATATTGATTAGATGGAATTGTCTCTTAGAAAATTCAATGAGATGCTGGCTGAGATGAATGGGAATTATGATCCTTCACTCTTATGCAAAGATTATTACATTCACATCGATAGAGAGTTCTGGCCGGAAAACATTCTCAAAGAAGTACTTATCTCAGAAGAAAGATATCGCAATTATATATCTGGAGATTACATAAGAAATGATGAGGTTCCAAAATTCAAAAGAGAATGGATTTTAAATGCATTCAATTTGATTAAACCTGAATTATTGCGTAATGAAGAATGCTCTAGGTTTGTTGTTAAGGAAATACTGGAATTGTTTAGAGAGTACATGAAGAGAGCAATGCTGGATTACATACTTAGGTCACCAGAAGAAAGGAAGAGGTTGCACATCACCTTGCTCCCAAGATCTTTCATTCATTCAGCATAAAGAGTTGCGAGAGAAGGAGGTTACAATATGAAATTGTTCCCAGATTGGCATGATTTTGTATCGAGAGGTAAGGATTTCTGCAAGTCCAATCTCACTCTGATATCAACAATCAATTAAGGATTGTCAGATTGGATTTAAGATTTCATCTCATTTAAATTATGCGATTTGAACAAGATGAAATAGGTTGCCAGATTAGGCTACACTTTTACATTTTAGGAATTCCAAAGAGTTCAAACAATATACAAATTGAATGTGCTATGTCTCTTGGAGCACGTCTGGTTCAGAGGTGTCATGCTTATAATTAAGCTATAGAAATTCTTAAGGTAGAAGCAATACAAAAGTCAATGGACGATTACAGGCCCAAAGTTCAAATAATAGTAATTAAGACAGACCATTCTTGAAATCATCCCAGAAGAAGATTTTATTGATGAGGACAACGTAATTTATAAGGGGGAAGAAAATCCTTGTTACATCTCTATTAAGGAGGCATTACAATTCTATGCATCTAAAACAACTCAGCCTTATAATTTTGATCGCTTTAAAGATTCCTGTCAAGCACTCAATGCCTTTACGGAATACCATGTCATGCTACAAAACCCCAATCCCATCGAATCAGATAAGCTGTCGTAATTCTAACTAGAGGAAGTCAAGTAATAACAAGAAGAAAAGCCATATAAAAAGTTAGAAAAGGAATAGAGGAAAGCAATCACATAGAATGCTACTGTGCTATTATAATTGTAGTTGAGAAGTTTCATAGACAGATCCCTATAGCACTTTGAGTAAAACATTCTCAATATCAATATTCCTAAATAATTTGATATTGAGATTGGAGACACAAATTTTGCTAGTCTGATACAGGCGTGCTAAAATCTAAAAGACAGGGATTTTATACCTCCAAAATGGGGTTTACTTTAGTAACCTTATGATCCATTCATTCGATTGGAATTGATTATTGAAAATGATTTTGTTAAGTTAAAGGAAAATGAAGAGTCAGTCAAGAATGAATTTGTGGATGCCTTCAGAAGCATCATCATATCATTTGATAAATTCTTGCATCCAAAATTTGCCAAAGTCACTTACAACCCCAAAGAGACGATCCAACCAGTACCTTTAAGAAATTTTCAATTTAACTTTGATTAAGACATGGGAGGAATGACCAAGGAGGACTTCTAAAAGTTCTTCAAGTCTTTTTGGCCATAGGTGAAAGTGGAAGAGAAATAATAAAAAGAGCATCCTGAACTTTTGTTGGCATCCGAAGAGCAGAGAGAAATTTATTAGGAGAAAAAGTATATGACAGTTGCATCAATAGAGGAAGGGTGCTATCTAGCTTAGGAGGCCAGGATTTTGAAACATGTTAGTGAGCATTACAAAAGAACTCATTAAGTTGTGGAATTCTTTTAGCAATTCACTTAATTCTTCAATAAGGTCTATGAAAAAGAAATCAAATCTTTAAAGAAGGCAATCACAAATGAAGAATTCAAAATGTATATGGAGATACTCAACAAATACAAAACTTTGGTAGATAAATTCCCACCAACTATACAATTCCCTCTGTTTTAAGTAAATTGCGAGCTTGTCTTATCGAGTGTAAAGTAGATGATAAAAGAATACAAGGATAGATTGTTTATCAATTTTGAATCAGTTTTAATAGATTAGGCTAAAGTTATATCTGATAGATACTTGCAGATTAGTACATACATTAGAAGATCACTTAAAACACCTGAAGATGTGGAGGCCATGGACAAGTACATTACAGATGTTGGATAGGAGAGAGTAAAGATAAAAACGAATACAACTGATATCTTTATTAAGGTTATGTTTTTATTGAAGCAAGATTATGTGATTAGTGAGCAATTATTGTTGTTATCGGAGGAATTGTATCATAGGCCATCTCAACTTGACAAGGAGTTGATTGAGCAAGAAGAGAAACATCAGATTGAGAGAGGAAGGTTAGAGGAGGAACTCAAAAAGTAGAGATCCCAATTTGAGGAGAGAGTAGCCAAGTATTGCAAGGAGATTGATAATCTGGAAACATTCACTGAAAGATCGAAATACAAAGGATATGTTAGGGATATTGAAGAGTTTGAGTAGAAGTTAGCAGACGCTAATGCAGAAATGCAGGAGATAATCTAAAAAGAGTTGACCCTATTTGGATATCCATCTTAATTTGAAAACTTTGTTAAATTGTAAACTGAAATACAACCATATTCAGAATTGTGGAAATCAATAGGTGTGTATATGGAGAATAGGAAGAATTGGATGAATGGTCCAATTATGGATGTTGATTATGGTGATGTAGAGACTATTTTGAAGAATCAGAAGAAGGGGATTGTTAAGCTAAACAATTTGTTCAAACAAAATAGTATTCCATATAGAGTTTTGGGAGAATTCAAATAAGATGTTGAACTCATGAGTTAAAACAGTAAGACTTTGGAGATTCTATCAAATCCAGGATTACGTGAACGACATTGGAAATCAGTGCAGACTATATTGTCATCCTCTTTTAATTACAAGGAAGTGTCTTTAAGGGAATTGAATAATTTGAATGTCGAGTAATTTCTTAATGACATGGAAGAAATATCAGAAAATGCAAGTAAGGAATTCACTCTAGAGAACGCATTGGCCAAAATGAGAAAGGAATGGGATAGCATTAAATTGGTGGTTTTAAATTACAAAGGAAGAGGAGTTCTCATTTTGTAGGGACAATCCGTGGAGGAAATTCAAACCTTATTGGATGATCATGTGATTAAATCACAAACAATCAGAGCTAATCCCTTAATCAAGTTTATGGAGGAAGACGCTATAAAGTGGGAGAAATCTATGATATTTATACAGTAAATCTTAGAGTTGTGGATTAAAGTTCAAGGCATGTACTTATATTTGGAACCAATTTTCAGTTTTGAAGATATCATTAAAACATTGTATGATGAGAGTGAGAAATTCAAAAAAGTAAGTAGCAATTGGAACTTGATTACAAAGGCTGTCGAAATGGAACCATTAGCTTTGAATTTAGACAAAATTCCAAATTTGATGGATATCTTGTAGACTTCATTGAGATTGATAGAGGAAATACAAAAAGGGTTAGAGAATCATTTGGAGATTAAGCGATTAGAATTCCCTCGGTTCTTTTTTTTATCTAATGATGATTTAATTAATATTTTGGCAGAGACAAGAGACCCTTTGTTGGTGTAACCTCACATGAGAAAATGTTTCGAGGGAATCGAAGAGTTAATCTTCAATTCAAATACTGATATATTGGGAATGAAAAGTGTAGAGAAGGAGGAAGTCAACTTCGATAACAGGGTATCACCAAAAGAGTTTAAGAATTGCGTTGAGAAATGGTTACTAAAGGTGGAAGAAGAGATGAGGAACAGTATTTCACACTTAATTCGTTAATGTTATGGAGAATTACAAGAATTACCAGTGTTGATCAAATGGATTCGTAGATGGCCTGGTTAATGTGTATTGACCTGTGCTTGTATTAATTTTACCAATTAGATCGAGAGTCTAATAAGATCAGGAAAGACTCTGAATAAATTTGGGAATGACAGAGTTAATCATTTGAATGAAATTGTATCTTTGGTAAGGGAATCTTAATAATAAAATGAAAGATAGTTGTTGTCAGCTCTTATAGTTTTGGAGGTGCATAACAATGATATTTTGCAAGATCTCATAAAATTGGAAATGAAAGACACAAGCATATTTGAATGGACTTCATAATTGAGATATTACATGCAGGAAGACACAAGTGTTTCAGTGAGGATGGTCTAAACATCTATTCCTTATGGGAACGAGTATTTAGGAATAGGAAGCAGATTGGTTATTACTCCATTAACAGATAGATGTTATAGGACTTTGGTTGGTGCATTACAGTTAAATTTGGGAGGAGCACCAGAAGGACCAGCTGGTACTGGTAAGACAGAATCCACAAAGGATTTAGCCAAAGCAGTAGCAGTATAATGTATAGTATTTAATTGTGGTGAGGGATTGAACACTCATGCAATGGCCAAGTTCTTTAAAGGACTAGCAAGTGCTGGTGCTTGGTCGTGTTTTGATGAATTTAATAGAATTGAATTGGAGGTCTTATCTGTCATTGCATAATAAATCTTATAAATTTAGTAAGCTAAATCAATGTCGATTGAGTCATTTTAATTTGAAGGCACAGAAATACATATTCAATAATCATGCAACATCTTTATTACAATGAATCCAGGATATGCAGGCAGATCAGAATTACCAGATAATTTGAAAGCACTCTTTAGACCATGTGCTATGATGGTACCAGACTATGCTCTCATTGCAGAAATATCTCTATATTCATTTGGATTTGTTGAGGCAAGAGCATTGGCTAAAAAGATAGTTGCTGTCTATAAATTATGTTCGGAATAATTATCAAGTCAAGATCACTATGATTATGGAATGAGAGCAGTCAAAGCAGTTTTGACAGCTGCATAGTTACTCAAACGTAAATCTACTGAAAGAGAAGACATTCTTATTTACAGAGCAATCGGTGATATCAATTTACCTAAGTTCTTAACTAATGATGTGATGCTATTCAATGGTATTATGAGTGATCTCTTTCCAGATGTCAAAGTGCAACCAGTTGAATATAAGAATCTCTAAGAAGCTATGCATTCGGTCTTGTAATCTTAGAATATGCAGATTGTACCTAACTTCAAAAGAAAAGTCTTACAATTATACGAGATGATCAATTGCAGACATGGACTTATGTTAGTTGGACAGACTATGAGTGGCAAAACGTCTTGTTATTAAGTATTAGCGTCTACTTTAACCCATTGTCATAAAACTGGGTTATAGGATGAAAGGTGTGTGTAATATCATGTGTTAAATCCGAAGTCAATAACTTTGAACTAATTATATGGATACTCTGATCCTGTCAGCAAGGAATGGACTGAAGGAGTATTAGGTGAAATATATCGTAAATGTGCCACATCAACTTCTTAGGATAGACAATTTTTGGTATTTGATGGTCCTGTAGATGCTGCATGGATTGAAAATATGAATACAGTCTTAGATGATAATAAGAAATTGTGTTTAATGAGTGGAGAGACTATTGCTATGACTGATAGAATGACAATCATATTTGAAGTTCAAGATTTAACATAGGCTTCTCCTGCAACTGTGAGTAGATGTGGTATGGTATATTTATAGCCTGACTAATTGGGATGGTTTAACGTATTTTTAAACAAGTTACAAGAAATTTAAAATATAGATTAAAGTGTTATTATGAGAATTTCAGATCTCTTCGAAACTATTGTTGACAAGGCTCAAAAATTCATTAAATAAAAGTGTCATGAATATGAATCAGTACCAGAGAACTCATTTTGCATTCATACTTTATCTATGCTGATACAATTGATTTAAACTTACCCTGAAGCTTTAAGAAAACAAGCAGATCCCAGCATTTTGATAGATGCATTCTTCATATACTCAGTTGTTTGGACAGTAGGCAGTTCTGTGGATGATGTAGGTAGAAAACATTTTGATTAATATCTCAAAAAACTAATAAAGGAACCTCTCAGAAATGAGAATAAAAAAGATGTTGTCATCAAAATTGACAAACAATCCCAAATCCCAGAGTTGTCTAATACAAATATCTATGATTTCTTCTATGATCCTGAGTTACTCAAATGGAGAATGTGGAAAGAACTTCTTAAGGATTCTTAAATTCCAGAGAACATAGCCTATTAAGAGATCCTTGTTGAGACCTCTGAATCCCTCAGAATTACATCAATTATTGACAAATGCATAAATCGTCACTCTCCATTATTGATAATCGGCCCAAGTGGAGTTGGTAAAACCTGTTATATTCGAAAACATATCTCATAATTGCAAAACTACTTAAATATTTTTGTCAATTTCTCAGCCACCACAAGTGCAAACAAAACTCAAATGATTATTGACTCCAAGGTGGAAAGGAAAAGAAAAGGTTTTTATGGACCACCATTGGGCTTCATCGGACTTATTTATATCGATGACATGAATATGCCTGCTCCCGATAAATATGGTACTCAAGCACCTTTGGAATTGATACGACAATTCTTGGGTACCAAAGGATGGTATGGAAATGATAGACAATTCATGCATATATTGGATTGCAACGTTATTGCATCTATGGGATTACCAGGAGGTGGAAGAAGCTTTGTGTCTCAAAGATTGTTGAGATTCTTTTAGATTGTATCCATTGTCACTCCTGACACCAACAATATTGTACACATCTTCAATTCCATCATCTCTTGGCATTTGAACAATATCAAAATAGAAAACACCGATAATGACATTAGGAAGAGTTTCCAATATGCAATTGAAGCTACAATTGATTTATATAATTAGATTCGAGATTAATTAAAGGCAACTCCAAAAAAGTCATGGTACATACTCAATATGAGAGACATCAGTCGAGTAGTTCAAGGGATGACTTTAGTTATGAATGCCAAGGAATTGTCACTTGATCATAAGAAAGTTTAGAGATTGTGGCTTCATGAAACCACAAGAACCTTTTTTGATAGATTGGAATAGGTTGATCATGAACAATACTCATTAATGTTGGCGAACTCAATCAAACTAAAATTAAGAGATGATCTAAAACACATGATTAAACCATATGATGATGTTGCAACCACTAAATACAATATAAAAAGTTATGTTTGGTCGGACATTCTTTCAGAAGAACCCAATGTTTCAGAAAGGAAATACACAGAAGTGATGTCATCAACTAGAGTGTATTCGAAATTGCAATTCTATTTGGAAGATCTGAATTCCAATACAAAAAAGCCATTGAATTTAGCATTATTTGATTATTGTGTTGACCATCTCTTAAGAATCCAAAGAGTCTTAAATATGACTCAAGGTCATCTGTTATTGATTGGTTTAGGAGGATCTGGAAGATAGAGTCTCACTAGATTGGCATGCTTTATTAGAGAATAGGAATTCTTACAAATTGAGGTAGGCAAAGGATATACTTATGAACAGTGGAAAGAAACAATGTAGAAGTTAATGATAAATGCTGGAGCAGACAATAAGGAGATAACTCTTTGTATTTCTGATTCATAAATCAAGAAACCATTTATTTTAGAGGATGTTAATAATCTACTTAATACAGGTGACATTCCTAATCTCTTTGGATAGGAAGATTTCATTCCATAAATAGATAAACTGAGATTGAAAGCAAAGAAGGAAGGCAAATTGTAATTGTTTGATAATGGGAATAATGCGCAATTCTATGATTATTTTATTGAATGTGTGAAGAAGAAACTCCATGTTGTTTTGGCAATGAGTCCCATTGGAGATACTTTAAGATCAAGAATACGTATGTTCCCAAGCATTGTAAACTGTGCAACAATTGATTGTTTCCATTAATGGCCTGAAGATGCTTTAGAGGCTGTGGCTCGAAAGTTCTTAGAGGATATCCAAATCAAGGATAGTCAATAAAGACTGCTGGTAGCCTAGTGCAAATATATGCATTCATCATTATAGACTATTAGTGAGTAATTCAAATCACAAGAAGGAAGACACAATTATGTTACTCCTAGCAGTTATTTTGAGTTATTGAAGACATTTTAAGCTGTTTTACATGTAGAGAAGACTAAGTTGGAAGATACTAGAAATATGTATAAGAATGGAGTCACAAAACTTGATCAAACTTCAGAGGAAGTTAAGAGAATGGAAGCTGAATTGATTGAAAAATAACCTAAATTAGTTGAAATGAATATTGAAGCCAGTAAATTAGCAGTTATTATCAAATAATAAGCAGATGCTATGGAACCTAAGAGATTGTAAGTGCAAGAAGAGGAGGCTAGAGTGTCAGAATGTGTTAAGGAAGCTGAAATAATCAATTAAGAGTGCGAGAAAGAATTATCTGTAGCAAAACCTAAATTAAAATAAGCAGAAGAAGCTTTAAATACCCTGTCTCCTGCAGATATTAATTCTATCAAGGCTATGTTGAAACCACCAATCACTGTTAAGTTAGTTATGGAATCTGTTTGTGTCTTGTGTGGAGTTCCTCCTATTAGTATGCCTAAACCTGAGAATCCAAAAGAAAGATTTATGGATTATTGGGAAGCAAGTAAGAAGTTTTTAGCGGATAAGGATTTCTTATAGAAACTGATTGGCTATGATAAAAACAATATTAAACCTGAGATTATGTAGAAAGTCAGAAATAATTACATCTCCAAAAAGGAGGAATTCAATCCAAAAAGAGTTGAAAAGGCTAGTTCTGCTGCTAAGGGATTATGTGAATGGGTTCTAGCCTTAGATGAATATGAAAAGGTACTCACTATTGTTAGACCGAAATAAGAAAAGTATCTTCAATCACAATAGGAAGTTGCCAGATTGTAAGAGTCATTGAAAATATTATAATAAGATTTATCTGTTTTAACAGCAGAAATTAATAAGTTAGAGTTGGCTTATTAGGAAACTATGAATAATCAATAGCAATTAGATAGAGATATTAAAGAATGTGAAGTCAAGTTGCAAAGAGCTACAAAGTTGATGGAAGGATTGGGAGGAGAAAGAGAGAGATGGAGTAAGTCGTCTGCCATTTATGAATAGAGACTAAAATAAGTATTGGGAGACATTATACTATCCTCTGGAACTATTGCATATTTGGGAGTCTTTAGTAATAATTTCAGATAGAAAACCATCAAAATGTGGATGGATAACTTGAAGGGTAATATGCAATTCTCTGAAAACTTTACTTTACAGAATATTCTTGGATAACCGATTTTGATTAGACAATGGAGAATGAATGGTTTACCTAGTGATTAGTTCAGCATTGAAAATGGAATTATTATGAATAGGTGTCAAAGGTTTCCTTTAATAATAGATCCCCAAGGACAAGGCAATAGATTTATTAGGCAAAACGAAAAAGACATAAAATTAGTTAAGTTCACTGATAGTGATTTCTTGAGAACATTAGAAAACACATTGTAATTTGGATAACCATTACTCATTGAAAATGTGTATGAGGATGTTGATTCAACTATTGATTCTGTCCTACTCAAGCAAATCTTCAAAAATGCTGGAGTTATGTCAGTCCGCATTGGAGACAATATTATACCCTATAATAAATAGTTCAATCTGTTCATGACTACTAAATTAAGCAATCCTCATTACACTCCAGAAATCAGTACTAAAGTTACAATTATCAATTTCACTATTACTTAAAGTGGATTGGAGGATTAATTACTAGAAATATGTGTTAGCAAAGAGTAACCGAATTTAGAAGAGGAGAAGAATAGATAGATTTTATAGTAACAAAAAAATAAATAAGAGTTGCAAAAAATAGAGGATCAAATTCTTAGAGTTTTAAATAAGGCTGAAAATATCTTGAATGACGAGGAAGCCATTTAAATTTTGTAGACTTCTAAAGAAAAATCAAAAGATATTGAGGAAAAATAAGAAACATCAGAATACACAGAGAGAAAGATTGATGAAGCCAGAGTACAATACAAACCAATTGCTATTCATGGGGCTTTGCTCTTCTTTGCAGTCATATCCCTGGCCTAATTAGATTCTATGTATTAATACTCTTTATCTTGGTTACTAAATTTGTATCAGGAAGCATTCATCAAAAGCGAACCAAGTTAACGTATTCAATAAAGAATAACCAACATTAATAATATGACACTCCACTTAATATACAATTAAGTTTGCAGGGGATTATTTGAAAAGGATAAATTGCTTTATAGTTTCATTATTTTGATCAAAATTCTTGAATAGAAGAAATAAATAGATTTTGAAGAATTCTCCTTCATCATTAGATAAATAACTATTCCCACTGAAGTACCAGAAAATCCTTTCAAAGAATGGTTGCCAACCTAAGCTTGGGCAAGAGTGTAGGTTTTAATCAAAGTGAACAAGAAATTATCATAAATTGTAGATAGTATGCGTAATTTCCCTGAAGTTTGGATGGAATTACTAAACTCTCCAGATGGCCATTAGATCAGATTTCCTGAACCATTTGTCATAAGCACTCCTATATAGAGAATGTGTATAATAAAGGCTTTAAGACCTGGCAAACTACCTAAAGTGATTCAAGAATTTGTGGCTTCTGAATTGGGAGATAAATATATTTAACCTCCATCATTTTCACTCCATCAGTCATTTTAAGGTAGCAATCCTAAATCTCCATTATTATTCGTGTTGCCTGGTACGGATCCAATGAACGCCTTACTTAATTTTGCTAAATAGAAAGATATCTAACTAAGATCTGTTTCATTGGGTTAAGGATAAGGAGTGATTGCAGAAAAGGAAATCGAAGATGCAAAACAATCAGGAACATGGGTGATATTGTAAAATTGTCATTTATACCCATCATGGATGCCAAAATTAGAAAAGATTATAGAGGATATACAAACATAGAAAATGCACAATCATTTTAGACTCTGGTTAACCAGTTATCCAAGTGATGATTTACCTGCATCTATTGTTTAGAGTAGTGTGAAGATGACAAATGAACCTCCAACTGGTATCAAATCGAATCTATAGGTCAGTTATTCTAGTGCTCTCTATTAACAATTAGATTATTCAAATAAGAAACTATCAAAACTATTTTATGCATTATCATTTTTCCATGCTATATTGCAAGAACGTAGAAACTATGGACCTATAGGTTTTAATATTTATTATGATTTCAATCAATCCGATCTATTCATATCAATAAGACAACTGTAATAAATGGCTGCAGATGTCTCCATACCTTTCCATGCATTACATTACCTTATTGGAGAATGCAACTATGGAGGCAGAGTAACTGATGAAAGAGATAGGAGAGTGGTAAGAGCTCTTTTAGATGAATATTTAACTGAGAAAGTCACATTAGACACATTCTAAATTCAAGATTTCCCAATCATTGAAGGGTTGTCATATGAAGAGTATATGAATCAATTGAATAATCTACCACTAGTTTAGCCAACCCATCTTTTTGGATTCCATCCTAATGCTGAAATTATGAAGGATTAACAATATACAGATGAGATCCTTAGAAAATTGTAATAGACACTTGGATCCTCTTACACTGATGGTTAATAAAATGATGAATCTAAAAAAGCAGATAATGTCCTTAAACAATTATGTGAAGAGTACCTTGCCAATTTCCCTAGAAAATTTGATGTCGAAATTGCCAATGCTAAATATCCTCATGACTATAAGAATTCTTTTAACACTGTTTTCTAATAGGAAATATCAAGATTCAATAAATTGTTCTCAGTCATTCAGTAATCCTTTATTGATACTCTGAATGCTATCAAGGGATTAACCGCCATGTCTGATCAATTGGAAAAAATTACTCAATCATTTCTTATTGGAGCAGTACCAGAATAATGGAAAAAATATAGTTATCCTTCATTGAAGCCACTAGCTTCGTATTTATAGGATTTCCTAAGAAGAATCCGATACTTCCAAAATTGGCTAGATAAATAAATTCCCTATGTCCATTGGATTTCAGGTTTCTTCTTTACTCAATCTTTCCTTACAGCTGTTTTACAAAATCATGCCAGAAAATACTCAATAGCAATAGACAAATTAGACTTTGAATTTTAATTTCTTGAAGAGCCATAAGTTAATTTTGAAGTCAATCAATTGCCTCGACAAGTTAATGGTAATTTATCATACCTTATATTTTAGATGGCACTCTTATATTTGGACTCTTCTTGGAGGGATGCAGATGGGATTATGGTCGAGAAATGATTGTGGAATCCAACCCGAAAGTACTGACGACTCTAGCTCCTATCATATGGCTCAAACCTATACAAGGAGAGTCAGACACTAAGAACTAATACGTTTGCCCAGTTTACAAGACAGCAGAAAGAAGGGGAGTCCTCTCTACTACTGGGCATTCTACTAATTTTATCATGAATGTCAATATGCCAACTGAACAATCATAACATCATTGGGTGAAGAGAGGTGTAGCTATGCTTTGTTAACTATCAGATTGAAAAAACTGATTTAATTCAATATATATGAATAAAATTTCATTTTATTTAACTTATCCAATAAACCTTTTTCTTAACAATATTATTCTTTATAAAGACGCTTACTCTCGAATATTAAATTTAGATTCATCATACATCATAAATCAAATTGCCAGCGCAATTAATGTCATATTTAATTATTATAATATAATCTAAAAATTTAAATTATCATGTCAGCTCATTCATTTAAGCAAAGCCAAGCTTAAATAAATCATCAACCAACACTCAAACCGTTTTCCTATATTCCAGATAGCCCAACTGCTAAACCTGAGAAAACTGGGGAACAAGATTTTATCAAATTAAGCCTTAACAAATAAAGTAGCACCAAATCAGATGTTGATAACAGCGCGAATTCTAATTTAATCACCAACGAAAAAAATACTCTCCCCTTCGCACTTCACAACAAATTCCCCATGGTTTCAAATTTTACTATCAATCACAATGTAGAAAAATATGAATATGAAAAACCAGTCAAACCCCCCTAATAATCAACCAAAACTTATTGTCAGTTTTGCAATACCAGGAAACCAACTTAGATTTAACTCAAAAATGGATCCAATACATACATCCTAGCCTGTATTTTATTTGTTCTATGTCTACCTTTGTTTTGGGTTCCTCTGATATCCAAAAAATGCAAAGATTCAATCGAAATCTGTGTTGTTTGTAATCGTCAAACACGCTTTACTCCATTTAGGTTGTTTTGAATATAGATTTTTTGTATTATTGATTATTCTAAAACTTAAATTACTATTGGAGAAATATATACGCAAGGAAAAGAGATCAAATTATTTACACACATGCATGTACTAATCTATTGTTTTAAAGAAAAACAAACATCTCAGTAGTACTTTGAGATCCTAATTTTAAGATTCTCAGTTCTAAATTTAAAATTATTTATTCAACACTGAGTTTCACACCAAAAGAGATTCATCTGAACCCATATCTTTTGAGATGAACAAACTTTTATTTTTATAGCCTTTAATAGAGTATTTAAATTAGATGACAATTTAAAATCTTTCTTTAAAATTTTACAATCAAAAGATTATTAATTATCATATAAATTAAAAATAAAATTTAATAACAAATTCCTATAAGTGCCAAAAATTATTCTAATAATTTGAATTTTAAAATGTTATTAATAATGATGAAAGTAAATTAAATTTAAACATTCATAGATGAGATAAATAATATTTTCAGTTATTTTCTTTTTAATCTATTACATTTATGTAGGTAGTTCCATATAGATTTATTGTCGTCACTTAAGGATCTACAAGACGCGACTTTTTGTGAATACTCAAATTTGATAAATCCTTAGATAATTCTCTTGAATCATCCTTTGATATAGAATCTATATAATACTAATTTTTTACTTAGATTCCTGTAGATTGAATTGTGCTTTAAAGGAGATCTAACAGGGGAAGTCCCAAAAATACTGCTTGTAGGAGACCTCTCTCTCGGTGATAATCTCTACTTAATGTGAGAAATGTTGGCGAATCTATGTCTATCTTCTGCTGGTTATTATATAATGGATGCCTTCTTTTTTATTTACGAGTTATTAGTAGAAGATGAAAATGAAATGGGGTAGGATTGGTCAGAGTCTCCACTTGTCGTATATTATGATTAATTTTTAGATAATTTATTGGACTCTATTATTGCTTTTTATTAGGCAATGACTAAATCCTTTTAAACTAATTCTTATTGTGATTTCTCTTGATCTGATTTCATATCTAAGATTTATTTTGAAAGATCTGCAAATCTCTGTTTCCAATAATTTATTGTAGATTACTATTCTTCCGTAATCTAAAGAAGCAAGGATTTAAGTATTTATTTTTATTATAAATTTGTCTTTAGAGCAATCTACAATTGCTTTTCAATAATTTGATTTTCTTTTTATGCTGCCAATAACTTCATATATGTTTCATCCTCTTATTTGGTTTCTTGAGTTTCTTCGATTTTTTAAGAGTTTGCTTGAATTTATGATTAGATTTCAATTATTGAATTATTAATCTCAAAATATTCTTCAACATTTGAGTATATATCATTGTAAATTTTAGTTAAATAGATTGATTTAGAAGAGGAATCCCCTAATTGTTACGATTCATTACTGGGAGATATATCCTCTGATTTTGAATTTTGCTGAATGGAAGTAACTTCTTTGTGAACCTACTTCTTGATTTGAGTTGCTCTTTAAGAATAGGTCAGAGTATTCAAAATTTCATCGTATGATTGCTTATTCTATTATACACATGCTATCATAATAGTTTTAGTGTTTCCGCCCAAAGAGTCTTATAAGAGTCTGGTCAGCTTGGAATTTCTGTATGGAATATGCTGATTTTTCTTCGTTTTATCTGATAACATCGTTAGACAATGACTCAAGGCCAATAAGGATTTGTTTATATTAGAGCCCTCCTGCTAATTTTTTGACTTCTATTCCAAATAGACTTTTTCAGAGCCTGCCAAATCTACGATAAACAACTTGGGAGTTAGAATTTAACTAATAATAATTATAATATTAGTACTTATCAATCTTATAGGATAAGTTTACCTGAATTACAGCATGGGATCTAGATGATGAGACATTATAAATAGTTTGAGCCAGACTTCTGTTTTAATTCCCAAGATTCAAGATTTCTTTCACTTCTTCACAATTCTTACAAACCATTTGCTATACTCCAGATATACATTATCCTTTTTAACTATCCTACATAATTACTAATGATTTTTAATTAGTATTTAATAGATCTCGTATTGTTTCATTGTAAATCTCAATAAAACTCACTTCTAATAATGCATTAGGGTTAGCACTAAATACAATCTCCAAAATACCTTGTTTTTTCAACTAAATAATTTAAACATTGGAATGCAAGTCCCTCGTCCTTCTCATTACCGAAAATAGTATGCGTCTTCCCAGATCCTGTTATACCATAGGCCAAAATAGTAGTGTTGTAGCCTTCAAGAAAATAGTTTATATTATGCTATCACTTTAGATAAACCAATAGTACTTAGAGAATCTCAGAAAAGATTTAAGCATTGTTTTCGTTATTAAATATACGATCGAAATGAAACTCTTTATTATTTCTACCCTATTTGGTAATTACTATTCTCTTTTCATCCAAGTCTTATATAAGAGTGTCTTGACTAGCAATTATACTATTATTACCTATTATCTAACAAGGGCTTCACTCTAAGATATACTTAAAAGGGTGTATTATTAGACATTTAATTAGCAGTTAAATATTAAATTTATTTTAATACATAAAATAACTAGCATTTAAGTAGTTATATTCATGCAGAACTCAGTACCTTCCAAAACAACTCAAGAGCTGGGTAAGATAACTTGTAAGAATTTTCCAGCAATATTAAATGTACTAAGGTTTATTACTTATTGATTAATATAATAATAGTTATAAAATTTAAATTATCAACAATTATCAATAAATTAGATCTTAAAAAGTGAATTAATAAATAAATTAAAAACTTGCATATTTGAAGCTAATTTTCTGTGTCTTATTCAAAAAGAATTCAAAACTTGCAAAAAAACAAAACCTGTTGTGTCATGTCAATAAATTTCATTCTTAATTTAGTTAATAGATCCTGAAAAGAAATGGTGAGTTATTAAGTTTAATCTTTCTAATGATATTTTTTTCAATATTTCAATGTTTGATTTTCTAAATTTGTATGATTATCTATTTATTTAAATGCTACTAAAATATAATTCATCTATTAATGTTGTTGCAACAATTATTGTAAGAATTTATGAATATTCTAATTTATATGAATTAATCTTAATTAATAAAGTAGCCAAATACTTCGTAATTCAATTGATGACTTACAAATATTATAAAAAAACAAATGATTGAAAACTAAGGTCAAAGGATTTAATGAAATCACACAAGGATTCCTTACTTGGATATATATATAGAAATCATTTGAATTTAATTCTAACTGAAATAATTGTTTTTTATAAGAGACTTTTCTTTAATTTCCTTAAAGTTCATTTTTGAGTAATCAACTATAGTTTTATTAATGGTATGCTTCAACTTTTTAAAACTTAATAATTTTGAGAATTCTTTTTCCAATTTTTTTAAATAGGATCTTATTAAAACTTTATAAAATTGATTTGTTAAGCTTATCCCAGCTTACCACACCTAGAATTCAATATTTTTTTCACTTATTTAATTTTATATTATATGTAAACAAAGGAAGGTATCATCTCTAATGAATATTATTTACCTAACACTTCTCCATCCTAAATTGGAAACATATCTTGATTGTGTGAAATTTTTCACAAAAATACCTCAATAAACAAAAATATCAATGCACAAAGCATATGGTATTTTATAGATTCTTAAAAACCTTGTATTGCTAAAATAGAAAAGGTTAATCGAGATTGAGGAAGAACAAAATTTTTGTGTAAATAAGTGAAAATAATACGAATAAACCAAAGTATTTTGTTTTTTTCAAGAAACTATATTTTTTCATTTTTTAACAGAAATTCTTTGCCTTTTGAATATTCAATTCAACTTTTATATCTACGAATCCAATTTTTGTGATAATTTATGCTCTTTTTATGTAAAAAACTTAATTTCAGGGAGCTTGAATCACAATTTTTTTAAATCAGAGAATTTAGCTTCTTTTTAATTTATTATTTTGGAGGAGCGTAATATTTTGTTTATTAGGATGGTGATTTAGTTTACGAGTTACTTTGGATCGTGAAGAACTTTCTTAAATTACTAATTATTATTTCATATAATGATTAATTAAAAGTTGATCAACAATACATATAACATCAAAAAGAGAATATCCTCTGGTTCTTTTGGAGTTGTTTATTTAGGACAAGACATAAACACTCGAAATTTTGTGGCGATAAAAGTAGATAAGGAAAAAAAAGAGGAGTCTAGTCTTCAAAGAGAAGTAGGAATCTAAATTTGCATTTATGTTAGGCTGAGATTTTGAAGAGACTTTAGCATTTGAAACACATTCCAAAATTATATTGGTCAGGAAAAGAAGGCGATTCAACCTATCTGGTATTATAATATCTAGGAAGAGACTTGACGCATTACATAAGAAATTACCGAAAATTTTCTTTAAAATGTGTTCTTAATATAGCAGAACAAATGATTATAATCTTAGAAAGTTTACATAAACAGTATTAGTTTGTGTTTAATTTTTAGCAATGTGATTCATAGAGATATAAAACCAGAAAATATCTTGGTTGGAAAGGAGGATGACGAAAATCAACTCTTCATTGTAGATTTTGGAATTAGTAAGTTCTATAAAGAGTAAAACGAGTCACATATGTAAGATATCTTTTACTAATAGTTAGATCTTTTAAAGAAAAGTAACCTTTTATCGGAACTACTCGATATGCAAGTAGCAATGCTCACAAAAGAATATCGCTGAGTCGAAGAGATGACATGGAATCCTTATGTTACATGCTGATCTATCTAATAAAAGGTATTGATTGATGAAAAAGATTTAAAGGTTAATTGCCATGGCAGAATGTTCAATTTACATCAGAAGAAGATAAAATAAATTAGGTTGGCCAAATGAAAATGAGAATAGATTCAAATGAATTGTGCTAGGGATTACCCATAGAATTTGCTATTTATTTAGATTATGTGAAAGGATTACATTTCAAGTTAGAGCCTAACTATAAATATTGTCTATCGTTGTTCAGAAAGGTTTCAAAAGAACACAATTTTTCATCGAGAGATCTTATTTTTGATTGGGTAATTTCTTAGAAATCTGAGAGAGATGGGTAATCATCTGAAAGGGATGGGCAAATAGCTGAGAGCAATCCTTTTAATAGCAAACCTTCCTTGTAATTATTAAAAATAAAATACTTAGATTTAAAAAATCAAAAGATGAACCTTTAGGTTCATAATTAAATTAATCAATTGAATAAGAAAATAACTAATTACGAAAAATGCCAGATAAAAAGAGATGTACTCTGACACCAGAGATCAATAGAAAAAAAAATAGACTATTGTCTATTAACAGTAACAATGATACTGTTTCAGATAATGACTTCAATAATAGTATTATGATTGGAATACAACCAAGTATACTAAGTAGACTGAGCAAGATCTCTTTTAATTCAAACTCAAAATTCTAAAATAGTATAACAAATAATTCAGTAACACCAAATGTTAATCAGTTTAATCATCTCCTTTCAATTTCTCCGGATTCTGATCTAGAGAATATTCTTAATGAATATCAACGAAAATCTCAAACAATTCAGCCATATAATCAAATTCTAAACGAAGATGATACGACTATTGAATTCCAGACGATGAATGAAGGAGATGAAGGAATAGAGCGGAAATATATAGAGCTTAAACTTCGTTTTATAAGAGCGTATGTAAATTTCATATATTATATAGTCGTTTTAAACCTAGACTAAACAGTAGCCTAAAATGATCATTTTGAAATTACAAATTCTCTGCTTTATAGCATTAATTATATTATCAAATAAAATGAGTTTTTTATAATTATTAGTTTACTGGAAAACGAAAAGTTAAATTCAAGCCTTATTTTTACATTTCTGGAAAAAAATCAAAATGAGAATCTAATTTTTTCATTTCCCAAAGATTTATTGTATGAACATTCTGTATAGTAAAATTTTAGAATATATATTATTGTTTGCATTTCTCATGAAACATAATATAATAGGATCTGAAATTCGTAGTTTTAATAAAAACTATGCCTTCTAATTAAATATTTAGAGGAGTATCAAAAAATTATTTGCCATACTTTCTGACCAATCTTATTTTTATTCATATTTAATAAATATTCAAGTTAATGATAAAACCAAATTAAAATTGAAGGGAAAATGAGTATTCTAATGGGATTTTAATAGATAATAATTTAAAATAAAGCAATAAAATATGTACAAATAGAATTTTTTTAACTTATACTTATTCCTGAATCATTTGATAGCTAGAATAATCGTAATAAATTCAATTGAGCCGGTTTAGCTCAGTGGTTAGAGCTTTTGCCTTGTAAGCAAAGGGTCGAGAGTTCAATTCTCTCAATCGGCTGTTATTTTTATTTTTTAATTGATATAAATGAATATGTTATCATTCTAGGTATTTGATGAATTCCTTAACATCAATAGATCCATCCTCATCTCTGTCTAATGCTTTGAATATAAGTTCAACATCATCCTTATCAAGGTTTCTAATTCTCATCTTTGAGAATACTTCTGCCAATTCTGCCTTATTAATTTTTCCATTTGAATCTTTATCGAAGGTCGCAAATAGTTGTTGAGGTGTATATTTATTTTTAACAGCTCTTGAGATTCTATTGAAAACCTAAAATCTCTTTTTATAAAATACTTCTTTGGCTTTGCCTATGGCTCTCTCCTATTCTATTTGACTTAAAGAACCAAACCCTGATCTACTGGTTTAGCCAAATATGTCAGATTGTTAAGGAGCTCCTCTTAGCTTACCGAGATCCAAGAATTAATTATAATTTATCATTCCATTTTCAGGCAAAACCACATAGATCTAAAAGTTTAAAATTCAAAGCAATTACTGCCAAATCGTCAATTTCATTAGGAGTGAATCCGACTTTCTAGTCTCTAAGAATTTATTTGAACTATGTCTCAGTAAGATAGCCAGGCTTTTGGGCTTTAGCTTAGAAGGCTAATTGAAGGACTCGAGCATTTTTGTAACAAACTTCTTCAGCTTTTCGAGCAAGCTTTTCTTTTTCTATGCCTTATTAATTATATGATTGTTCATTTTTATCCTGCTCAAGAGCTGGTTTTACAATTTGCAAAAACTCCGATATACTAATATGACCATCTCTATTTTTATCGAATTCCATGAATAACTCATTTAATTCAAATTCATCAACAGGCACCAACTAATAGAGTAAATAGATTTAATATTATTACAATTTTATTTTTAAATATGTTCTTGAGTTCTACTTTTGATAAGTAACCATTACCATCCAAATCGATATCATTAAACAATTCTGGGACAGTTTTTCTGTACTTCCTCATATATGAAATGAGATAACCAACAACATAATTTTGAATATTTTATTGAGTTGGTTATGCTTTGATAATCTACAGTCTGTTATTGTACATATTCAATGTATCTGCAAATTCAGAAATTGAAATTCTTCCGTCATGATTGACATCAAAGAATGCTATAATCTGTCTAATATCATCATCACCATTTTGTAAATTTTTGTGAACTCCAAATTATATTAGGAACTTCTTCATTTCACCTGCTTCTATAAAACTATTCCTGTTCTCATCCATGAATTCTCTAACCTACATTAAAGTCCATTGTCTTGCCTACCCATAATTAAGAATTGCAGTGATAGCTATATCAATTGGGGATTGTTATAATTAAGCTTCTTACATGCTTGGGAAGTTAGATTACATTCTTTAGTTATTGATTTACTGAAATGAAGATTGTGAATACATTTATTACTATTAAGAAGTGGGAATCAACTTAAAGTAGTTGGTAAATTCTCTGAAATTGATCAATTGATCATTGTTAATATCCATATAAAATTTGAGAAACTCCCTTAATTGAGCAATTGGTATCAGCAAACTATTTTATTAGAGATACTTTTGTAATTCATCAATAGTCAATTGTCCATCGGGTTTCACAGAGTCTATCTCCATAAATAACTCTTACACTGATTTACCATAAGACATTTTTCGTTTTAATAAATCATAAATATTATTATGAATCTAGTCCAATTAGGTTCTTTGCAATTGCATAGTGTTTTATTACATTAGTTGATTTATTGATGACAATTCTTGGGTTTGATATTGTGATTTAAATCCAGCCTCGTACATTATGCTTTCATTAGATTGCAAACGGAAAAATTCCTAGAATTTCTATTGATTCAAAGGTTAAGGTAATTTAGAATAATAAACTTGCATTTCCTGAGGATTCATTTTGATATTTAGAACATTCTTTAAACCATTGGCAAAATCTTCATACGTGATAATTTAATCTTGATCCCTGTCGAATACTCTGAAGGCAGTAATACCCAATAACCCTCTGGATCTCATTTCTGAACTTATTTTATGGGTGATATTTTCCTCCCAAGATTCTGCAATCATGGATCTCTACTAATTTAAGGTGTCCTCATCTTTGATGTCATACCAAAAGATTTTAACGTAAACGGATGCTACTTTGTCTCCATCATCATTCTTAACCTCTGCTGCTAAGTCAATCATTTGATTCTTGACTAAAGGAGCCAAATCAATCAAACAGAATCCCACCTTGTCATTTGATCCTTCCACCAAAGGTTGATTATCATCAATGATGTATAATTCTAAGGGCATTCTATTGAATTGATTGACAACCAATTCATTGTAAACAATATCATGAACCATTCTATAATCCCATTTTGGATTAGATCCCATCTAAGTATTAGTATGAAAATCTTTGGTATCAAAATTATAGTAGATGAAACAATTAGATTTTGGAGGAAGAGACGTTCCTTTTTCAATGCATATAACAAGCTTTCTTTTTCTAACTGCAACTATCTCTTCAGCTTCATCCAAATCTTACATCTGTAATTAGTTTCTTTCCTTTAACAAACGAATGAAATTTGAAATTGGGTATCTCATTCTTGCTTTATATTCCACTATGCCTATCATCTAATTGTTGATTCCATGAAAAGTCAGAGATCCACTAATAACTTTACTTATAGTATCATTCTTATTCTCATAAACTAAGTCCTTCAATTAAATCAACCCTGATCCAATCTTTGTAGGTTCACTACCTTAACTAACATAGAGTTCTAGTTTCAAATAATTGCTTTCAAGGTATTAAATGAAATTAGCATCTGCATCAACTTTAAAGCTTATCTATAAATTATAAAAGCATGATGTTCCTTCTGATACACTTGTATGTTGTGTTTCATGATCATAGAAATCAATCGTTACAAATGTCAATAGACTTCCAAGATCCAAATTTAATTGTGTAGAAGTCTTATATGAAGACACTAATTCAGCTGGTTGATACTCTCCTTTACCAACCCATAAATCAAAGAAATTCTCTCCTGGAGACAGCATTTCATCTTTGTCAACTGAAAACACTGATATTGAATCATCATATTTGATTCCCTCTGCTTCATACAAAGTCTATTGTTACCTGGCCTGAGTTTTGAGATCAGCTATCTTGGCATATTCATATGCTTTCTCATTGGCAACCTTTAATTCCAATTTTAATTATTCTATTTAAGTTTAATGCATTTTGTCTTTCTCCATCTATATATCCTATTGATTCTTGAGTAATGTTTATGTTTTTTCTAAATGTGCAGCCAACTCTCCCTTCTCAAGTTTCAAGTGTTCAATCTCTTTTCTCAAATACACAGGATCATCTGAATCTAAATAAGTACGATCTATAAATTCAATCTTTCTCCAAGCAGGATCTTCTCCAGTCCATTTCAAATTACCTAATACTTTTAAAAATTAATCATTATCCCAGTAATTTAAATCTTTAAATGGAAGTAATTGCTAATCCTTTTCAGCCAACTTTATATTCAATTCTTAATTTCTTTCTTATAATATCTTAAACTCCTTTTTAAGATTCTCAATATCCTCTCTTTTCAATCTATTTTCTGTTTCTAATTTTGCATTAGTTTCTCTCAAATTTTTTAAATCTGTAGCATTCCTTATTTATTCTTATTCCATTGCTTTCATTTTGGCTTGTATAGTAGCTCTTTCATTGTATTCCTTAAAAAATGGTGACTCCATTAGAATTGCTAATCTCTCCTCTATCTCCTTCTTTTATCTTCTTGCTTCTTGTAAATCTGCTTGTAAATCAACTACACTCTTTTATGCCAACTCCATTGATCTAACTTAACCTTCCAATAAATGATTCTTCTCTTTTTCTTCTCGTAAGAGCATCATGATTTCACTCTGTCTTTTACGTTCATCATCCAATTATGATCTCATACCACTTAAATTAGATTCTAATTTATTGCATCTCTCTTGTAGTGTTACAAATTAAGCATTTTTCTAACTTAACTCCTATTGATTAACAATCTTAGAGTTCATCATTGCCTACAATTATCTGAATTAAGCTTCCTATTCAAGTAATCTTTTCTTTAATTTATCATTTAAATCTAACAATTATTTGATTTGATTTTATTGATCTACAAATTAACCCCCTCTGATTCCAGTCTATTCCATTTCTGGTCTATCTGCTTGTACTAATTTCTTTTTTTTCATAGGCTAATGAGCCACAACAACTCTTTATGCCTAGGAAATAGCTTATATCTTTTATTTTAACTTTTCATTTTCAGTCTCCAAATTGTTGACTTTTGATGCCAATTAATTGTTTTATTCATTGGATTCTCCAGCACCAACGGTTTTATTCCCCATGAACTTTTACATTTACTATAATTTAACTTCCATAGTCCCATACATTTTTTCAAATTTTGCCTAATTTTCTTTTAGCTTAATATTTTCATCATAAACATCTAAGAATAGCTTCTCTTTCTCTCCATCATTCAACTTATTGAATTAATAAGGCTTCTTCTTCGGCATTGAAGCAGTTCTTTTATTTGAAGATTCAGGTCGCTTTGGCTAAGCTGATTGCGGTTATGGTTTAGGCTTTTGATCCTGAGCAGCTAATCAAAAGTTACCCTTTTATACTTACTTTTTATAACATTGAGAATGGCATCATCACCATCAAAATCATCATTATAAACATTGCTTTCATCTTAATGATCGGGAATACTAGCTTGTTGTTTCTGTTGCTAACGAATCTCATTCTGCCGCTCTTTTATTTATAGAAAATCAATTTGATACTTAAATTCCCAAGGGCATTACTCATCGCTTGCTAATCCATTATTTATAAATATAAATATAAAATTCATGTATATTTCAAATTCTTGAGTAACTACATCCTATATTTATGAATTATTTGGTTCTATTTAATCGGTTGCAATCACATTTCTTAATCTACTTATTTATTAAAACAGTAATTTATACATCCAGCGAGTAAGTGTATTATTTGAATAAATGAAATATTCATATTTAGAACATATATCTAAGAAATCTTGTTATACTACTTCATAAACAAAGATAAGACCCTTCTTTAAAGGCAATTTCAATTTCACATCATTTTGATTCTTAATAACGTAATTAGATCAATAAGACTATCTAAGCAATTTTGGAATCTTCCATCCTTTTTCTGAAGAATTAATACCAATTATTTATAATTATTTAATTGCTGATATAGATACAAATGGTTTTCCATTGCACTTTTGAGAAATCTATGTTCTAATATTATTAGTTATAATTAATATAGACAAATTCATAATTTATTTTTCATTTTTGCAATTACATGTGGAACTCCATAAATTTAGTAGGTGTGAGTTAAAGTAGAATTCAATATAATCATCCCAAGTAGAAACAAGAGCCATGATTATGGCATTTCGTATTCTTATACTTTGAATGTAAGCTTGTTAAAATAAATATATTTGTAATACATTTAGATAGTCATCCTCTGTGTCATCCTTATAAGTGAACATAAGCAAATAGAGTTCGAGTATGAATAGGAAAATCAAATAAATGGTGAAAGGTCTATTTGAGTAAAATGGTTTTTTGAATCTAGGATCATATGATAATGATACTGATAACATAATATACTAGAAATTAGTGGCTAAAAATAAAGATGTTGCCTCAAATGATTGCATAAAACCTGCTTCTCCGTATTCTTGGCGTGATAATGTAACAGGATCCTTGTACCAATCTTAATAAATTAATATAAGGTAAATGAGTATTTAAAATGACATTTAAATAAAACACTATCCAAATATTATTGATAACACTTCTACACTGACTAAACTTCTCTGTGGTATTTCTGTAGTTAATTTCCTAAGATTATCTGTGTAAGTCATTAAAATGCTGAGTGGCAATACCACAAATAGATCTAAAATAAGAAATTAGGAATTGGTCATGTAGGAATATTGGAAATATAAGATTGTGCAACTTAAAAATTGTACTAATGAACACATGGTCATATATTCAAAAGCTTGAAATGAAGTAGTCAAAGCTCCTCTGCCTTCAATAAGAATGATTGGCACTGTACTCAAATCCTCCTATCCTGATGTAAATGGAGCAGCCAAAGACAATTTTGTGTTTGTTAAACTTATTCCAACATCTGCAGTACGCATAGCTTAAATATCAGCACCTCCATCACCACAAAAGACAATCTGCTTTTTAGTTTTCAAGTAATTAATCAATTCACCTTTATGTTCTCTTCTCATCTTAGCATAAACCTTAGTCTTTGTTATTAATTAATCTATGTATTTATAATCTTTATTTTCTTTTGCTTATTTCATTAGATAAGTGAATACTTTACCAGTGATTGCAAGGGTAGCTGATTTTTATAATTGTTCATGGGCTTCATCATTGACCACTGCAAGGTTATTATCCAAATTGTCGCATGATTTTGCATCAAAGTTGAATTTACTAATTGAAATAGGTAATTTCTATTATAGAATTTCAGCACACAATGTTTTTGTGTCATTATGCATTTAATTCTCAATTTCTTTAAACTATTATTCCATATCCTTCCAATCTATCTATAATTCATTATTGTTTTCCACAAGTTCCCCATATATTAACTATTCATTTTCTTCTACTAGTCGAGTCTGTCTGGCTACTCTCACTGATGTTAATACATTATCCCCAGTTACTAGAATTGTATCTATTTTTGCACTCTTCAATTATTAAATAACTAATTCTGCGTTATCCTTGACTCTATTCTCTAGTACTAAAAAACATAAGAAAGTGAGATGTTATTCAGAATACTCCCTTGTCGGAATTACATCTTCTTGTAATAATTATTTATATGCACAGGCAATAACTTTGAATCCGTGATGACTATAATATTTATACACTGAAGTATAATCATCCGGAATACTCTCACACATTAATTTAATCTTCTCAGGGGCACCCTTAACCAATGAATATTTATTGTGATTTTATTGATTATGAATAATACAACATATACGTTGTAACTCTTATGTAAATTCAAATGTTTTTACAATATCATAATTTACTCCATCCAACATCACTGTTCTATAAAATATCTTTGCAGAACTGTTCTTGAATAATGCCAAATCTAAATGATCTCCATAAAGAATTTCCTCTTCATTTACAATATTGTTACAGCATGCCATAATTAACCTTATTATTTTATTTAGATTATCGAAATCCTTCAAAAGAGGATTCAACTACCCTTGAGTATTCATTTCAATTACTCCATAAAGTCTTTGTTCTTCCTCGGTTAGTGTGCCTGTTTTATCAAAACAAACTTAATTGACCATTCCTGCCAAATTAATTTTACTTGGATTGAAACAATAGATCTTTTTCTTTTTAAATCTCTTTAACGCTAAACTTAACCCTATCTATAAAGTGGTTGGTAGAGTTGGTGGTACACACACAGCTAAAAGATCCAAGATGTCAGTGATTAAATCAGTGGCTTCCAGAAAGGGATAAGTGATTAGGAAATATATCTTAAATGGCAAGGCAATTAAATAACCTACTATTGCCACAATGCTTAAGTATTTTAAATATCTCATACTATCCTCATAGAAATCAAACGAATAATCAGGTGTTAACATCACCTCTCTTATTAATTCACCTTTCTTTGTATTAAACCCTGTTGAAACTACGAAAGCCAAACAATTCTCATCTGCTCTCAAACAGAATGTTGACATATACAACATATTTCCACCCTTTTAAGCAAATGCTTAATCATCGTTTGGCACATTGCTTTTAGTGATAGGAGTTTATTCACCATTCAAAAATTACTCTTACACAATGCAGGTTCCCTATATAAGTACACAATCACACGCAATAACCTAAAAAGGTTCAACTATTATAATATCTCCAGGTACTAACTCTCTTGAATGCGTCTTTATTTATTATCCAAATCTTATGATAGTCACTTCATGTTCCAATTTGGAATTCAGTCTAATTTCTCGATAACTCTCTCTATATTCAAATAAAGTATCTATCATTGAGATGATTGATGTCAACAACAATATAATTGCATAACTAGTATACTCTTCATAAATCCATAGCAAAATTTAAAGAAGCTACACAACAAATAGAGGATGCATTAATTCATCTATAAGGATTGACAGAATTGGTTTTCTGGGAATCTCTGTTGAATTAATTCCATAAAGTTCCTAATAATCTTTCAGCTATTCGTTAGTCTTCAAATGGTCTCTCTAATGAACATCTTTATTATGCTAGAGTTAAAACTAAATTTTTTCAAATCTTCCCTATCTATATATAAATCTTTGATATCTGAATGTAAAGCCCTAACAATGATATGCAATTCATACTATATAATCTAGTCCTTTTTGTATATAATGATGGCTAGGGACGATCTCTTGTTTACCATCTTATGAGTCTATTCGAAAATACTCTGCTGCAAATATTTCACACTTTGACATTCTCAATATTGCCCATATTTTATAATGCCAAGTAGCCACTACATAGACTAATCCTAACGATAGTATGCACAGTAGATAAAATAAGATTGCTTTTGCAATGTTTTATCGATAGGGTACTATCAATTAAATTTCCTGCATTTTATAATTTTATATATATATAATTAAAACTTCTAATTTATATTACTGATCTATATTATATTTATAACATAATGGATACATTCAAACTCTTTTTTCGAATAATAAACAATTATCCGGTTCGACACATTAGAGGAATTTAATTCCAAATTTTATCTATTTCACTTCAGGATTCAATAAGATTTGATATTTTCTAACAATAAGGGCTATGATGACTTTTGCTTCCATCATTGCCATATGCTATCCTATGCAATTTCTTTACCCTGCTGAAAAAGGAATGTAAACAAAGCCATTATCGTTTTTAATGATATTGGTTTTGTTCAACCATCTTTTGTAATTAAATTCAGTAGCATTATCAAAATAATTCTCTTAAACGCTGCTAGCATTTAACATTTATACAAGAGCCCATCCTTTTTTAAGTCTGCAATCTTAGATTTACATATCATTTTTAACTATTCTAAAAATAGTAGCGAAGGCTGGATTCTTAAATCTAAGAACTTCTTAAATCAAGGCATTAATTTTAACAAGTTTATTTAAATGGTATTCATTAATCTCATCTTATCCAGCAACCTCTTAGATTTCTTCCAATATTTCAGCTTACATCTCTGGATATTGAGCTAAATAATACAAGCAAGTTCCACAAGTAGTTGCTGTTGTATCAGTACCAGCAAAAAATAGTGTGATAAATTAATGTAATATCTCATCAATATTTATTAATTATTATTATTTTTTTTATTCTCTTATGTATTCAGTAACATATAAATCCAAGAATACCATTTTATCTTCATCTTCAATTGGATTTTCTTGTAGTTACCCAATTCTCCTCTAGATTATCTCCTTCACTTTAGTTCTTACATCATTTACTCTTCTTACTATATCCTTTTCTTTCTTACTAGGTAGAATGTCCCACATTCTTTCCTTAAATATTAAAGATTTAATTAAGATAAATGGATTCTCAAATTGAATTAAATTAATATCTGCTGTCAATTCTATCAAGGCTACTTAGGCATCCTTTCCTTCTAATTTTAGGCCTTCAGCTAGTTCACCAAAGAAACTTTTGATGACTATTTCCCCTGTTATCTTAGACATGAATTCATTCAAATTTGTTTTAGGATCTTTATCGACAATGTGTTTCACAACTTAATTCATCATTTGAACTCTTGATTTTAACTTTTCAAATGTAAAGGCCTAACCTAAGAACATTCTCTATCTTTTCCATCTATCTCCTTCACTCAAAACTAATCCTGTCTAAATGAATGAATCAATCATAAATGGGTTCATTTTTTCAAAATGTTGATGTTCTGAAATTGTATCCTTCAAGTATTCTGATCCAGTAAGCATAATACAAGGCTTGTGAAGTAAATTTGAAAGTATGATCTTTGCCTTTGGATTCTTTCTAAGAGCTGCATTGATTGTTTCCATACAATCATTCTTGATTTTGATTGATCTCAAAAACAATCCAATAAAGCCAAAGAGTGGATAAAACATTAAGATTGCTTTATCTCCTAATTTGGCTTTTAATAGCAACAGTGGGATTAAAGGTCTTATTATGAAGAAATAGGTTGCAATTGATAGTAAGCCGAGACATACAAAAGCAATATTCCACATATAATTTAATAATTACCCTATTATGTAAGATTATGTGTTTTAAATGACGAAAATTCCAAATTAGAAAAATAAAAATTCTTAAATTTTACATAAGGGTTTATCAGAAATTATTAAAAATAATATATTACTAAAATTAATCATATAACCAATTTTTTACTTTGCTTTAAAATTATAATTACAATAATAATAAGTTTGAAATAAAGTGTTGGCAGAAGTAGGATAACTCTTTGATTTATAAATTTATATCTATAATGTGAATAAAGCGAGTCTTTAAGAGTTTCCTAATTTGAGAATTGTATTATTTTTAAATTTAATAAATTTATCATACTGATATCTTCTAAATTAAACTTGGAAAGTCGTTATAGTTTCTTGTGAACACTTAGATAACTTCTGTTAAGATATCGCTTTGTTGGGTTCTGAAAATGATTTTATAATTATATACCTGATTTTAGTAGCTTCTACATAACCATTATGATAATCAACACATGTTCTCTCCCAATCATCCTTTTACTTCCTCAATAAAGTTGATTTCTTGAAATTTCAATAGATTATTATTACTTCTGTATTAAATCTAATGTCATTATTCAATTCTAAGATGGTTTGATTGATTATTAGGACTCTTGCCTTAAATGTTGCAATAGTTGCTTCTAACCTCCTATTTTGGATGACAATTCTTTCTTTTTAATTTTGGTAATCTTATTCTCTAGCATTGTCTGTCAGTAATTCTTATTTTAACAAATCGAAAACGCTTTCAATCAATTCATCAATAATTTCTTGAATCTTGGCAACTCCTTGTTAATTGGCTTGGATTCCTGGATCTCTAATAGATAATATGGGATATGGTTTACTAAGATGTTTCCAGCAACAATTCATAAAGTAAGCCAATTCCATTTGATTGTTTTTTCAATAGCTTTTGATGTGCTTCTAATTCATTAAACATAAATTAAGAGAACTCAAGGAAAGAGTAGGTTCCAGCAAGTGGGTCCCATTTTTTGGTACTTAATTTACTAATGATTCTTTTTCCTTCTTGAAGAGCACCGACCATATTTGTCAATTCATCTCTTCTTGCTTCATATTATTACTAAAATTAAGCACTATAAATACTCTAGTGATGTCTCTTTCTTGAGTCAATTCAGCAATACGTTAATTATTTCTATTTTCAATTTCTTATTTATCCAACAATTATCTTTATTTGTTTTTTTATTCTTAGACGAATAATGGCAATGTTTATTAATCTTTAGCCAATTAATATTCAGATGAATCAATAACAAATAGGATTTCATCATATTTATCATCACAAAATTAAGTATGATCTCTTGACTTCTATCTTTCCTCATCTTATTCACCATTGATTCTTTCTTTCATTTGAGTTAGAAGATCAATAATTTTGTCAACACTGCTATTTCCTTACAATTCAACTTGAATAGTTTAAATTATTGTTTTTCCAAATTCAGTGCTTTGCAGAGATTGTAGGAGTGTCTCTCCTTCACTCATACTGCTTGCAAATAGAACAAGTGAGCACAATATTATCACTTTATACATTATAATTAATAATTAAAACGGATTTGTGATCATTATGTATTTTATTCTTTTTATTTCATAAATCAATGATGATGATGTCCTCCATGTACATCCTACAATTTTAGTGTTCCTGTTTTGCCTACAACAACCTGTAAATTGCCAAATTATCTTCCCACTATAGGCAGTCCTTCAGCCATCTCCTCGTTAATCTCGTCTATAATTTCTCTCAAGTGACCTCTGAATAATGATTAGAAGAAGTAAGGGAATGCCAAAAACACCAAGAAGAAATTCCTTACCCATCTATAAAAGATTCTGTAATCATTAAACTTAATAATAGTAAGACTATCATACTTTTAAGTATTCGTAGTCGACTACGGCATTTTAATGCAAATAGGACCATTCTTTAAATGTCCTCTCTTCAGTAGACCAAACTCTGAAATATTAAGCATCCTCAGAAGTGATACGATGCTCTGTTTCAAATGGATTTTGCTTCATATTGTGATATAATGGTCTATGGTATTAGCCAACACCCATAAGAGCATTTCCTCTAACATACCCTTTGTTTGGTCTTGGCACACCTTTGATGATTACACTATATTTTACCTCCTTTGTATCTGCCCAAATCATCCACATTAAAAACTGATCTCTCTTTTTTCAAATATTCTTGCTTCTCTTTCGCATAATCTGATGCCACTTATCCTGGCCTTTTGTATGTACCATCATCATTTCTTTAGAATGATTATTTGTATCTTTCCATTTCTGCACCATACAATAAGTCTGGTTATTCTTTATTCAAAAGATCGTAGGCATTTCTGCTTTGTATTTGTGATAGTACTGCAAAGGCTTCAGCCACATCCTAGAACTCCTATTGGGCAGATGCATCGTTTATAGCCACTGATGTGGTGACATTTGGATAGAGTCTAATATTGTGTTAACTTGTACTTTTGCGCTTTCTTTGCGTAGGCTTCTCTGATTTATTCTTCAGTGGCAGTCTTTGAGATTCCCAAAATTGCATAGTAATCCTTTCTTCTACCAAAATATTAGACTTGTTTTAGTGGCAACTTGAATAAGCCTCTTGATAATATCATTATTATTATATATATTTATTTATATATATTTATTTCTTATTCATCATTGGTGCTATTATTATTGAAGATTTGCAATTAGATTGTCCTTCTCCTCCAATTAACTCCTCAATCCTTCACATTCTGTAAATTACATAGTCAAAATCATCATACAATCTTAGACTCTTAAAAATATTAATCAACAATTCTTACTTTTTATTTAACTCATCTACAGTCTTTAATTGTTCTTAATATTTATTGATGTCCTCTTTCTATCTTTCAACTACCTCTTGTGATTCTTAATACTTTGGTGACAGGACTTGGAACTAAGTATGATTTAATTTTTATACTTTCTCTTCAAAAGGAGTCAAATAAGCTATTCTATCTTCCAATTTCTACATCAATTAACGTATGTCTTCTAATTCCTTCTATCTTTAATTAACAATTGCATTTAATCTGTCAAGATCAGCTGAATATTATTTATTTAGATTGTCCAACTGATCTGTTTGGGTCTTCAAAACTTCATGTTCTCTCTTTATTTGTTCTAATTCAGCAATTCTAATAATCACATTAATTTATACCTTTTGTTTAACTCATCAATAGTTTAGTTTGCTTGTTACAATTATAAGTCCAAAGCTCCAAACTATGAATTTAATTCATCAAATTAGTGAGTCTTTTCTCTCAATTGTTCATTTAATCTTTCAATGTCCTTTAATTGCTAATTAAATTTATTTTCAATATCTTTGTATCTGGCTTCATTCTATTTGAACTCTTAAATTTATCTTTCTAATTCTTGTAAATCTTGTCTCATGTCATGATTCTCGCTCTATAATTATTCTATATCCTTTATGGCATTATTTAAATCACTCTATAAATTATTATTTAATGTTTGAGCTTAAGCCAATTTATCTAAGTTTTATTAGTGTTGAGCCAATAATTATTCATAATCCTGAGATTTCTTCCTCTCCTCCTCGTAATCATGAACTAAATTGTTCATTCTTTCATTTAAAGCTTCCAAAGCATCATCCTTGACCTTCATTGTCATTTCTTATTGATTCAAATTCCATTTGTGAGTGTCTATATCAATTTAATTTTATTGGATTATTTTATTCAATTTTTCAATATCATTCTAGAGTTATTAAACCCTCTATTCTGCCTACTTAAATCTCTCCTCTAAGACTCTGTATTAATCTTCTAAGGGCTATAATTATTAATATTTTAGTTTCCAATCATTTAAGTCTTGTGTTCTTGAGTCCAACAATTATTTCAATTTGTTTAACTCATCTTATGCATTCTATAATTATTTCTCTAAATCAGCAACATAATTCTCAAGGGATCTCAATTTATTGATTTCATTTTCCAATTATAAAATTTACTATTATAATTAGTCGTTCTCCTTCAACAAAGAGGTAATTTGATCATTTTATCTTTGAAGTTCTTTAGCTTAATTCTAAAGGAGAATATCTTAATCTTACAATCTTTTCTCATTTGCTTATGCTTATAATAATTGTAAATCTTATTAAGCAACTCTTCTCTTCAAATCATCAATCAACTTCTGATATTCATTAATTTTGTCTTCTAATAATTTGCATTTCAGTTCTACTCCTCTTAATTCGCTGATGGTGTACTCTAACTCTGTACATTTCTTTTACAAATCCATCAATTATTACAATCTTTGCTTATTCTATTAATTCAATTTACTGATATCATCATTCTTCTGTTGAAGAGCATTCTTCAAATCATTTAATTGCTACTCCAAAATCTATTTATCTGTTAACAACTGATCCAATTACTCTTTAATCTATTTAATAGTAAGTTCTTTCTCTTCTCTTTCTGAATTAGCTGCATGTAGATCTCCTTGTTATTATCCAGCTCTTTCATTTAATTCATTAATTTTATTATTCAATTATTCATTCTGACTCTTTAAACTCATAATTTCATCTCTATTATTCATGATATCATCATTTAATTTATTAATTTAATCTTCTAAATTGCGAATATTGTCGTTGCATTTTTGAAGCTATTAATTCAAATAGTTGATTTCATTTATTCTGCCATTTAAATCTCCTTATAATTTCTCAATTTCTCTATTTAATTACTTAATCATTTGATTCAATTGATTAATTTAATCTAATAGGTTTTTGTTGTCTTATTCTGCTCTTGCCAACTTTTCCTTAAGAGAGTTGTTTTATGCATCTTTGTCTCTCAACAATCCATTTAATCTATCGATTTCTCTAGCTTGTTATTGTGATTATTATGTTAATTAATTCAATTTCTATTCTGATCCATTTTATTGATTTCCTAGATTGTTGTATTTATTCTCAAGTGTTGAATACTTGTTTCTCCAATCATTTAGATCACGATCCCTTTATTGCAATTAGTTACTTAAATCATTAATCTTACTTTCATATTGAGATTTCATAGAAGTGAATTATTACTGCAAAGTATTATATTTATTCTTCCAATCATCACATTCAAGTAACTTATTTTTTAAATCATTCTTTAACTTATCATTTTCAGCATTTCTTTCATTTAACAATTTAGTTAATCTGTCTATCTCTGATTGCAATGTATTAAACTTGTTTTCATAATCCCTAATTCTGACTTCATAATCTCTAATTTATTTTTATAATCCATCCAAATTCCTTCCTGAGTTGTTTTTCAAATCATCCAATTCTCTCTACCTTTACGATAGCAAATCTTGTAGTCTCTTCATTTCTGAATCCCATGATGATTTATCTGTTGAATATTTGCTCTTCCATTAATTTATATCTCTTTCATAATCTGTGATCTTACGTTCAGCATCTTTTAACTTCTAAGCAAGTGAATTATCAACCTACCCTAATCGTGACTTGTAATCAGCAATCTCTGTCTCCAACTGCTTGATTCTTATTAAATGTTTATCAATATCAGATTTGTATTGCGTTATATCTCTATTTGCTTAATCTAATTTTGCTTGTAATTCCCTTACTCTAACATCTCCACCCTCACTCTAACTTTCCAACTCCTTTATTCTTTTGATGAGAGCATCATTTTCTCTCATTACACGATCATTTTCCAAAGCCAAAAGGAAACAAACAACTTCTGGGTATTTTCCTAACCATTTTCTCTCCCCTGATGGTGGTGCCATTTGAACACTTCATATAAATAACTATTTACGCTGTAGCAGGTGGTGCTTTAATTGTACTTGATCTTCTTCCTTCCGATCTCTCAAATGTACTTGTAGTGCTCGTTTGTGGTACTGACAAATTCGATGATGTTGTAGTTGTTGTGACTGATGTTCGGTAGCTAGATTAAGTTGTAGCTGCTTGATTCTAATTTATGCCACTCGAACCAAGTGTGGATGGTCGATATCTACTTGTGTAGGAAGACATTTATTTATTAAATAAAAAATATAAGTTCAATCATCCAAGATTTTTGCTATATTAAATTAATATAATTATAAATATATCCCGTATTCTTTAAATCAACGTACGATTATAATCTCTCTTTATTCACAAGATAAACAACAATCCACATAATTCAAAAAGTAAATCAATAATAATATATTTAAAGATGATAAATAAAAAAGATATTTTTTACTGATAAACTCAAATAATATGTCTTCTTAAGAATTAGGGTATTTTTACTAAATCTCTAAGTAAGCGATAACTAAAACGAATGTAAATTTTCATCTGTTTTATGATAATTTCTAATAATACAAAGTTAGGCTTTATACTTTTCTTTATTCAAATACACTTTTAGATATATTTTTAAATTATCATGATGTTATTTGATGAGCATGATTGATAGTTAGTAAATTAGATTATGATTATTCATTTTCATATTAATTTTACACTAATAATTAAAAATTAAATCTTTTTTATCTTAAATAATCAACAATTTTGTTGATTAAGATAATTCAAAGAGATAAATTAACTTTTAAATGAAAAGAATTTAGATTATTTTGTAAAAAATCATTTTAACCCAAAAACTTTTCACTTTAGTTAATCATTATAATGATAGACGGGTATTAAATAACCTTAATTTATTTATTTTTTGATGAATATGAACTCGATTCATGATTGGTTTTTACAATTAGTTTAATAAACATTAATGTAAATTAATTATCAATATGATACATATTAAGATAATTAAATTATTGTATATTTGCATGGCTCTTAAGAAAAATTATACATATCATGTCTCCATTTCTAAAGCATAAACTATAGATCAAAATAGCAACTGAATTTGGGAAATTGATTTAGAAAATTGATTTTTATTTCATTAAATTCATTTATTTTTGATATTTAGCAATTATGAATAAAAAAAATAAAAACCCAAAAAAGGAATCTAATCCGTAAATTTTAGATTAATAATCAAAAATCAAATTGTTAGCATAACTGGATGTTACAGAAAAATTAAAATTCTTAAGAAAAATATTATTGATTTGGTTGGCATGGCAAAGTGTTATTGTACTAAGTTGTTTTTTGATCTATTTAAAACTTCCTTTTTTGTTACCACTATAGAGGGTGTTTGATTCAGATTTATTATTGATGCTATTTCTTTGTATAACAGTGATTTTACTATATTTTGGATCTAGGAATATTAAATAAAAAGATGTATTTAATCGTATATAAATATTAGCAAAAAACAGCAAAAATACAATTGATTTCAATTATCATTGCTTAAACCTTGTTATATTCGATGATTACTAATAAATTGGTAGAAAACTCAATAAATTTCTTATTGATTCATTTTATGCAGCTTATCGTTATTGCCAATCTTCTCCTATATTTTAGAAATGCTATTGAAATTAACCATTTGATTTATTTCAAATAAATGTTTTGGTATTCAGGAATTTTAATTGCAGCTGAATTCTTTTTTACAAAATCTACCTCAATAAACACACTACCAGGAATGATTATTATAGGAAGTATATTAGGATTTGGAACATTTGCTTTAAGATCAATCGAAGCTATAATTGATGGCAAAGTAATAATTGATATTATTAATTAAAGTTTAATCTGAACTAGGAGTAGACATCTTTGGGATCTGTTCTGGCATATACAAATTTATTATTGCCGAATAGAAAAAGTGAGTGAATTATATTGTAAATAGAACATTAATTTAAATAAATAAAATTAGTTATAATTAACTTATTTCACATTATAAAGCGCAATTGAATTTTGATTAAAAATTCATTAATTAATATGTAATAAACAAATCTGAAAATTTGTGATAAAATTTCCTAACTGGTAAACAGGCCAAAAAGAAGCGAATAGATTAACAAAATCTGCAGACCTGTGAAAGTCTTGAGCAACCACTTCCCAGTATGATTAAATTTTAATATTTAGTTTGAATTCAAAGACAAATCAGCTGGTTTAAACATTTATGCTGTCAGCTTCTCAGAAGATGTTCCTTAAGATAGCAGAGAAGTCATAAGTCAACTTATTAATCTCTCAAAAGAGTAATTCAAAAAGGCAGGCCTTGAAAGATTCTCTGTATAAATTTTATAATATCCCTTTTAGATTAGAGGTTTGAATATTTGGAGCCCTCAATATGTCTAAGAAAGAATCATCAGTGAAGTAACTCTAGAAGGAAAAAAACATTGTGTTTATTTGAATTTCACAAAGGCAATCGATTTCTAATATCTTGAAGGGTAATAATTAATTAAATTTTTAGGGAGAACCAAGATCCTTCCTTAATGTAACCACTACAATAAGCTGTGAATGTGTAGGTTAAAAAGGCTCTCAAAGACATGGGATTAAGGGAACTTAATAGGTTATCCTAATTCTTCGATCCAAAGTCAATCGATGCTAATCCAGTTCAGGGCTTCCCACTCAAAGTATGGCTAGGATATAAGACATCTCTGAAATTAACATCAACCAAACCTCAATTGCTAATTGATTATGCTTCAAGAGTCTTGAGTACCTAATCAGCATTGAATTTCATCAGATCTTTTAATTAGAATATTGGATAAATAAAGGATGAATTAGAAGGGAAGTCAGTGCTTGCTACCTATGGTAATTACAGACTATACAAAATTTCTACCGTTGATTTTAAGAAAACACCAAAGTCAACTTTCCAATTGGATGATGGAAAATAAATCACTTATGCTGAATATTATTAGGAAAGATATAAGATCAAGATTCAGGACATGAATTAACCTCTTTTAGAGAGTTTAGATAAAAGAAATCCAGATAAAAAATTTTACTTGATTCCAGAGTTAGTTTATATGACTGGTTTAACTGATGATTAAAGATCAGATTTTGGATTAATGAAGGAATTGGCCTATTATACAAAAAAAGAACCTGGAGAAAGATTATAAATAATTTAATCCTTATTGTCTAAATTGCAAAAACAATTGAATGCCCATTAAATGACTTTAAAATCTGACTCTTCCACTCATGCTTATATTGTTCAATAACCATAACTAGCATTTGGTAATGGAAGAAAATTAGATGCAGATTCAACAGGATTTTTCATTTTAAAAGATCCAGTTTATCAAAGTGCATATATTAAAGATTGGATTTTAATTTATTAATCCAGGGGAAGATAAGATGATGATCTTGCAGATGATTTAGTAGCAGATCTTAATTAACAAGGAGGTAGATTGGGAATCAAATTTGATAAACCCTTCTTTATAAATATGAAAGGCAATAAACCTTAGGAATGGATTAAAGAATTGTAGGCTGAATTTAAACGAGGTATCCCATCACTTGTGGTCTCACTTACAGATAAAAATAGAGATACATCCCTTTACATAGGCTTAAAAGACTTCTTACTCTCATAAGGTGGTGCTGGAGTTATCCACTAAAATGTTACAACTAAGTCTTGTAAAAACAAAAATAGATAAAGTATTGCATCAAAAATTGCATAATAAATAAGTGTAAAATTAGGAAATCCACTCTGGGTTATTCCTAAAGTAAAAGGAATCTCAGAAAAAATCATGATTATTGGAATGGATATTTACCATAAATTAGTTTCTGGAAAATAATCTTGCATGGGATTTGTTGCTCATTTTGATTTGGAATGCAAAACAAGTTTTTCAAAATCAATTATTATGAAAGCAGGATAAGAATTCAATTAAGCAGTAGGATAATCATTTAAAGAGGCTTTATAGGCATATTTTTTACATTATGGTAAAAAATAATTACCTGACACCATTTTGGTTTACAGAGATGGAGTTGGAGATTCATAAATTCATACTTTAATGTAGACAGAATTAGAATAAATTAAAAGGATCCTTTCCACCTACACAGCTGGTTACAACCCTCAATTTGCCTATATTACCATAAATAAAAAGATTTCAGATAGATTCTTTATGAGTGTAGATGATGCTCCTCCTTAAGCAAGAAGAAATAATAAAAGTCCTTACATTAATCCAGTCTCTGGTTTAGTTGTTGCCGATAGAGTAACATCCAAACACTTTGACTTTTTCTTAGCTGCTTAATATGTGACTTAAGGAACTTGCACTCCAACACATTATACAGTCCTAGATAATAATACTTAATTCACAGAAGAGATGTTTTGGTAAATTACATACTATTAATGTTTCAATTATTGGAATTGGACAGGAGCAGTGAAGGTCCCTGCATGTGTTCAATATGCCCATAAATTAGCTTTCTTAGTTGGAGATACCTTCTAAAAAGCTGTTCATTAAAACCTTTAAAAACAATTATTCTATTTATGATTTGTTTTATTTTGTTTCTTCTTATATATATATATAAATCAACAATATAATAATTTATTTCATTCTTAAAATTAATCCTATATATTAATATTCAGAACCCTTGTCATTATTTCCAAAGCTCCGCGTAATTATGGATCTTTAGTTGGATCCTTTAATTTTTCAAGTGCTAGTCTCTTTCTATTATCAACTAAGTTATGTTTAATTTTTGAAGCCTTTTGACTGCTTTCTAGAAGCAATACTTTTTCTTATTCTAATTTGCTAAAAACTTAATAATCATTTAATACTCTTAGTTTAAAATCAATTTGGATTCTCGAGTAACAATGGAACTTTTATTAAAATTGAATTTCTATTATAACAATTCATTCAGTCTTTGAGCTCGTTTTTTCTCTTAATAAATTATTGACAACATACTTAAACTTCAGATTCAGCCTAATCATCCATGTTGGATAATGTTTTCCCAATCAAATTTTTCTCTATATAATCAATCTTCTTTCTCTTTTCTTCGAGTTTCTTATCTTCAATCTTTTATTCCTCACTCTTCTTTTCGGGAGACAATTTTTCAATCCTTTTATCTCTGACTGTTTCAAATTTTTAAAGAGTCAACTTAATCAATTTTAAATTCTCTTCAGAATTTGCATCTAAGACTCTGATGTCCTCACTCAATTACAATAAGTTATAACGTAAAGCCGTGACATCCTTCAAAAAACTCATACATTATGTATCATCCAAAATCTTATGACCAGCCTACCTCATCATTAACATATATAATTCGATTCGATCCCTCAGGTATTAGAGCATCTCATTAAATAAATCCACATTTTTATCATATATTTTTTCCTCCTAATGAGGATCTATATATTCTGGATTGGCCTCTTATAAATGCTTGATAGGGGATTATTTGAGTCCTATCTACTCAGGGTTCTTTTTAAATTCTTATAAAATGATAGAACCTATCTAATCAATTAGTACTATAGTGTCTTCCAATCTTTAATTAAACATTCCCTTTTTTTTAGGTTGTTCCATTAAATCCATCAATAAAAAGATCTTTTTGAGTCTAAACTTATCAAGCAGCAAATTTTTCAATTAGTTGCATTTCTCCATAATTATTTTTAATAAATCTCTAATGACAACATGTTACATAGTCCTATCTTTATGAATTTTGATAATTCTTACCTCTTCTTATAAATGCATCAAATTAAACATAAGGCAACCCTTCGAATAAATTTGCTCTGTCTATTTCAGTATGCTTAAATAGCCTATATCTCCCCAAAGGCCCATTAGATTTTCTCAGTTATTAATTGCTTGTATATTTTTTCATTATAATTTTACTTATTTTTAATATAAATAAATTTTCATTTTCCTAAGAACCTTAATCAAGTCACTTTATAGATCGATAATTAATAATTGTGAAGGATGTAGGGAATTAATTTATAAAGATTAACTAAAATCATATTTCAATTTTCTATTAAAACAGTTTTTCAAATACACTTGCAGGTCCTTGGGAATCAAAAAATTAATTTAATTTTAATTTCTCTCTATTAATTTATTCATTAATTATTACCTATTATATTCTCTGACATCAGACACTCCGATCATTCCTAATAAATAGGTTTGCAAACCCCATAACTCTCTATCATCTTTATTATCGTAAAATGGGACAATAGGTATTCCATTATCCAATTGCCAAGCATAGCTATAAGCAGCATTATCAATCAACACTATTTAACTTAATTGCCTATCAAAAATTCTAAGATCCTTCGTGTACATTCCTCCTGTAGTCATGATACAATTATCTCTAAAAAGACGATGAGAAATCAATTTCTTTTCTGGATCCAAGTATTCTAAGACTTATTAAGCGTAGCATGAATGAGAAGCTGTAAATACTATGATTTCAAAATCATCAACTAAAGATTCCAACAGTTCTATAGCTCCTGGGCGAATATTGACTCCTGCCTTAACCATTTCGTTTGGACTGACCTATATATTTAATACAATGTCAGATTTCTAAAGCAATGATTCATTACAATGTACCAAAGTTTCATCTAAATCAAAGATCAAGGAGATTTTATCTAATGTTAATACAATTACAGATACTCTTATATTTATCCTTCTATTTTAATTGAACTGCCTTTTTCTTCACATCATTGGGGTCAACTGGTCTGAGATAAGAAGCAACATAAATTCCTTGGTAAGTTTAAAAAAAATGCTCCCTATAAATACAACTAAAATAATCGTCTCTTAAGGGGCGAGTGAAAACTTATCTGATCTTCCCCAAATAATACTGAAATTGACTATTTTCTTTGTTTTCCTTATTAAATTTTGTGCTCTCAAAAAATTTGGATTCTCTATTAGATAATTATTATGATTATTGCAGCGATAATTATCTGGAGTGTTAAGGAGTGGTTTAATGTGATTAAGCTTTCTTTGGTTTCTGCAACATGGCATTGTATAATTTTTTATAATTTTAATCTTTGGAACCTATTGATTGTTGTCTTTTGTGCTGCACGGATGTAGGGGCTTTCAAATCAGAGGTTTTAGGTCTGACATCTGTAGCCATAGGCGATCGTTAAGTCTGTTTAAACATGTTCATTTCTAAGTTTGGAGTTACTTTAGTGACTAGTTGATTTAACAGCGATTGACTTTTTGAATAATTTCTTGTAGGTGTATCACGCTTTTGTTGCAGCAACTAATTATACTTCTACATTGCTGCAACTAACTCTAGATTCGACATCTACTTCTTCTTTTGTTGGTTCTCCCTGCAAAATTGTTGCTTTAAGAATTCCTTCCCAAATATATTGCCATTTTAATTCGACTTAGTTGACATGTTTCTAACAGAGTTAATGAGATCCAATTTCTATGTCTTCAGATTTTAACTTGCTTTCTACAAGATATCGAAGACATTATTGGTCTCAATTTGAGGCTTCGGCTTCATTATTTATATTATATAATAATTTACTAATTTTATATCATCCCTAAATACGATATATTCACCTTTGTAAACCTGAACTTCAACTTTAAGTTCAGTTCTTTCAGAGCCTTGGAAGCATGAAAGGTATTAAATAAAATAAACATTATTTGTTCTTCATTATTACATTAAATTCAAAAGAGTGTTTATTTGATTTATTTTATATGTGAAATAACTCCTTTATTTTAAGAGATTTATTGAATCATATAATTTAATAAATTGCTCTCTACATTATTTTGAAATAATAGAATTAACTTATTGATTATTAAAAATATTTATAGTTTCGGATAATTTTATAAAATTTATTTTAGATAATTAGAGAATTCTGATCAATAATTATCAAATTTAAGAAAGGTTTGATCAAATCCCCTAGTTAATATTGTCATTTGATTTAGATCAATCACTACATAAGATAATTTTTATGAAATCCATCTTGCTTAACATGTACTTGCCAAGATAATACAAGGCATTTTCCTAAACAAACTCTAAAAAAATACACATTTATATGAGTATTTGAGTATTGATTCCTTAAAATTCAAAAAATGATAAGACCTATTAGTTTCTATAAACTTTTTTTAAAGCCAAAGTCATAATTGAATTTCTGGGATTGAATTTAAGAAATAATATTAATACATTTTAATACATAGTGTTAATAATTAGTTAACAAACTAATTTTCTTAATTTAAGATTTTCACTTAATAACAACTTTACTAATTATTTAACATTATAAAATAATTTTATACTCTAATTATTGATTGTCAATTAATTTATTATCAATAATGTGTAAAAATAACTCCTTTTAATGATCTCATACAATATATATCTAAATATCAGGAGTTATTGTATTTAATATTAGAGTAAATTAAATATTTTAAGAAACAAATTCATAAAAAATTAATACATAAATTAATATGATGATGAATCATTTAAGAAATTGTGGAAAATTTTCAACTCTTGTGTTTGTCGACCATTCAAGTGGAAAATTATCGAAGTCAACACTTAAAATCTTAAATGCAGCAAAACAATTGAACCAATAGATCTCCTTATTAGTAACTAGCAATGATGCAAATTCTGTGGTTGATTAAATAAAATCATCAATACCCAGCAATGTCGTCCACCAAGTATTGGTTGCACAACATGACTCTTTTAAAGCTCCTTAGGCAGATTTGTTAGGCAATTTGGTTAAATAGTTGATTGATTAACATGGATTCACTAATTTTGTCACTAGCACTTCTACTTTAGCAAAAGACTTTTTACCAAGAGTAGCTGTTAAATATGCAGCCCAACCCATTACAGATGTTATAGCTATAAATAATGATGTATTTTTCAGACCTGTTTATGCAGGAAATGCAATTGCTTAAGTGAAATCAAATGACAAAGTTAAATTCATTTCCTTCAGACCTACAAATTTCGAAGAAGTATAAGATTACATATAATTAGATTTAATAAACTGGTGAAAAAGTGTCAAACATTGTATAAGTTAAAGTGGAGAACACAAAATAATTGATTGAACACGTCTCAGATGAATTGGTGTAAAGCGATAAACCAGAATTGACTACTGCTAAATTTGTATATCTAAATTTTTATCTTAGATTGTGTCAGGAGGAAGAGGTTTAGGAAGCAAAGAGAATTTCAAAATTTTAGATGAATTAGCAAATGCCTTAGGCAATACTGCTATTGGAGCATCAAGAGCAGCAGTAGATGCTGGATATGCTGCAAATGATTAATAAGTTGGACAAACAGGAAAAGTGGTTGCTCCTGAATTATATATTGCTGTAGGAATATCTGGAGCTATTCAACATTTAGCAGGAATGAAAGATTCTAAAGTGATAGTAGCTATCAATAAGGGTATTTTCAAATAAAATTAACTTTATAGATCAGGAGGCTCCAATTGTAAGTGTTGCTGATTATACAATTGTTGATGATTTGTTTAAAGTAGTGCCAGAGTTAACAAAGAAAATAAAAGAAATTAAATAATGATATAAATGACGTAATTATATAAATAATAAAAATGAATAAATACATAATATTGTTGATACTTTGTAGTATAGGCTTTAGTACTAGTTAAACATAGTAAGAGAAATTCTTTTGCAAATAATGTCATCATTTTGTTCACACTGTTCAAAAGGTTGAACACTTTTGGGATAAATCGATTGTCTGGTTTTTGGAACTTGTTGCAGAAGGATATTGTGCTTATGCTAAAATAGAAAAGTTTTCTGTATGCAAAGGAGCTATACATGAAATGACACCTGTCATTTTTGAAGGAATCTAAACAAGATTTTTGGATGAAGATTTCATTTGTCCATTAATTAGATGGTGTCCTAAGGTTTATGAAGAATTGAAACTAGAAGATTATATTTCAAATATACTTAAAGATAAACCAGAAAACACATAATGGCCAGAAATTGATGGAACTGATACTATTGAAATCATACATGTAAGTGATATTCATACAGATTTACTCTATAAAGAAGGAACTTTGCCCAAATGCGATGAACCTTTGTGCTGCAGAGAAGAATTTAAGGCTAAAGATAATGATTAAAAGGCAGGATATTGGGGTAGTGCCGCAGTCTGTGACTTACCAGAAAGAACATTTCAATAATTTGTAAATTTCTTGAAAACTGACGTGATTAACCCAGATAAGAAAACATTCTTATTTTGGACAGGAGACAGTGTTCAACACGATGTCTGGAAATAAGGAAGAGAATACAATATTTAGAATTCAAGAAGAATAACGGAAATATTCACTAAAGGCGATTTAGGTATTACATTCATTCCATAAATTGGAAATCACGAAGCATTTCCTGTAAATTAATATGATTATATGACTGATAAGGATAGTAATTTAAGAGTTGAATTTTCAAATATGTGGAGAGAATGGCTTGGGGATGAAACTGCATAATTTTTCAAAGAAAATGGATTTTACGCTAAAGAATTTGATAACCTCAAGGTTATTGCCTTTGATTCACAAATTTGTAATCCTGATAATTGGTATCTTCTTAAAGACCCAACCGATCCAACTGGATTCTTAGATTGGGCTGAGTAAGAATTGAAGAAATCAGAATAAAAAGATTAAGCTGTCTATTTTACTGCTCATATATATACATCAAGCTGTCTTGTTCCTTGGGCTAGAAGATTTAACGCTTTGGTTGAAAGATATGCTTTTATTGTTAGAGGATAAATATATGGACACGCTCACGGAGAATTTTTTAATCTCTACAAAGATCAAAAAGGAGAACCTATGAACATCGCTTATATAAGTTCATCATTAACCACATATACCTATAAAAAACCAAGCTTCAGAAAGTTTATTGTTGATGCAAAAACAATGATTCCAATAAACTATTATGAATATCGCTTAGATTTAGATAAATATAACTAAATTGGAAAGGATGCTGTTTTGAAATGGGATATAGCATTTGATTTCCTCTCAGAATATGGTGCCACAAAAATGTACCCAGCTGATTTGTTCGCTATTACAGAAAGATTATTCACGGAACCAGAATTAGTCAAGAAATTTGATTTCAATTCTAATTCTGGTACTGGTATCAGTGGAGATTCTGTAAAAATTATTATATAAATTATAGGCTAAATATTTATATTGTAAACTAAATCACAGTATTAATGATGATTTACATTTATGTTTAGGAGAAACATTAAAAAAAGATTGGACTGAATATATATCTCCTGGGTGGAAAAAAAGAATGGTTTAAATGCCAAAGAAAGAATCTAAGAAGCATAAAAAATAAAAGAAATAGAAATAATGATATATAATAAAATAAATATTTAAATATGCATGATGTGTGTTTTGAATAAATTCAATATATTTCTTAATATTTCTAAGTAATTTTTCAGATAAAATTGAGAAGTTTTCTATTTAAAAATGCAAGATTTGGATAAGAACCAAAATAATATGCTCATAGTATTTAGGATATCATGATCAAGCTAATAAAATAATGTAATATTAATGAATTAATTAATCAATTAGAATGAGAATTAATATTATAATTTTTGAAGGCTTATTTTATTGTATTGCTCCAATTTTAGTGGTCGAATCAGGTTTCAAACTCCAATACGCTTTTAGATTGCAATTATCAGAATATGCTTACTTCAAATATTTTAAAATAAGAATCTTAAGTTTCTATGTTATTTGAATTATATATTATACAATGCTTACTTGTCTGTATCTTAAATTAGAGTATGTTAATATCTTAATTGTTATCTAAATATTTTAATTGCCAGGTTACTTGATTTAATATGTCATAAGATAAGTACGATGTTAATATAATAAAAATGAATAAATACATAATATTGTTGATACTTTGCAGTATAGGCTTTAGTGCTAGTTAAACATAGTAAGAGAAATTCTTTTGCAAATAATGTCATCATTTTGTTCACACTGTTCAAAAGGTTGAACACTTTTGGGATAAATCGATTGTCTGGTTTTTGGAACTTGTTGCAGAAGGATATTGTGCTTATGCTAAAATAGAAAAGTTTTCTGTATGCAAAGGAGCTATACATGAAATGACACCTGTCATTTTTGAAGGAATCTAAACAAGATTTTTGGATGAAGATTTCATTTGTCCATTAATTAGATGGTGTCCTAAGGTTTATGAAGAATTGAAACTAGAAGATTATATTTCAAATATTCTTAAAGATAAACCAGAAAACACATAATGGCCAGAAATTGATAGAACTGATACTATTGAAATCATACATGTAAGCGATATACATACGGACTTATTTTATAAAGAAGGAAGTGCTTAAAATTGTGATGAACCATTATGTTGTAGAGAAGGATTTAAACTTAAGGATTATAATCCTAAAAAAGCAGGGTACTGGGGAAGTGCTGCTGTTTGTGATTTACCTGAAAGAACTTTTGAATAATTTGTAAATTTCTTGAAAACTGATGTTATAAAACCAGATAAGAGAACATTCTTATTTTGGACAGGAGATAATGTTCAGCATGATGTTTGGAAGTAAGGAAGAGAATATAATATTATTAATTCAAAAAGAATTACAGAAATTTTTAAAAAAGCTAATTTGGGTATAACGATAATACCTTAAGTTGGGAACCACGAAATGTTTCCAGTTGATTAATATGATTATATGACTGATAAGGATAGTAATTTAAGAGTTGAATTTTCAAATATGTGGAGAGAATGGCTAGGAGATGAAACTGCACAATTTTTCAAAGAAAATGGATTTTATGCTAAAGAATTTGATAACCTTAAGGTTATTGCCTTTGATTCACAAATTTGTAATCCTGATAATTGGTATCTTCTTAAAGACCCAACAGATCCAACTGGGTTCTTAGATTGGGCTGAAGAAGAGCTGAAGAAATCAGAAAAAAAAGATTAAGCTGTCTATTTTACTGCTCATATTTTCACATAAGAATGCATGGTGCCTTGGGCTAGGAGATTTAATGCTTTAGTTGAAAGATATGCCTACATAGTTAGAGGATAAATTTATGGGCATGCTCATGGAGAATTTTATAATTTATACAAAGATCAAAATGGAAAACCAATGAATATTGCTTATATAAGTTCATCATTAACTACATATAATAATAAATTACCCAGCTTTAGGAAATATATAGTCGATGCAAAAACAATGATTCCATTAAACTATTATGAATATCGTTTAAATTTGGATAAATACAATTATATTGGGAAGGATGCTATTTTAAAATGGGACATTGCTTTCGATTTTCTTTCTGAATATGGAGTAACAACAATGTACCCATCTGATTTGCAGGCAATCACCGAACGATTATTCACAGAACCTGAACTAGTCAAGAAATTTGATTTCAATTAGAATTCGGGTACTGGGCTTAGTGGAGATACTGTATTATTTCATTTATATTTAGCCTTAATACTTATATTGTTTATTAAATAACAGCATTAAGGACGATCTGAAAGTTTGCAAAGGTGAGACTCTTACAAAAGATTGGACATAATACATTTCACCAGGATGGAGAAGGAGGATTGTTACTTCGGATAAGAAAGTAGAAAAGAAATCTAAAAAATAAAAGAAATAGAAAAAATGATTATTTAATTATAATAATATTAAAATTATATTATGGATTATGAAGATCAAGAGGAAGGTTGTGTCGACGATCACTTATTTAATGTATAAAAGGAGGACGATTTGAAAATCGATTATTAACAACTGCAATAGATTGACTATGAAAATAAAACAGGTTCTAAGTTATTGCAAAAAAATAAGGAATATTAGAATTCACTATTATAATTTAAGTAATACCTCGAAAGAAAGATTGCAAAGAAATAATAGCAAATACAATAACTAGATCAAATATTGTAAACAATCCCGAGATAGGAAGAAGAAATCAATTTTAAGGAGAAATGCTCAGCCTATCTAACTTTGGAAATATTGCATGATTCAAAACAAAGGAAGATATTTTCATATGCTGTTAACGATTTTGAAATGCTAAAGTAAGAGAATCCTCCGCATTATGTCAAATTAATTTAAGATTTAAAGAAGAAAGATTTAAAACTTAAGAAATTGGATTATACATCTCCAAGATTTAGGTAACAATGTAAAAAGAAATAAAAATAAAATATTTTGACACAAGCAATATAACCAAAGAATACTTAAATAAGAGAATTAATTATAAAGGAAGTTGTAAATTGTTTGCCAAGTGAAGGGCATGAAATTTTATGGTCTCTCTTGCCAATTCATGCAACTTAATTATTAAATATATATACAAGTGACTAAAATAGTATTGAAGCAATAGAAATTTATAGAGTTTGGCTTAAGAGATATCATTAATTGTACAACAATTAGTTTACATTATAGGAGGATAATAAGCTGGTAGAATTAGTTTAGATGATAGGTGATAATTAGTGGGCTTATTTGGCAAAACTTATAACCACAAAGACCTCAATTCAATTGAGGGAAAGATGGTTCAAATTTTTAAATAAGAACATAAAAAGACAAAGATGGAAAATCTTAGAAGACCTTAAATTAATAATATTGGTAGACTATTTTGGAGTTGGATAATGGAATAAACTGCATTAGTTTTTCAAAAATAGAACAGAAGTATAAATAAGAGAGAGGTGGTGTAATGTTTTGGATCCTGAGTTAGAAATACGACCATGGACGGAAGAGGAAGATTAGGAATTATTGAGTTTGAATCAGAAATATGGAAATGCATGGAGTGTGGTCAGTTTAAAGCTAAAAAGAACTGACAATGAATGCAGGAGAAGATTTCAATAAATAAAAAAGTGATTCTGAGTTTATATACTTAATATATTGTATGATTGATAATCCGTTTGAATTTGAAAGGGATCCCAAGAAGTTTACGAATTCTTTGGAACACAATAGAAAAGAAATCGATGAGGAGGATGATTAATAATAGTAGACAAGATTAACTTAACTTTATATGGGTAAATCTGCAGGTAGATATGGATTGTTGAGAAAATTAGAGGAGTAGAGTAAATTGATTTTATTTAGATTAAGCTGAAAAATTAGCAGTGGATAGAGATCTTGTATTCTCTTAGGATTTGAAATCTAAAAGTTACAATTTGAAACCAGATCCAATTTCATGTCATTTGAAACAATTTAATCCAAGAATGCTTGAAAAAAATTACTAAGATTCCCTCTAGAAAGGTTATAAAATAAGGAGCATATTGAATGAAAAAAAAGAAACTCTTTAGGATTTTGTTGAAAAGAAAAGAGAAATTTGTTTAACAAATCTAAATATTATAACAAAAAAAGAGGAAACCAACAGACTTGAGGATTTTATTAAAAATGAGCAGGAGTCTCTGCAAGCGAGAAAACTATATTTTAAAAACGATTGCGAATTAGTCAAAAGGTTTATGAGTGAAGTTAAATCTTAAGCTGATTAAGCTGCAATTTTAGCTGATAAGGAAATGAGGAGGAAGGAGGAAGTCAAGGTGGAAGTTGCAAGAATATTAGCCTAAATTGATAGATTGAAATTATAGAAAAGCAAGCTTTAAGATGAATATGATAAATTAGATAAATACAGATAATTCTTAGAAAAAATCAAAGTAATCTTGATACTTTACATTATTTTAGTAACATTATAAAACCAAATTTTCAGAGATAGAGAAAGATATCGTCATGCCCTAATCTCTATCAAATTATAAAAAGACTTTGTTCTTAACGGGAGTTAACGTTGTAGAATCTGAATCAAGATCAAAGGAATAATTGGAGTAATTGCAATTTGAATATAAGCAAAATAAAATGGCAGATATTGTGATAGAGATTTTGGATGCAATTGAAGAGGGGAATCTACGAAATATGCAGAATCAAAGAGATGCTGAGGAAGAAATGGAATAAAGAAAGAGAGAGGTTGAACATTCGAGGGAGATCTTTCTAATTCATTAAAAGGAAAATGAATAACGATTAAAATAATTGGAGAAACAATATATAATGCATGAATAATATCAATAGGAATTAAAAAAATAAGAAAAAGTTGATTAAAACAAATTGGAATTTGCAGAAGGTGAAAATCTGGACATGGATCAAATAGGAAAACGAATAATAGAAATCTATACTGATGTCTCTAAAAAAGAGCAAGACCCTTTAATCAAGAAATTAGGCACTGATTCTAAGTTACTAAAATCTACTTTATATGTAATTGATATTTAATATTATTTTTGCTTAGTCACTCGAAAGAATAGTCTTAGAACTATCAGATTACAAATTACAATTTCTAATGAAATCTAAATAAGATTATCTAGATGCAGAGAAGAAAATTAATCAAAAAAAGAAGTATATTATTTAAAGTGAATCTTAGAGAATAAAGATAAACAAATTAGAAAGATGAGGAGAAGAAGAAGTAAATAATTGAGAGAAGAAGAAAGAAGGAAGAACAGATGGCTAACTTCTATAGGGGAAGAAAGGATATGCGAAGAAATTATCCAGCTGAAAAAGTAATTGTGGAATAGGTTGTAGAAGACAACGATGAAAACGACGACGAAAAATATTTGTAAGAGAATTATGAACTCGTCTATGTACCCTCATAAAAAACTGATAATATTTCATCATCATAATAAGTATAATAATAATGAACTAATTTTTGGACGCGACCAAGTTATTCAGTCTAAGCATAGCAGCTAACATACTTTGAGTATACAAAACAGAATTCTAAAAAGGTTTAAAGAAGCAAGCCCAAAGTTGATTAATATTATCGTTGAAGTAATTAAGGAGAATAAGATTTCATCGAGTAGAAAACTTTTGTTTAATTAATTGTTTAATTTCTTTTTAATGTAATAATAAGCAAGTAAAGGGAAAAAAATAGGACTGAAGTATATGAAAAATATCAAACAGTTCTTAGGTCTTAGTCTTTTAAAGTACCAAAATAGGAATAGCATTGGAATTTGAAAAATTATAATATTTATTAAATGTAACAACTTGTAAATAGTATGATCTTGAATAAATTTGCTATAATGATGGACCAAAATTTCACAAGTATTTTTGGCAATCTTTCAGCAAATCCTTGATTGAACATTTATAATTAGTACTATCACATTTATATTGAAATTGTTAATGAATAAATTTGGTGGACAAAAGATATTGAGATTGACCATTTTTGATTAAATGTATAATGAAATTAATTTATTATCTAGTTGTCAAGCCTATTAACATATTAAATGAAATATAAAATGAAAGGAAATATTGGAGCTATAAGTGGATGTTATAATTATTAAAACTAAAATGTTATACTTATGGATTCACTTTTAGAAACATTTGTTAAAATTCTTTATATTATAGGTGTGTGCGTAGATATTAGAGCATCTTGATGATAGCTTCATAGAGAAATTATATAATTAATGCCAAAATGATATCGTGGAGGAAATCTTATACAATACCTGAAATTCATTAGCAGAAACAGATGAATGATTGCATTTAGCAATAATAGATTCTTGACGTTATAGAATTATTTTGAGAATATAAAGGGTGTGTTATAAAACTGATTTAAATAATTAATATAATTTTTATTTAATAAATGATGTCTATTGGGTAATTATGATATTCCCTTGATTAGCAAACATTCTTGTCTCTGATAATTATTTATATATATATTCAAAATTCATCATCGGTATCTTTAATAATATCAGTACGAGCGCGTCCTCCTGAAACTATTTTTTTATCGAGATTAGTTTACATGTTTGATATTTTATCTCATTGAGATTGTCAAATGCAGCATCCCCAAATAATAAGATCTATGACTCTTCAACACTATGCTTAATGTAATCATTTAGAATGTTTTAGATGAGTTCCCAATCAGGGCAAAGTTGTTTGGATAAGTTTAAACAGCTTTTACACCTTTAATTAAATTATATTTCATTTGTGCATTTACAGAAATCTTTAAACTGAATCTCTACTTTCAAATCAGCAGGAAATCTATCATCCTTTTATAATTTGAAAGGATCCAAATCTTCAATCTTTAGAATCAATTTGCTATTCCTAGAATATTATAATTTTACTTTTCTTCAATGAAGGCAGTATTAAAGGAAACTCGAAACATTGGTTCCACTTCAAAATGGCCTCATTATTGTATTTTATAATACCATTATGATTAAATTTAATCATTAAGTCTCCGATTGCCAAAAAAGGTTTGCCTATATTAATTCTAATTAAGTCGATATCTTTCAACATTAAATCTTTGGCCTTCTTTTAATCTTTGTACTAAGTCTCAAATTAATAATACCTCTAGTTTATCAGTATATTTCAAAGTCTTGCAAGACTTTTCATAAGTGTAGATTTCTAAAAATGGTTTGCATTACTTATCTTGGATATCTGGAATGCCATGGATAACTATGGAAGTCAAGTATTTGATAGGTGGATATATATTTCTTTAGAATAGTATTCTAGTAATTAACTGATAAAACTAACTTTTCAAAGTACTTCACATATCTAAGTTATGAGGGCATAGTAATTCCACCTCCTTTCAAATGTTTCTATTTGTCGTAATAAAACAAGGCCTCTTCAGCATTGGAGAAGCGACCACTGTACAAGAGATAGCAACAAATTGCAGTTCCAGTTCTTCCAATTCCGTTAATGCAATGTACAACAATCACGTTTGATAATTTGGCTTGGAATAGATTCTTAAAATACATGATAAAAAGTCGTCAATGTGCTTACACAACATAAACAAATATCCCAAATTAGGTGTGGACTTCTCTTCCCATGGCTAAAATAATAAGGGCCAGCTTATACAAAAGTGTAAATTTTTCCTTTGAATTTAGTATGATCGTATTGTAACCCACTCAAATTATAAATCTGATAATCATTATGATGACGTTATTGCAGATATTGAGCAACCTAATCACAATAGAGATCAATGCTACATCATCTATCTTATTTTTGTGTTCTGAATTTCCGTCATTAGGGAATGACATAGCAAGGATTCTAGGACAAATGTATGTAATATCCAATAAATCAGAGGAGATGGTAGTGGAGGTAGTCTTTTTGTTTTTTTAACTTGCCTTATTTGATTTTATTTTCATATTATTATAAATAAAAAACTGTTAATAGTATAATCAGTATTAACCATTGCAATATCAAAGTCAAACTGTTAATCTGACCTTTTTATAAACTTAAAATTATATAATATTTTAGTTCAAAGTGAGGTAATTTGATTCTTTTTTATTAGAGATTAATCAATTATAAATATTGTCTCTTAGTTTCATTATTTGATTGCAACACATTGGTGATAAAGAATAAAACTTAAATTTTGTATTGCAAACTCAACCAAAACTTATGAATTTATGTCACAATTATTAAATATTTTTTATGCTTATTCTAATTTTCTTAAATTTTATAGTAGGCATCTATTGTGTGAATAGAAATGAAAGCAAAGTTATATTGACTGATTTGTAATATAATGAATAAATGCTAGTTACAATAAAAATTCGCCGGTTTTTGTGATAGCTCCTTATTATGAATCATTTACAATCGACTTATTCGATTCGAAAGATGTCTTAGAAAACACGAGCTTTAGTGATGTAAACTCCACAAACTAGAATTTGACGTTTAAAATCACTCCTTTTGTAGAAAATACATCCTAATCCATAGAGTAAGATGTTGATGGCATCTTAGGTCAGCATTTTGTCCAATTGATGAATGGGGTCCTCTGTACCAACCTGCTCGTTTCTATTTGAGCTTAACCACAATAGATCTCCTATTTTATAATCAAAGTGATGATAAAATAGTCCAGGTCTAAAACAGTTTGCACAAAGATTTGTAAGATTTGGATGAAAATTTTTTAAATATTTCTTGCTATTCCATATTCCAATTACGAAAAGATAACTAATTTGGGTTGGATTGTAATCTAAACAACAACACCACAGTGCTTATTTTTGACTTAATATTTGACGAGCAAACATTAATTATAGAGGATTTCGTTTATAATACCTACTATTACTATTCTTACGAAGATGAAGACAACTAGAATTTCCTTACGAAATGTCAGTTCAGAAAAACTATCAATGCAAATATACTAGATGTTGCTAATGAGATAAAATTTGAATTTATACAATATTGTCCTAGTCTATTCAACGAAAAGGCAATTACAAACGAATTCTTAATTATTTATCATGAAATAATACATAAGGATAACAATACCTTGTATTTGCATGCCTATAAAGCAACTACTGCAGATATAGACTCTTGCAATTTGGATCCCAATACAATGATAGAACAGATATTTATAAATTCAATGATAAATGGATATGATAATTAAACTTGGAATGTTGGATTTTTGTTTCAGTTTTCTCCCAAAATTTGTAAATGTAACATCCAGGAGATCTATGCTTCCCATTACAATATACTCTGCAAGAGTACACTGATTGAGCGTATTGAATTCGATATTTTATAGTCTATTAGCCAAACCAAATCAGATAGGTGCAAAATCTAAATGATGAAGTAGTCCTTGTGACTGGAACCAACTTGGCTGTCCTCATTATCTATTTGGAAAGATCCTATCAATCCCAAAACTACTTTACTCTTAGCTATAAAGAGATTTTTGAGCCTGGCTTTCTCTTAGTTGATGTGTCTATTACAAGTCAATATTTAGCTGTGATTATGACTGATTCTCCAATTGCTCAATAGATTTCTCCATTAAATTAAAACCCTAACTTATACTGTTCTAGGTAAACTCCTGAAGAAACTAAAAATATATTGAAGATCTATTACTTGAATTCCGAATACAAAACAGTTTATTATTAATCAAACACTTTTAATTAGTTTCAGAATTTCTTTCAGAGCCTAAATTAAATAGAATTTGGAAATTTCATTCTATTATATAATTACTTCGATCAAAAAATCAATGTCATTACGTTATTTGAGAAGTACGTATTATGCTATTGATGTTTAGACAAATGAATGTATCTTATTAGTTGGGACAGGACAACTTAACTTAAACTTATAATCAGTAAATCAGTCCAATCATTGTAAGACACTTCAATAATTATTTTCAAGATTTCCTTTAATATTTCAGGTGGATACATGGCATTGGATCAATTCCAGAACACTTACAATTACATCCTGATGACGTTCTAAAGATACATCATTTTATGCTTTATCAAGTTGGGAGATAGCAATTTCCAACTGATTGCTTAAGTACATAAGCTTGAGGAGAAAGAGTAGCAGAGTTTGACTTTGTGTCCAATTAGCAAAGACATTTACGTATTCCAAGAAATCATAAATTCAATTGACTTATTTGAAGGCGTAATTTGCTTTATCTATTGTTGTAGATTATGGGTCCATTGTTAAATTTCAACTATGTTCCCAATTACAATGTGAGCAAATATTATCCCTTTTATTAAAATCACAAAGCAATCATTAAAGAAAATCAAATCTATAACAACAAACACAATCAAACAAGATAAGTGTTCAAAGTGTTGAGCGCTGTAAATAAAAACATATTCATAACTTCCAACATCTTTGGAATAGTTGAGATCCTATTGACCTACTCTAATAGTCTAAACAATTAAACCAATAGTGAAGCCATCATAATTAATAAAACTTGTATCATAAATGCAAAGCAATATGTATCACTTATGAATGGTTATTCTTTTAGGAAAGCTTCTCAAAGTAGTTCCCCATAAATATTGAAATTTAACAGTGCGTTGAGGAGAAGGATAAAGATCTCCAAAAATATTTGAGTCAGGTTGATTACTTCAAATAATTTGAATATTTTGACATAGCAGTGTAATATAAAGATTCAATGTAAATCCTTCTTATTGACGTTATTAGTATTGTATTTTGCCAAAATAAAAATTCAATTATTGGATAGCAACGATGTCAGAGTATCACAGAAATGAAATCCAATGATAACATAGTGCAAATTTACATTCTTCAAGGACCGATTAAAAATGAGAGGATTAATTACTTTATCACTATTCTTTATAGTTCAAGTGGGACTAGATTATACTTCTACATTTTAGATCTTTTTGTAAATGATAATTGTAAAATTGTAGTTGCCAAGCCAAATCTATCCGGAGATCAAATATCATGATATCTACTGTTACAATATATTAGATACTCACAGTTCAATTGTCTCCTTTAGATACACTTATGTTAACTAATAAACCTTATTCATATTGTTCAATGATGCAAGAATCGTTGTTTATACACCTGGACCCATCAACTCAACCAAGGAAATTAAATTGTATAATTACACCTCTACATTAACCAATCTTGTTCTTAACATCAAGGAATGTGAGAATAACAGTTTCTTAGGATTTGAAATTACTAAATATTTCTAGTCCAAATTAGCTAAGTAATATTTAATCGTTTGGTGCCAAGAAAATTAAAACGGCAATTACACACCTATTTTACTACAATACATAATTACTAATATCAATTAGATTAATTTTTGGAGGAGACTACCCCATTATGATACTATTTTGAGTAATCAAAGCAAAATCCTGATATCTGGCCTCATTTTGTATGTTCCCATCATTACAAAGAGTGTCTACAATGACTATTTTTAGAAGTACTACATTTACAATTTGGAAGACTATACTGCCAGATCTCTGGTTGAGAAAATAGAAATTGAGAAGAAGAAGAAGGAATAAATAGTAAATACATTAAACTATATCCTAGATAACATATCCTATAAGCAACTTAATGGATTCATTTATAGCTGGATCCTCTATAAGTTTGACTCTCATTATCACAGAGAAGAAATTCGAAATTTATTATTTGAATTAGAAGGCAGAATTTATATTTCATCTCTAGTAGCAGTTCATTCCTGAATACAACGATTCTCCATTTTTGTTGATCATTGGTGTCTTTTAATCTTAAAAGCCCAACGTTATGTATAGGTACTTACTATGCATTATTACTAGAAATTACACTTTGGTTTACAATTTCTCAAGCACCTAGATCTCATTTGCGTATAATTGTTCATCATAATACAAAGTAGAAGTAAACTACGATTAAATCAGCTAAGCTGGAGGATATTATTAATTTCTCTTTTTAGTTAATGTAAATATTGCTTTAAATCTGATAGTAATCTTTCTTCAATGGTCCAATTGCTTCCTACGATTACTAATCAAATCAATAGAATTTGTCTATTATTCCATCTCCTTATTTACAGATGAATAAATACTTAGGTAGTTATATGGATGAAGTATCTACCTTTGGACAAGTTTCTTAAATTATTGATATAGGAGATGAAATATACACAGGATTGTTCAACCAAGATGTTGTGAATAGTAAGACATTTTTAATATTTCTAGTCTCTTAATATAAGGACTTAATAATCGTATTGACTGACTATTATGTGTTGTTTTATCAAAAGAATTCCATTCCAGATGTAAATAGATCTTGCATCTACTCTAATTACACTCAAGATGAAAGAAAAGGCAATTCACCCTTGTGTTCAATAAGATTGATCTATATTCACGCATTAAAGCAATCTAGTCCCTTCCTCTTTTGTCAAATGCAGTTAAACGGCGTAAATGTATTAATCATAGTATGCCAACTGAAATATTTTAATAAATCAAATGATAAAATATCGTTTTAGGATTAAGAAAACATCTAATAATATATTTACTTAGAGTATACATATGTCAGACTGAACAATACTATTTCAATTCCTGTGAATATTGTGAATGATAGGTAGTTTTGTTACTGCTTCTTCAATGATTTATAGCCTTTCTTCTACAACAATACAATTTACTAAATGATCAAGACTGGATATCAACAATTGAATTCTTATTTTGGGATCTATCAAATAGTAGTTTCAAATAATTAAACCATTCAATTCATTAAGCAGAGCTCGTATCCTAGCACAAATGACTCGTAGCCTTTGTTTTATGCAGAAGACTTTGGCTTGTCTATGATTGAATATCAATAGATTCAATACTTGTACCTAATACTATTGCAGCCCAATAATATTTTTGTGTTGGTGATTAATATGACAGATGGATTTCCCACTAATGGGCCTGGTAGGAATCTGTTATTTTAGAAGAATGAAGACTATGTGAGATTCGAAAAGGCTGTGTTTATTCAGACCATCAACCATCATCAACCTCACATTGTAAATGATTCATATATGGAGTAAACTATTTCGGTGGGAAATAACAACTAAATCTATGAGATTACTTTTAACATCCTAACACTGGAAGCAAAACTGAGATACACTTTCTATTAATACTTGTTATGTCATCACAACTTTTTGTCTCGTCCACAAATTGAGATTTAGTTTCAAAATGATACAATATTCTATTTGGTCACTCAATGCCTATCGAATCAATTTGAGTACCAATCCATTTAAGTGGAAATGACATATCTACTTAATGAATTAAACACCAATATAGTCTATACGTCACTTTTCATCAGTATAATTTACAATCTTTAATTTAGGAAATTACAGTCAAAACTATTCAAGGCCAGTGGAAATCTTGGAACCTTATTTGGTCAACCCATAAGAATTGCATCTACAGAAAACACAACTATATTAGGCTTTGGATACCCAAACCAACACATCGAAATCACATGTTCTGATAACCAACAGCACCTATTTTTTGATTGATCTCATACTGTATGCTGACAATGGGTATTACTTGTATTATCCCATTAAGTTAACTAATGATGACAGGGTATTTAAATAATTTTAATATTTATTAGAATCATTCAGTATCCTTGAATGTTACTGCATACAACTCCTATTCGAGTTGTGAGGTCGAATTCACATTGGAATGGGTTGAATAGGATAGTTAGGTGAATAGTCTGGCTTGGTTCTGGGCGATACTATCTCTTTTGTTGTTGTTGATTTTGACTGTGATTATAATTGCTGTTTATGGTTTTTGTTAAAAACAGAGTCAGATTGGCAGACAAGACAAGGATTTCCCTCTGGAAAGGATCCGAGATGATTAAAGTGAATAAGGGTTGGAATTGCAGGGGGCTGCTTATAATCAATTGATGTTGGGGGATGTGTTCAAAGATCTATTACGAAATAACAGAACGAAGAAGTAGACAGTTTCATACGTGGACGAGTTGTCCGATTGAATAATATATTATTTATTTAAATATATATATATAAACATGGGTTGTGGATTGAAGAAGGAAAAGAAGGAGAGCAATAATGAGATTGCTTCTTTGAAACCCCTAATCAAATTCAAGATCACATTTTCTAATGTCAAGATCAAGAACATACCTCTTCAGAGGACTAAAGTTCATTTTTCAATTGCAAATTAAGATAGTTTCCAAACTTAAATCTCATATAATAATCCTAACCCACATTGGCGATAAACATTTAGATCGTTTCATGAAAGTGATTTGGAAACCTTGAAGTCAGAATTCTTCAAAATTGTATGCTACTCTTATTTATTCAGAGTGTCTTCTGCGCTGAAAAGAATAAATGCTTTGCTTCTGTAGTTTAAAATATGTGGGAAGTTGCAAACGGTCCCATTCATTATGATTTGTTTCTCGAATCCACCAAGGCTCACTCATCCAGAATCACTTTTGACTTGAGAATGGTCCAAATGACAACCTTGAAAATCCAAAGCAAACAAGTCATGTGCGAACTTAAAGACCAATTGATGGAACAAGCCTATAATTTTCAATTAAAAGTCAGAGTATCCTATTTCATAATATCATCAAGTCCCATTAAGTGGATTACTATAGCGATTTCTCTCCAAATTACCTAAATCACTACTTTTACCGTTAATCCAGCATCAAATAATATGGGTACATTGATTCCAAAGAAAAACTAAGAAGTGAATCCGACGAGTTCCAATTGGTGAGAGACATCTTCGATTCATCAATTGATGAGAGCATTCAAACTGATCTCAAGAGTTGCTACTTGAAAAAGAACGGACTCAAGAATGATCAAGAATTGATCTTAAAAAAATCTAAATCCAACAGCCAACTCAACACCATGATCCATCTCTCGACTAGTCAATCTCAAACTAACAAATCCAGAAGACCCTACTCAACCATGGGTCTAATAACAAAAAAGGATCTTCTGTGGGAATTCAAAGTACAAGAAAATAATCCAATCATATCCTTTGACATTTATGTTGATGAATTTTCCAGTTCTTCATTTGAATTCATTCTCTGGGGAAGTTCAAAACCAAATGAAAAATCTGATAATGAAAGTGTACGAAAAATTGGAAATTCCATTATCTCCCTCAACAAATTCTTCAGTCAAAATGTCAATGTCTTAGCAGAACTAGACAGGATCTCCCTCCAAGAAGTGAGATTTACAGACAAGTTATGGATCCATGGCTAATGTGTTGGAAGAGTCAAAGCAGAATTCATTATAACCAAGGATACCTTCATTAGACAAATGCTTGGAGGATTCAGAACAGAGGAAGGCATCCAAAGATCCTCTTAACTCTATATCAAAAAGGATAAATACTCTGGACCACAGAGTCCCAATATCTATCAAATCATCTAGATCAATAATGAGATAGATGAATTGGCTGGAAAATTGAATCAAAAGAGTCTTCAACATAGGGAGAGAGTCAAAATTAATAAGGCCATTAATCAAATTATTGAAAAGTTGAGTACTTTAATTAAAAACTAAGAGCTATATGAGAACCTAGAAGAGATGATAGCTGCTCAGTTAGTGTTTGTGGATGTAACCAAGAATCTATTAGAAAGTGCTGATTTAATCGACGAAGATTTGAGAGATCAATATTATGATGTGCTTATTACTTTATTGAACAGAGACGAATTCTTCATCAGCTACTTGGGTTTCGATAAGGATCTCAAGGAAGCATATAACCTAAGAAACGATTAGAATTACGTGTCTAAAAATAAGAATCTTATATAACAATTAAATCAGAAAATTAGAATAGGATTACATTATTAGAATTTCTTACATCAGACTTTTGAGAAAGTTACGTAGAAGCTCAATTAATAGGGATAGAATGACAAGGAAGAATTGTTTGTAAATACATTTTTAGTTATTGCTTTTTTCAGAATACCCTAATTTTAGAACTTAGTTATTAACATCCTAAAAGAAGATCAACGATTACTAAATGAGGAATTCGAGAAAGATTTCGGAATAAATTGCATTGATAACACATTTTCTGCTGAATGGGATAAGAATTTTTATGATTATCTACAAAGTGATCCTCGTCATTAAGAGCATAAGAAGCAATTCTAAGGCATCCTTAATTCTATTGATTGGAAGAACATCATACTTACAAGTAGAGTGTTTTTGAAGTGGTTCCAATTAATGTTGAATCATTACAAGAAAGCAAAACATCCCTATGATATGTGCTTAATATGGTCCGGTTTTCCTGGCTATTTGATTTTAATAAAATACTTGCTGTTGGAGATTAAATATTCAAATGAATATCCATATCCAGAAACTATTAAACATGCTTCATTGTGCTTTTTGGAGAATGAAAACATGCTTAATTATTTAGTCGTTGTGATATTTCACAAAACCAAACTATACGATGGAATTGCAGTATTTTACACACTCGATATGATCAATGATTGGTTTGACAGAATCAAAAAGTAGAATAAGAAGATTCCAACTGATTTCAACTATCAATTCCTGATGAAGGGTTTGTTTATGATTTTTGATGGCTAACATGCCTCATCGATCAGTAAAGCACTCTAATTGATATTTAATATATTTCCTTAGATGCCCATTGAAATCTAGAAGGAAATCAGTGATCACATATTTGATAATTGTTTTTTCAAGTTTTTCATGTTTTGGAGTAAGTTAGTTAGATTCGTCTTTCAACACCTTTTGATCTATCGAATATAGCATCGACTTAGAAATTATAGACAGGAAAGCATCAGAGACATTTACAAGGAATTCGAGTGCATAAAACTATAGAAGTAGAAATACACAGTTGAAGAGAAGGCTAAATTGTTGAATCATCTCATTTACATCAAATACTCATAAATGATTGAGTTGGTGTTGAAAATCAAGAGAAAGATTGCACAACACAATCTGTAATAGGAAAGTTAATTTCAATTGTAATTAGAGGCAAAATCTCTAAAATTGAAATTGATGAAGAAGAAATAACAATAAAAAAAATATCAACTAAAGAGAATGGAATCTCCAAGGCATGATTAAATAGATATCTCATTTGAAAAATAGTAAAGATCAAATATTAGTTTAACATTTAGTTTGAATGATCCCTTCTATAATTCCGACATCAGGGAAGATGAAAAGTCAATAGATCAGTCTCATGATAATGCGAAAGAGAACAATGTGTCTAATTATGATCAGAATGAAATCTATCTTTTTGATAGGAGTATCAGTTCGATCATCAATTTGAATGATCTATTGGCTGATATTGATTAAGACAAGAAGACTAATGAGAAAAGAAAGTCAAGACATTCGAATAGAAATAATTCGGTGGAGTTGAATTCTGAAAAGAGCCAGAAGAGCAGGAGAGATGATAATGTAAACCCAAAGAAATTAAAAATCTATCATCGACTCAACAAATAAGAGAACATCAAGAAATCATTCACCAAAGAACTCTTGTCATACTTGATTCCAGCTATACAGGAGTGGCAAGAGCAATAGGCTAATTATAAACGATGGTTTTTGAAGACTCAAGCAATGATAAAGAAGTAGTTTAAATAGGATCAGTAAGAACAACAATTGATGGATATCGACCCACCTGAAATCAATTTGTATGTACCCAAAGATGAAACAGAAAATGAAAATGTCTATACAGATCATTGATTAAATTAATTAAGCTAAATCTATTTTTGATATTATATTTATCTATCTATAAAAACTAAACTATTTTATAATTGTTAAATATGATTTTGCTTTTCATTAATGTATATCCATATGGTTATTTTAAAATGATTAAAAATAATCAGTTTAAAACGGCGGTAATTTAGATTTAATTATAATTAGCTGAGGAATAAACTTAGATGAATTTATTAAGATTTGTATTTTTATTCTAAAGTTAGATATAAATATTAAATGTATTATATAATCAATTTTTCTTTAATAACAAACTTTATATCATCCCTTTTTCCTACATATACTTATAGATTAATTATTTTAAAACACTTTTATCTACAATAGTAAATAATAATAATTCATTCTTCTTATCAAATGCTTAAGTGGCCATCAAAGTTTAAAACTTAGATGATTTTACCTTAATTTTTAAGACCCTCCATTTCCTTATATATAAATTTTTTATCTCTTTATAATAGTTATTTACAATTACACTTTATACCTTACTAACAATTGTATATATGAAAAATACATGTCTAGATATGGTGATTTCACAATCTCCTCTTCAATATGATAATTAATTATAGTCTTTTACATTTAGACTTTAATCTATTTTACTTCTAAAGTTAAGAAATAAACATGATAAATTACTTTCCTAATCTTCCTTTTTTATTTCCATATAAATTTGATTCCAATACTTATTCCAGAGCATGATGATCCTATTGGCATATGCTTAGACCTTCTTTCGATAATTTCTATAAACTTCTATGATCTTTCTCATTCTTCTTTTGAATTAATATGTTTTTTAAAATATCTCACCAATTTATCCGTAACTCATCATAAAAGTATACACCATTCTTTTCGCCTTCTTTTTAGCCCCCTTTTCCTTAACTTTCGATAGCATTCTCAAAATTAAAAGACCCTGAAATATTGTTCTTTGATAAATGTCTTTCCCAGACTTTTACAACATTCTTTATAACACTTACCGAACTCTGTATTGCCTTCTCTTCTTGATGGATTGTTTAAATTAAAAAATGATATTATCCTAAATAATGGGATGTTAATTTACGTAATATCGCCTTTTAATGATGGATACCAATTAAATGAAGTAGAGATTCTGAAGCCATAATTTTTATTGGAATTTTAAAAAGTTGTCGATATTATTTCTATACAGAATGATTTCTTTAAGTATCTTTTTCTTTTCTTAGAACTCGAACCGTTCTCTCAAGGTTTCTTTCTTCTCCTCAAATATTTATCTTTTTTTGTGTAGAGTTTCTGATAATTTTCTAGCTGATTGAACTCTTCTTAGGTTCTGCTATAGTTTCATTTTATCAGGCTAATATTATTCAATATTCTTGTTGAGTGATATCATGTCTTTAGAGGGTTTCCTGGTGAAGAAGAATTAGGAGGACCTTGTGAATTGATAGCCTGTGGACGGTCTTAATTTGGATTCGGTCTCCATTTTTTGTTGCTGTTGTGGCTTAATTCCAAAAGAAGCCTTGGCATAGATAGTGGTAGCTTATTATGAAAAGATTGCCAGATACAAACAACGTTATGTGAAGAGTATGTGTTCACCCTATTCAGTATATCTCAGAATTTGTTTTCTTTCAAAAGATTCCTCATTGTTGAATCTGTTCGGAGTTATGGTATGACTTGAGATGTAAAATTTCATTTTGGCTTAATCTGTGAATTAGAAATCTACTATTTATCATGATATATGTACAGATTACAAGAGGCTTTTTGTGACCAGTTAAAGGCACTTCAATATAGTGGAATTGACAAAGGTCAAGTTAAATGACATTGGTCAAACGCACATCCAAGATGGCTCTCTCTTTGTGAATGTATTGAATATCCGTTTATTTACGCTACGTGTTCAAAAATGCTGGTGTAGACAAGGAGAGATTATCAGAGAATATTTGTTTAATCTTGCGTTCCTCAAGTTTTTGTATCATTTAGAAATTTTCATCATACTTCTCATAATTTTAATTCATTAATATTAATAAATAATAATGGGTAAATTAGCATAGTCGTTTCAATTCTAATGAAGACTGGAATGTTTTTTAATAATGGATTTGACTTTATTGTTGATTTGGTTTTTGTTCTGACAATTTTGCTAAGTATTTAGAGTAGTTGTGTTTTATTGAATTTTGAGAACTTTATTAATAGAGTGAATAGACGAAGTCTTAGTCTTCTGAATGCTCTATCTATTATTATTATATTGAGAATAATTGATGTTCTTATTCACAATAGGCAATTGCTAATCTTGTTGAGTTGACTCTTAAGTGTTTTTCAGTAAAATCTTATCCCTGTGAGTGTTCTCATCATCCCAATCATAAATGTATTCAATCCTTAAGTCATTTTCCTTCATAACAGAAAGGAAGAGATTCTTCATATACTAATAATCTGGTCTTTCATCAAACTTCAAATTCTTAGAATACTCAATGTATTGATAGAATTACTTTGGACAGTTCTTACACAAAGTTTCACTTGACGTGGCCAACTTCTTCTCCATGATTCTATCGTATTTCTCCTTTTGATTATTTGCCCTTAGATTTTGCCAAGGCAATGAACCTCTTAAGAAATAAAGGAGGACATATCCCAAGGATTCAAGGTCATCTCTTCTCGATTACTCTATGCCTAAATGAGTATTTATGGATGCATATCTCGCTGTTCCAGTTAATGCTTTATTGTCCTTGTAAGGGATGTGACTATCTTTTATCATGTACTTCTTTGCAAGTCCATAATCAACCATATACACTCTATCCTTGAGAGCTTTGCCTAATAAGAAATTATCAGGCTTAATGTCTCTATGCAGAAAATGTTTTGTATGCAAGTATTCGACACATTCAAGCATTTGGAGTGCTAGCACGGTTACAGATTGAAGAGAAAAGAGACGATTGTTGTCTGCAAATATATCTTCAAGACTCTTGCCCAGTTATTCCATCACAAGGAAGTTAAAATTATCTTGTTAAAAATAACCATAGTATTTTGGTATGCCTATTATGGGTTGATTGTTGAGGTACTAGTACAATTTAGACTCAAAAAGTAACTAAGGGTATTTAGTGTCTGAACGTTCTATTTTAATTGCATACTCTTATCCATTCGCAGTGGCTGAATAGATTTCACCAAATGCTCCTGCTCCTAGTTTTTTTATTAGTTTGTATTGTCTACTGAATAGAGCTAGCTCTTTACTTATTTAAAAGGAATCCACTCAAATCCTTTATAGTATATTCCATCAGTTAATTAATTAAATAATCACTAAATTTAGATTGAAAAAACAGTGTTAGTCAACCAAAGTATTCGCGTATAAGCTAAGATGAGAGGATTTTGAGAAGTTTCTCGTAATATCTTGATGCTAAACGGATGTTAGTTCAAATTTGTAGTACATCCTTTTTGTTTTGAGTTTTACTAAACAAATTTTATTTTCAATCAACTACGTTCTAGTATGTTTTCTTCAAAATTCCAAGAGTTCCTACAGATTTGCTAAAACTGCAAAAGAACCTTAACCTAATCAAATTAAAGTCTACTGAAATTTAATATACACCTGTTTTATACACTTATAATCTAAAAATCTTATTATAGAATCTGAAATGGATTGCATTTTATTCAAAATTCAATTTTATTAAAATAAGATTGCAAGCTAAAGTATATATAAATATGAACATTCTTGTGGCGAAACTGAGAAATTAAAAAGTTTATGATTACAACTAATCTATGTAACAAGATCTTTCCATGTTACGGTTTAATGTGGAGTACATAAAAGATTAAGACCCATTTTACCCATTTTTAAATATGGGATATCTATGAATAGTACTTCAGGAAATCTTAATATCATAAATAGGAGACTTAGAGCAATGGATCACATAAGATTAATACGATGAGAACACTTTGAATGCATCGATATGAAGATTTGGGTTGAGTTGAGAGTGGTTAATTGATTTGCATATTATTTGAATTATAATTGAATAGATGCGTTGAAAATGTTTTGAATTCTATAATGAATGATAATTCAATTGTATATATCTATAGATTTTAATTTGATGGAGATAATAATAATAAAATATTATTAATAAAATGAGATTTTTATATTGCGATGCAAATGTAACTCCTGTGATGAGAGAAAAAATAACAAAATTATTAATTGAGAACCAAGAGAAATTAAATCACTAAAATCCAGCTCTCTTTTTATAACAACTGCTGAATAAAAATTTTGAAAAACAATGGTAAATGATTATTTAGTATTTCCATTAGGTTTGTTTATATGGTATATAGTCCTGTGGAATTAGAATATTAAGTTATTTCGAACACTTCAATATGTACTTAATCAATCTGATATTTGTAGCGATGGATATCGAAATTGAGAAAACTCGATTTATTTTGGCATAGTTTGAGGAAGTCAGCATAGGAACATTCTCCAAGGATAAGTTCATCAAAACATGCCAACAAATAGAGAATTATATTTAATAGCAATCGCATGACTTGGCATCTGCTCTAAATGAATCATTGAAATCATTGGAATATCATTTTGGACTTAGCTGTCATATGATACTATTTAAATGTATTGAATAGGAAACCTAACTACAATTTAATGCTCCAAATCAACTGCAATATATCTTTAAAGTAAAAATAAGTGAATTCGAATCAATTCAAGGAGGCATATTTTATATTCCATTGGGTGCAGAGGAAGATGATGGATTGTAAGGATTAAACAATAAAATTTTGTCAGGAGACGAAGAATTCGACAATAATCAAATAAGAGATGAAAATTACATTTAAGATGAATATGAAGAACCCATGGATTTATAATTTTAAGTCATGTTGGAAGCCAAAGAGTTCAAACAATCCACTGATCAAGTCAAAGTTAGTTTTGATGATCTTGAAATCTAACCGTTGAAAGTACATTCGTTTTCTATGCTGTTCTAAATTATCATCTCACCCTTTCCTAAAGAAATAAGTAAATCTATTTAATAATCAATTAGAGGATGATCTAAATGTATTGTCGACTGGTAGTTCTTTGATGTCCAAAAACATGACCTTTGGTATCAACCGAGATCAACTATTCTTCTTTAATTTCCAACTCGCGACAGGGAAAATGGAGACACTCTATTCTTAGATGAAAATCAAAAGGAATCAACTGTATTAGATAGCCCTGATTTATACTGAAACAGAAACTTACAAGTAACATTACTCATTCTATTATTTTATTAGAGAGGTGTCAATGTACATTAACGGAGCAATTGAAAATCAAATTAACTTATCAATACAATTAGAACCTCCCAGAGGATTCTTTTGGATTGGATCCGAATAAGCGCTTAAACTATTCAAAGGAACTTTAAGGGATATCGTATTTGTATCATAAGCCTTACATCAAAAACACGTCAAATCAATTTATGCTGAACTTTAGAGTGCTTTAGCCCATAAATTCCAAAGGTAAACAATGGAAATTGTTGAAGAGATTTTGTAACAATTCAAAGAAGAGATACCTCTTGATTAAGATGAATCAAAATTTACTCAAACTCAGAGTATGTTAAAACAGCAGTCTAAGACTTTAACCAAAACGAGTAATAAGAAATTGTAGATACCTCCACATCTCCAAAGGAGTTATCATGTATTTGAAGAAATTGATAAAAAGAAAACTCAATAACAGGAACAACCACATTAAAAAACAATTCCAGAATTTGCAAGTACATTTCTATGCTAATTTTTAAGATAGATTAAAAGAAGTGTTTTAAGAGAACGAGATAATTTATCACAAATGTCACGAATTGAGTTTGAGCTTCTATTGGGTGTTTACTACAGTATAATAATTGGCACCACCTTTGGAAGAGAATGCAAGTGCCAAACTGCCATTTGAGTATATTCATTAAGAACTCTGCAAAGAGAGGTAATTAATATGAGTATGAATCATCTTAGATTTGAAGTCTATCCATATTATGCTATTGAATTTGATAGGTTTTGCAAAGTTGTGTAATACAGTGGAATTCAGTTATCACATGACGATATTTATCAATTAGCTGAAATCACTGATTCTCTAAGGGAGAACAAGAGATTTGGTCTTTACATAATTTATGATCGACTGCTATTGTCTATTAGACAGGCTGCTTTGAATGAATAGGAAATAGTAGAAGTCAAGAGTCAATACAACACAGATGAAAAAGAAGCTGACTAAGATCTGATTATATAAGCTAGAGGCATCTCGAGATCGAAGCAAACTATATAACATAACTTCAGTTTCTTTGAGTAACTTACAGTACTGGTAGGATCTGAGAATGAAGCATTCAAGTACAATATCAAATATCTATTGGCTTACTTTGTGCACAATGATGAATTTGTGTAGAAATTAACAGCAGTTTACATTCACAAAGAAACAGAATAGGAGGTGGAAATCGAAGGAATTGATCTATTTTCTTATGATCATGATAAGATTTACTAATAGAAACTTAATATCTCTGAAGAAACTTAACCTAAGTACTTCAGAGTTCATTACAATGGTGAAAATATGGCTATGATATCATTCAAAACACATGAGGCTGAAGAGACATTTAGGATTGATAAAACATTCTCATACAGAGAAGGATAGGATGCAACTGGGTAATTGGAGACCTATGCTTTTGAGTAATTAAGGTTGGCTGGATTCAGAGGTAGAATAGTCAAGAAAGATGACTATTCTCAAATAATCATGTTACATGCAGAATATCTGTAAAAAGATCCAAGAGTAGAAGAGCAGAAAAGAAATCAACCAGAAACCTTGCCCTAATTACCAGAAAATTGGAATCAAGGGAAGTTCTAGATCATCATCAATAGATGTTCTGATTGCGATAAGCATAAGACAACCACTTGGCATAATGAGGCTGATTTTGCCAATAAATTTAATGAAATTGGATAAATATTAAAAGATTTATTCCCTAACATAGAAGTAATAGGAAATTGGGATAAAACATAACAATTAGAGCATTTTGATGTTTATATTCGAGGAGTAGGTTAAACAAATTAGATGGACAAAGAAGGAAGAGTGTTTTTGTTTAGAAAGAATGAAAAGTTGGTTAAATTCTTGGATTGTTTCTTGAAGAGAATGTTAAAGGTCTATGACGAAATAGTATTGACTGCATAAGCCTATGGTGATACAAACAACATGGCTATTAAATAGGAGCAATTCTTAAGAACCAACAATTATTCATAAAGATCCAAGATAGCTCACGAGCATCCATGCAATGTACCTGAAAAATAAGAGAAATCAGAAAAAGGAGAAACATAATATGCTGGTACTGATTTCATTTGTAAGAATTGGGGTTGTGGACAACCATTTAAATATGATGCAACTCCAAATGGTATTAAAACATGTAAACATCATCCTGGAAGATATGAATTTGGATCTAAACACGGATTATGGCCAGAATGTTGGACATGTTGTGGTAAAAAGTGGGAAGCTGAGGGCTGTAAATTAGAGTATCATAAGGGTGTTCCTGAAAAAGACTTTTATAATATTTGTATCAATGTAGGTCCTTTGGATCCAAGAACCGGTTTTCCTGAAGGCACTTGTGGAATGAGATTCTAAGATGGGGATTCTTCGGAATGTAAATATAACTCAGGAACTCATCAAGCTGCTAAATGGCCTGATCCTGCAGCCAAAGTCTATTTTGTACAAAAATTACACATTGTAAATATCATCTGTTAATTTATATAGAATCCTGCTCAGAAAGACAAGGAAACTTAGCCAAATAAAAACATTCAAGTTAGACCAGACGTATTCAGAGAGACCAAACCTTATTATGAATTTATTAATAAGGATAGACAGAGATAAATGAAATTGATTGAGACTGAGAAGGAATTAAGAACATGCACGAATTGGGCGTGTGGAAAACAATATAGAGAAATTGAAAATAGAAAAAAGAATATGTGTAGATCTCATCCAGGAGTCTTTGATTTTGGACATACTGCTACTAAAATTTAAGAGGCTATTGAAGAATATAAATAAGAAAAGGGATCCAAGATTCTATGGAAACCTCAGTAAATAAGTTCTCTATTTAAATTAGTTGGACTTGTTGTCGAAAATCTTGGAATGAACCAGGATGTCTTTTATCAAAACACTCAGGACCTTTAGTTATTGAATATAAACCTAATAAATACTAGTGGCCAGATCCAAAAGCATAAATATAATTCAAAAAGAAGGTATCAGAAAATTGGACAAAAATGCTTGAGTAAAGTCACAGTCTGACACCAGAAACAGCAAGTTTGAAATACGATCTTTTATGCAAGACTTTGGGGTCTGGAGGAGTAAAAATAATTAATATGTACTTAGCAAATTTCTGTTTATAAATTGCCTGAGTTATGTGATAAATTTGAACTCAACTTGTGGGTTTGTAGTGAAGACTTGGCATTTTAATTTAAATTTACAGACATTATGGAGGGCAGAGCCTAGGAATACTTGGCTGACACAAGTGGAAATATCGATAAACATAAATTCTTAGATTGGTGGTTTGCTGATGTCAATAGAATGTTAGAAATTTCATCAAAATGATATATTATACATATAAATAAGAAATATATATTATATCCGATTTTATCATTTTTAACAAAAATATATTTCAATCTTCCTTTACAAATTCAACTATTAAATTTAATTTTGATAAATATGAGTTCTAAACTTTAGTGCTTAATTATAGGATTTTCATTTGGAGTGTTATCCACTACATATTATTTAGGAAATTAAAGCAAAGAGAAACTTGTACTTAAAGCAAAAGAGTTAAAACAAAAGGGAATAGAATAGGTACCTTTAGAATTCAATTAGATTCATGATATTAAAAGTGATTTGAATGAAATGAATGCTAAAGAGTTTTTGATAGAGAAGAAGGAACAACTATTAGAAAAAGGTAAAGACAGGTATATTTATTCAATGAATAGCGAAGTTAAGAATTTGCCCAAAAAAAATGGAAAGATATTGAAGAGAAGGCTAAAAAAACTAAATAACAAATGGGAAAGGAGATCGAAAAAATAAAAGAGAAATTCAAATAAGATTGATAGTATTATTATAATAAATATGTATTACAATTTAAGCTCTTTATGGGCATTATAATGCAAGTATAAAAATTTAATAATTATAATCGTTAAAAATGCATAACGCTGTGATTACTATTCCTTAACATGGAAATGGCAGACTCTACAAAACTTCAATCTGCAGACATTTTGAATTGGGCAACTGCTCAATTGGAGATAAATGCCAATTTGCACATGGATAAAAAGAATTAAGAAACCCCAATGGTATTATCAAGATTATACTCTAGATCCAATTTTGGGTAAGATTCCAACAATCGATTCAAATATAGTTATCACAAATTACAAGAGTATCAATTAATTATAATATTGCAGCTGTTTTATGCAAATATGATTAACAAGGATTTTGCAAGAATGGAGTAAATTGTCCATATGCACATGGAACTAATGAAAAGAAATAAGCTAGATTGGCCCCTGTGTAATTGAAGCAAATGTAAGAAAACAAAGAAAATGGTGATGATGAAAATGTAGTTAAATTTCTGAATTAATTGACTGATAAATTAATGAAAAATGATGCATTCAAAAATGACAAGGTATTACAATTACAAATTATGTAAAAAGCAAGTCTTAGTTTAACTCAAATAAACTCAAGCAATGATTGAAGAAAAGCATCATAGAGATGCAGCTGAATAGTTATCACTAGTTTTATCTTCTCCATCCAGATCCTCAAAATAGTAAAAGGCTTACGAAACAGTATATAAATCTTTAACTTTCAATTGAAATTATAAATAACATAATTATATAATCATTCAAACAGTCTACGTTCGATTAATTATATTGAAATTAAAATACAAAATAGGTTAAATTGTGTAAATCAACCTAAAATACATTGAAATATAATATATATATAATATTAACAACATCTTCAAAGAGACAAAAAATCTTTACTCTAGAGTAACTTTTCTACATCGTCCATCTGTTTTGCATCACCTTTAATCATTATCAAATTTAATATATCTGCTATCCTTTGTTTTTAAGACATGATCTGTTCTTGAGCTTTCATCAATTCTTAATCAGTAAATTCAGCTATGTTCTATAAATAAAGAATTCAAGTACTTTCTAAAACTCCTTTTCCTTTGTCAAAGTTTCTATTCTTATTTTATCTTTATTTTACTCAATTTCTAAATAATCATTAAAATACAATACTTAATAAAGCATTTTCTTATTTTAAGGCTTCGCTTTCATTATCCCCATCATCCCCTCTGAAACTCGATCCCTTAAAATTATTTTCCTATTCATACATTTAATTCTTATTCTATTATCTACTTTTAGATAAGATTTCTTACTGAGATGCTGATTGCTATTGATTTTAAGTCGAAGATAGGATTTGCCTTAAGTATTAATTGTCATTCTAGAGTTTCTCCATTTCCTCTTAAAGATCTTTCAATTTTTAATTATATTTTTATTCTATCTCTTACTTCTAATCTAATTCAGATTGCAACTCGTTTTCTAAAACTTACATTTATTTTTTCGTTTGTTTTATGCTTTCTTCCAAATCCGAAATTTCTTATTCTTTTTTTTTAATGACTTATTTATAACCATCAATAATATCTCCTATATTATCCTTATTACTCAAAGCTTACATTCTAATGACATCTTATTTTTTTTCTTCTAGTTGTTCCTTCAATTAAGTGATTTCATCTTCCAAAGATTACACCATTTAATTTAAATTGCCAACTTATTTTTAAAAATTTTAATTTTCTTTTTCTAATTATGAATATTAAATTTTCAGTTATTCTAATTCTACTTTCAACTGATTATCTGTGTTTTCTGATGAAGTTTTCAATTAATTAATGGGGAGAGCTTCTGATTTCTAATTTATTTTAGCATAACTGCCTTATGGTTATTCAAATTAATTATTTTACTTCATTTCTATTTTCATTTATTATGCTTCATCTTACAGTTTTTCTATTTCTTAATTGATCATCATTAGATTATTCTTTAAATTATAGATTTCGTCTTAATTCTTTTCTTTCTCTTTTTGCAATTAAGTCACATTATATTGACTCTGCTCTAAATGAGATTTAAGCATGTTATTGTCTCTTTATAGAAATTCAAGTTCTTTTTTGATTATTTCTTCATTAAAAGTAGATTGAGAACCTTGATCATTATTCCCATTAATTAATTGCTACTATTACAAAAATACAATTTATTATTATTACTGCCTATTCTGTTAAACTACTTATGTATATTGATCATTTAAAGAGGAATAAGTTTAGGATAATAGGGAAAATTCGTTACAGGAATTTTCATATTAACCCTTTAAATCCAAATATTTTTTCAACAACTCATCATACTTATCAGATTTATTAAATTAATTACTATTTTATAAGTCCTCTTATTGTTAGGTTTTGCTTCTTGAGGATAATTATTATTGTAATTCTTTTGGTTTGGGAGCAGTCTTGGGGACATCCAAATTGATAGAATTTGATTTTAATCCTAATTTTGGATCATGTAGAGATTTGGTCAATTAATCAGAGGCCTAATACTATTGAGTGGGTGCTTAGATTTGACTATTGTACATGAATTAATAATCCTTAGAGTCTTTTTAATCCACAAAGTATTGATAATTGAGAGATTTTTATTTGGTTCCTTTTTCGGATTGACTAATAGTTTGATCTTCATTGAAGCCATTTTTATAGTCATCGAATTAACGCGATTTTAATTTTTAATTTAATTTGGATGAATATTTCTTTTTCTCTTCTTCTTTATTTTCATTATTCATTTATTGCAATTACTTGTCGACTTTACTTAATTTTTCATTTATCATTCTTAATTCATACTCCTACTATCTTTACTGATTTAGGTTATTCACAGGACTTTGAAATTTCTTGTTTACCTTGGTAGGAGTGCCAAACCTTTTGGGAGGTGAAGCAACTCTTACTTGAGCATCTGGTTTTCTTAGATTATCTGTCCAATTGTAATTGTAATCGTCAACCATTATCACCTTTTGTGGCTGCTTTGGTTCTTTTAGTTTTCGTTCCTATTGGTTTTTTAAGTATTCCTTATGATCCTTCCACTAGGAATACGTTACATGAGTAGTTCGCTTCTCATTTTCTTCTCCAATTCTTTTGGATTAAACCAATCGTTTAGGACTCTGTCCTCCATTTCGTTGTGTATTTGGAGGACTATTGGCTGAAAGATAGGGGTTTAGTATTTTAGGGTTGATTTCAGAAGGCTTTTCAATGAATTGCCATTCAAACATGAAGGTTAATTGTGCTTCCTCATTTTGTTCGCTCTGAATGGATAATTTATCTGATAATTATTAGAATTTGTTCTCAACATAAAAGTCCAAATCGAAGACAGCCTCTCCAAATTTGCTCTAATTTTCAAAAAAGATCAATTTAAGCTTTGATTATAAGGGAAGACATACTTTTTTTTTGTTTTTTGGATCATATTGGGTTCTGATTTCAGCCTTCTCATAAATGTCCTATTGTTCATAGCATTTGCATTTAAGTTAACTATTGAGCATGACTGCAGTAACAGCTAGATTTCAATCAAACATATTACAATCGTTAAGTTGCATGTGGCAATACGTGATGGGTGAATCTATATAAAAATAAACAGTCTGCACCTCTATATTAATTTATAGCATACTTACTATATTTTTTATTTATTATAATAAATGTATTTCGTTATTTTTAATTTGTTAGATTAAACTATTTATGTATTCAGATAAAAATATTAACAAATCAATAAAGTCATTTCTCATTCAAGCAAGTCTAATTGATGTTTCATTTCGTCACGAATCAAGTCAATTTCCTTTTATTGATAGTAATTCCAAGTTCTCAAAGAGTAAGGACCGATTCCATACAAGCTCCTACATTAATAGTCCAAGAGAATCTTTTAAACATTAAAACCAGGAATTATTAATTCATCACAATATTTTAACTTTGAAGAAAAATTATTGTAAATTGTAATGATGGAATCATTTTAATCCTAATGCAAAAACAGAATCTCCTTTGTCTCCTAAGCAACAGTCATGTCCGAAGGATTACTCTCAAGTTGTTTATGAAATAGCACTTAATTCTTTTACACATTCCAAAGTAAACACCTGTTGGAATTCTACTTGGCATATATGATATTGTTAGGATTTCCAGGAGTAAACATGGCCTTCAAAGCTTATTACCCATTTTCTCGAAAGCTGAATTATGCCACTGTTGGATTCCTCATATCCAAATGAATAAATCCATCTGTCATAGTTGCCACAACATTGTAATCATGAACATCAATGTGTTTGATATATTGGGATTCTTGGTAATTCGGATCTTCGAATTAGTTGAAACTGGGGAATTGCTGAATCAAGTCATCCTTAATTGAGTCCTACTCTTCATCCAATTTGAAACTCGTTAAATGCAATAGGTTTAGATCAGGAGGGTTGAATTGAGGACTTTCAAGTATTATGGATCCAAATCTAGGTAACAAGGGCGATAATAGTTAGTTTGCTTGAAATGGATTTAGTTTCTGCTTGTTGATGGTTAACAACAAACATTTCCTCTCGTTCATTCTTTCATCAAGTACTAACAATTCCTTAAATCAATAAATAAAATCACTTACATTGTTTTTTGTTCCTACAAATATATTATTTAATGATTGTGTTATAAATGTTGGAATCGAGTGCTGCTACAAACTGCAATTGTATTGTTTGCTCAATCCATAATAACGATATGCTTGATTTTTGAACAAGTTCCAACCCATAATATTACCTTGATCTGAACCAGTAATTACCATATCATTAGAGATATTGCTATCACACATGCACAATGAAATGTATTTCGAGTCATCATTATGAATATTGCATATTTTCTCGCTATTGAATGTATCATTTATCAATTCTATCCGTGTTAGATGAGTTCCATTATTTATAATTAGGCCATTTTATTATTTTAATTAGATAAAATTATTTTGCGTTTATCTACTCTAAGCGTAAGCCCCATCAAATGCTGTAAAATATTGGATGTTCTATCAAATATAATATGCATTTACTTTTCTGACTATCCTCAATTCATTTGTGAGTCTATCGAACTTTCTATTTATCCTATGATCCAATTTATTTCTTAATCCCTCTACTGTTGTTCCTAAACCCTATATGCGAATGGGAGGCGTAGATTTATATGGCGAATCCTCTGAGGATAATATACTTATAGACTTCTAGTGCTTTTATTTTGTCTTCTCCAAAAACTTTTCGATTTTGGAAATTTTCTTTAAACTTTCCTCAGTATATTTTGACTATTGTATTAATGCATGGGAAAATGAAGCTGGTTCCATGTTCGCAGCATTGTGCTAGTTGGTTTCATTGAAGAGTTATTTGTTGATTGTTGTTTTGGAAAGAACCTCATCCTTTTCCTAATAGTCAATTATTTAAATGCTTTACAATTTCTGAAAATAGAACTGCCAAATTTCTGGGAGTGTTGAACAATATGTTCTGTTCGTTATAAACTGAACTTCTGTTGAGTTTTGCTGATATTGTTTAGGCATGAGTGAAACTTGAAAATTATGAGGAATTTGGAAGTGGAGATTCATCTAAAGTAAATTCTGAAATTGCAGACGTAGTTGAAGATTTTGGCACATTATTCTTAAATTTGGCAGAATTTTTTATCATTTTAAATTATTCTTTGATAAAAACTAAACCTCAACCTCACTTTAAATTGAAGTGAAAAAAAACTTAAATTTTTTTTCACTGCAAAATGATTAAATAAAAATTATCATTAATTGTACTTAAATTCTCAATAAACAAAGAAAAGAAACCACTCTCAATCTCAATACTAATTCAAAATAAGGATAAAGGAGATAGTCCGATCTAAGTACACCCTCATCTTCAGATAACACATTAAATATAATTGTATTTATATTTTAATTACATTCTATATGCAAAGCCATTAAGTCTAACGATTATGCAATTATGCTCTGCTTTTTACACTTTATTTGGTCAATATTCACTCCTTCGAGTGGATTTGTATAATATAATCATTTTAAATAAATAAATTTTAATATGTTGCTTAGATTTATAACCACAACCCATCAATTAAATTGGGCTTCACTCTATTATTTCACAAAACACACCAGACCCAAGGCATAACCTCACAGAGAAAAGACTAGAGCTAAAGCAATAAGTGATGATAAATCAGGAAAAATTGCCAAATCAGATCAAGAACAAGAATAAAAGCAATAACAAGAAAATCTCAAGAAGAAAATAGAATTAGAAAAATTAAGGGCATTACAACCAAAAATGCATACTTGGAGCTCATTTTACGAAACGCATATTCCTTAAACAAAAAAAATACCTAAAACAATTTACCTATCATTGGATCAACAACCTGAAGGAAGGAGAAAGCATTATAAAAAGTTCGTTTAACCTCCAGTTGATATTACTGAAGAAAACAATTAAAAATTCCAAATCAAACAGCACACTTATGAGGATCCCTTTGCACAACCAAAAAGAGCGGGGCTAATTGCTGTTAAAGTTGGAATGACTGCGTAATGGGATAAGTGGGGTTACAGGCATGCATTAACAGTTTTATAACTAGACAATAATTAAGTGGTTTAAGTGGTGAAGAACGATACATACACTGGCTTGTAGGTTGGAGCTGGAGCTGTCAATATCAAAACTCTAAAGAAACCCTAGATAGGACATTTCCTCAAAGCGAACGTAAAACTTAAATGTAAATGATAGATTCCTCCCAAAAAATATATAAAGGAATTCCCTATCACTCCTGAAAACGCATTACCCGTAGGCTTTATGTTGACTGCAAGACACTTTACTCCAGGCCAGTACATTGATATTTAAGGTATTTCAACAGGAAAAGGTAAGAATGATGTTCTGATGTATTCCGTTAGGATTTGGAGGCACTGTCAAAAGACACAATTTCAAAACACAACCAGCAACTCACGGTAACTCTCTATGTCATAGACAATTGGGAAGTACAGGTTAAAGACAAGATCCAGGAAGAGTTTTTAAGGGAAAAAAGATGCCTGGTCATTTAGGTAATGACAAAGTTACATGCGAGGGGATCTAAGTAAATTGAATGTCATTTTAATTAGATTTACAGAATAGATGCAGTTAGACAATTAATATACATAAAAGGTTCAGTTCCAGGAAAACCTGGTTCAATTGTTTATTTAAAAGATTCTTGGAAGGCTTAAAAGAAAAACAAAGAACTTCTTAACTTTCCAACTTTGGCTGTTGAGGATGGAAAAGAATATGCTAAGGAAATAGTTATGGAAGCCCCATTGGAAGATCCTGAAATGGAGGAAACTCATGAGAACGATTTCCCAAAGGCTGGAGAGGATGCAGAAGATTGAAATAAATAAAAAGAGTATCACAATATTAAATCAAAAATATAAATATTAAGATCATTTTTTATTTTTTAATCTTATACACAGCTTCTTTTTTTGTTATTCAATTTTTGAACTATGGTTATCATCATCAATATTCTTTTTTAATTCTGTTTATTGGATGTGAGAGTGATCTAAATTCGAAAAATTTGAATTTTGACAATCAAAGATTTCACATTATATTTTTGAGTTAGAATTTGTCTGTGACTTTATTTAAGGCTGAGGATTTATCTAATTACTTTGTTGATTTATAGACTCTTCCTACTTTTCATTCAATGATTTCATCCTATCATATGTTTCCTCTTTTAGTTTTTCGAATTCAGTTTTATTTTGCAATCCAAAAAATTGAAGCTTTCTTTTTTTGACATCCTGTTCCAAAATGGGCTTTTTTTCGATTTGCTCTTGTTCTTTATTCGAAACTGTCCTATTGAAAAATTCCTTGGTTTGCTTAATCACATCATCATCATTGACCCAAGGTTAAATGGCAGGTTATGCCCATTTTGATAATCCTTGTCTAATTTCCTTGTATTCAAATCTTTTATCGCACAAATAAACAATCCTAAAAATTATTAACAAAGTATTTATACCCATAATCATTGATATGTCTAATCACTCTTCCCATAGCTTGATTTGTGGCACGAATAGCTTATTGAGTATACCAATCTCCGCTTTTTATTCGTTATTAATGATGGAATTCTAGATCGTTGTAGATTCTATCCAAGTAGTTCATTTTTTCTAGAAGATGAATATCCTTTTTAGGTGGATAGGGAACACCTACTAAGAATATGGCTCTGCATAATTCATCAGAAAAGTCTATGCCTTCAGCAACCTTTCCTCTATGAACTGCAAACATGATGGCGCCTTTCTTTGATTTCTCTTTGTAGGTATCAAAAACATTTTGCATCTGATTACTTTATTAAGGTTCCCATAAGCATGCTTTGAGTTCACTCAATCTAGGTATTAATTTATTTTATGTCCACTTGTTTCTGAATTTAAACATTAGACTATAGGATGAAAAAATAACTAAAATTCCGTTAGGAATAGTTTAACATAAACTTAATAAAGTAACACCAAATCCACAAATATACTCTTCATTGTCTCTTTAATTAAATGAAAAGTCATAAGTTTTATGTTAAAATACTCTAAGATTTTTATCCAGATCAATAATATGCTCATTGGCTAATTGAACATCAAATGGAATCCTTAATTCACAAGACCAAGAGAGCATAGGTGAGAGTGTGCCAGATGTTAACAAGATCGAATGTATACTTTTATTATACAGTCTGGAAAAGGCAAGTGAGGGTTCAAGACACCACATGTGGATAGATAGCTAATTAGATTAATCAAGAATAAAAGATAACTTATATTAGTTTAACTCGTTTTACAAAGAGGTTATTGATAACTGTTATTTTTCTCTTTCCTCCTCAATTGCAACAAGATCATAAACATTTTTCATAAATTTAACCCAGGACTCAAAATGATATCCTGGGATTTAAGATAAATCCCCCATTACATCAATTAAAGTAGAGCAATGAATTAAGTACTTTGAAAAATTAGTTTTATTGACTCCTTTTGCATAATTAGTCAAAGAATTGTCAGACCATAATTTAAAAGTGTTTTCTCTATCTTGGGTGTATTAGAAAATCATAGCTGATATTTTTCGACCATCTAAGATTAAATATTTCTCATCCTTATCAGAACTTGTAAATTATTGGCTATTTTTAAATGACTCCAAATATTAAGCAAATACTCTTATTGTAATCATAATAGATCTAAATTCCTTCATTTCTGATGAGACTTTAGCCGAATTTAATTTAGTTTTCAATTAATCATAAAATGCAGCTACTGATTCTAGTTCATCAATCCACTTCTCAAGATCTTTTTCTGCTTCTACAATATTATTAAGAGTAATAAAAAATGATGAACCATCTTCAGCAGTAGATTACACATTGTGTGCTTCATCAAATATTAAAATTGAATTCTCTATTTACACAACCTCCGAAAAGTCTTTCTCTAATAGGTAGTTGTAGGGGAGCAAAATGAGATCAGCCGAATCCAACCTCTGTCTCTCAAAATAATAAGGACACAATTTATTTTTAAGGCCGAACTATTTTGCTTCTTCCAAACTGCTAACTAAAGTACTGTAATTTTGTGCCATAACAATAAGGTGTTCTTTCTTATAAAATTAGCATTAATTAGCCTTTACTGATTTCCGACAACTTTGATTCAAGATAGTCCCTTTGAGCATATTGAAATCCCCTCTGATACAATATTGATCTCTTGAGCCAAGCATAGAAACATTGGGTTTGTAGATAGTCTTCTTCAACTCCATAGCTACTTATTTTAATTGAGCGTGAGTTCTTGATGAGTAGATAATCTTAATATTCTTAGGCTGATCAGAACTCTATTAATCTTATCTGTTCTTCTTTAACCATGCTAAGGAGGCACAAAGCAGGGATAGGGTTTTTCCTGTTCCTGTTGGAGATTCTAATCTAATCCATAGTGATTTTTATAATTTACAATGCATTCTACTTTTTATTCAATGCTTATATCACACTTTCCATATAAGCCTTTTAGACTTCATAAGGTTGATGAGGAAAATGCACAGGAGTATTATCAATCATAAGTTGCACTTGTTTCTTGCACATATTAGAATCGATTTCAATTTCCTTGATGAGTATCCTATTTGCTTATTCAGACTCTTCATCCAACAATTAATGATGCTGGGCTTATCTAAGAGTAAAGTATTATTGCAGTCCTAATGGGGTTTTCATTTTTGCAATTTTTGGAATAAAAATTTGGTTCTAAAAATTAATTATTATTGAAATAACAATTAGAAATTTAAATTATGAATTAAACAACCCCAAAGTCGTCAGGAATCAATTATGCAAGTAAGTGTTGCTGTTATTAAGAGTTAAGAAAGTAGAAATCAAAGGAAACTACCATTCCCAAATCAATGAGCAACAATTTGAAGTTCGATATCCAATAAAATCATTAATATGGTATTCTTAAACATAGGAGTACTTCTCAACACAATATACACGAGCATGTGCAATCACAACAATAAATTCAATTGTTCGAATAATATTTCAATCAATCAAAGCATTTATTGCCCTTCATAGAATTTGTTACTAAATAAATATAATATCATACTTAACCGATTCAAGTATTCTACCCTTCCTATCATAGATCAATGCGAACATTTTTAAAAATGGTCAAAGAAGATGGGATGATGAAAAACGAAGAATCCTCAATGAATTGAATCAATGCAAGGAGGATAATTGTTTATTACAAAGTGAAATTCATGAATTGAAAAGGCAGAAGAATACTCTTTCCAAACAATGTGAAAACCTATAGGTGATCGTTGTGCAGGAGAGACTGGGCAAACAACAAAAACATCATCATTTCTACAAATTCCAAGAATTGACCAAGAATATTCATGTTCCCACCCAAGAAACAATCTCATCATTAACTGACGAAAGGGTAACTATTTATAAATATTCGAGTTCGAAAGCAATGAAACATCTTTGGATTCTTCCTTATCGAATGATGATCATCATCATCCCAATTAGCTGTTTGAATTATTGAAGACTGGAAAACACAGATACCAGTTTTCTAAGAAACTTAATTGATTATTAATATACATAATCTATATTAAATGACTAATTTGAAATTATTTTAGCTTACTGCCTATCAGAATGCCATCATAGTATCAAATATCCCTATCAATAGATTAAATCAGATTTACCCTATTTAACCACCCAGCTAAAATTTCACAGAACTTCATAAATTATAGAAGAAAGTCCTAAACATCAGGAGCAGGAAGGCAAGATCAAAGGCGACAGAAGATGCTCCTACATTTTGGGAGTCTTCAAGACATATAATAAATCATTCATAGTGCTTGTTGAAGAGTGCACAAAAGTTGCGACAATCCAGGAACAAATTATTTATCACATCGATTAAGTATCCTACATTGCAATTGAAGTAAAAAACACATTTAATTAGAGGACAATAATCCTAATAACAATAAGGATATCATGGAAAGCTTGGGCAATCAAAAGAAACTACTCTAATCAGGATTCTATTTCTCACTCCACGGAGATATCACCCTTGCAAGGCATTTCCAAAAGTATGAGAATAGTTTTGTTTGGAATAACAAACTCCTTAGCTCTTTAAGAGAAAATAAGATCTCTTCTAGTTGGCAATTACCTATGATATAAGGATACGTCGAATAAATAGATTCCTTCATAGATAATAAACCAGTTACCGTGACCTTAATTTCCAGAAGAAGTAGATTTATGGGAGGGACTCGCTACTACTCAAGGGGAGTCAACGATGATGGACATGTGGCTAATTTCGTTGAGACTGAATAAATACTCATCCAAGGTTAAATCTTAATAAGTTTTGTTGCCATACGAGGGTCAGTGCCATTATTTTGGAATTAAGACAGTGTTTCTAATATAAAACTAACTAGATCAAAAGAATTGACATAAGCTGCCTTTGTTAAACATTTTAACCTCCTCAGAAGATATGGCAAGATATTTTGCATTAATTTAATGTAAAATAGTAGATAAATAGAATAACTCTTAACAGATAATTTTTATTATCAGTTTCAGACTGCTCAATTAGATCATGTTAATTATCAATACCTTGATTTTCATTCCTTAGTCAAAAATGGTAAGTCTACTGGAGTCAATTCCTACATTTACTAATACGAATAAACATTAGATAAATTTTAATGTTATATTGAAAAAGATAAAAAAATGATAACAAAATAAAATGGAGTTTTTAGAATAAATTGCTTGGATTGCTTGGACAGAACTAATTTATTTATGAGTAAACTCTGTCTTTATAGTTTGGATAGATCTTTAAAAATTTTAAATCTTTAATTATCAAGTAATCCTGATGTCCTCAATTATTTTGATGAAAACAATAAAAAATTATTACATGATCTAATCATCAAATATAAGATCATGTGGGCTAATAATGGAGACATGCTAAGTTTCATCTACTCAGGATCAGGTAGTACTGTCTCAGAGATGGCAAGAGAAGGTAAGAGAGGATTTATGGGAATGCTCAAAGATGGATATAATAATATTGAGAGATTTTATAATCGTTAATTTGAGGATGATACCAAATAAAACACAATTAATTAATTATTGCATGGCTCAACATCCAAAACTCATTTTGATAATTGGATTACTGAGCAAGAAAAGCACTTTTGTACCCAGAGTGAAGCTTCAATATTATTAACTACATGGAATGTTGGTGGAAATAATCCTGTTACAACTAATTTTTCTTAAAATATACTAAATTTTTAGGAACAACCTAATCCAGATATAATTGTTTTTGGTTTGTAAGAGATTGTTGATTTGAATCCATAAAACATAGTCATTATGAGCAATGAAAAAACACTGTAGCTTTGGGATTAGTTGTTTCAATCCAACCTCTCAAAAATTGAACCTTATACTAAAATAGGAGAATCTGATTTAGTGGGTTTATATATGGCCATATATGTGAAAACATCCTAAATTTCAAGAGTAACATAAATTGATACAGATGTGGTTAAAACAGGTTTGGGTGGGACCTTGGGAAATAAAGGAGGCGTTTCAGTGAAATTTAAATTTGATGATTCTCAAGTAAATTTGATTCATGCAATTATTTTAGTTAGGGTTTACTTGTTGTCATCTTACATCTGGAAATAAATAATGCCAATAAAGATTATAAGACATTGATGAGATTCACCAGAGGGCATTCCAAAATTCTAAGTCTAAAGCTACTTTAAACGATCTTGATTATTCATTTTTTTTTGGTGATATGAATTTTAGAATTGACTTACCATATCAAGAAGTTATTGAGTAAATCAAACATTATCAATAGCTTGTTTCATAAGATCAGAATAATCCTAATGCAAAAGCAAAGCTAGCATACTTATTGAATTAAGATCAATTGGGAAAAAATAAAAATAGGAATTAATATCTTCAAAACTATTAGGAGGGTAGCATTTTCTTTTTACCAACATATAAATATGATAAAAATTGTTAAATATATGATACTTCTAAGAAATAACGAACCCCTTCTTGGTGTGATCGAATTTTAGTCAGCTGTAAAGAGGAGTTGATTTGTTAGCAACGATTTTATAAAAGAAATGAATGCTTAGATAGTGATCATAGACCTGTATCTGGTTATTATGTTATAGAAATCAAGAAAATCGATAAAGAAAAGCTTGACTTAGTTAAAGCTTAATATTGTTTGTCAAAAATGTAGAATTTTAAACATCATTAACCTAATTAAGAAGTTCCGAAATAACATTCTTCAATCGTGTAATTTCAAAGATAACAATAACCTTTATAAACTGATGACTATTAAGACTTCTTTAAGGATAATTAAAATATATAATACTAAAATTAAAAATCATAATCTAGTATAAATGTTACGTAATCGTAATCATTTATTTCATAATAATAATCATAATAATCTTCATTATAATACTAATAATAAACATAATAATCTTAATAGTAATACTAATAATAATTGTAATATTCTTAATAGTAATAATAATTAGCTTAATAGTAATAGTAATACTAGTAGCAATCATAATAGTAATACTAATAATAATAATTATCACAATAGTAATAACAATAATATTAATAATCATAATAATAAAGATAACCTATTTAATATATGTAATAAAATATATAATAAATTCAATAACCCTAAACTTTACCATTAGATTTAATAAATATGGATGATAAATAATAATAATATTATTAATAACCTTAAGTGTTACAATAATATGCTGTATAATAGATGTAATAGCAATAACGATCAGAAATTTCTACGTAATCATAATAAAAAACAAATTAATATCCAAAACAACCTGATTTATTATGAAAAAATATATTAGTATGAACACGTAAATTATATCAATCTTCATAATTTGGTATTTGAATAGGCGATTAAGATTAAATTTATTCGATATTTATCTTTTCAATCTCTTTAAGAATTTCATCTACGTTTTTGACTTTATTATTTTTTGGATAAGTTTATGAATTATAAAAATCAATAATTTACTTTTTCTTCTCTAGTTTCAGTTAGTTCAAATCTAACATTAATTTACTGAATAACGAAGTTAAATGAGAAATTAAACCATTTCCTTTGATATTTGACAAAGATTTTTCATCAAATGCTTGCGATTTTTTCAAAGACATTTAAGCTAATTGTGTAATTTCTTCTAATGGTTTAATTTCTCGAACTAAAAAGAAAACCACTAAAATAATATATATAAGAGGAGCTGCAATGCAGGCGGCTAAATATCTTTCATTAAATTCCTTATCATAAGTATAAAACTCCTCTTCCTAGTCTTGCAGTTATTTTTCGAGCAAAGTATATGGATATACACTAATATGATAATAAAGCTTACATAATAATTATAAAGTTTAGTCTAATTATCGATATAGAGTGGATGGTATCATTTATCATTCCTTTATAGATTTTATAAGGATTTTCAGAATTTCCATCCTATTCCAACTTAAAATCATGAACTTTTATTGAATCAGAATTTTCGATTAATTCTTTTATGATGTTTATTGTGAAATTAGAAGTCTGTAAACTTTAATATACAATGCTTCCATCATTGTTTGATATAATAATTGTATAATTAAGCAAATCGCTCGTGGCAAACAACATAAATAAATCTTTGAAGTTTTATGGTAGTCTTTCAATAAATACATTACCAATAGTTTAATTGATAGAATTCTTAATTGGATAAATAGATCTTTGAACAAAGTTTTATAGAACATCATCAAAAACAAATTCTGAAGTTTCTTTATGTTGAAGATCAATATTTTTCCTATAATTCCTAAATTGTTCAATATCTGTAACATTAATTCCAGGGTATTGAACCATCAAACCATTTTCAAAAATCCAGAAAAATGAGCAGGTTAAAGTTACATAATTGTATTTCATTAAGTAATTCGTACTTAGATAATATGAAAGTTCACTGTAAGATAAATTCGTCTAATTTAAAAACATGTAAGTTGAATAACTCTAAGTTGCATAATCAATAATCGAAGCATATTAATAGAATTTAGCATATTCATCCAAATCTTAATCCATTGAAATAAGTTGATCTTCATTCCATTATATTACTCTTTATTAAAAAACTTCATTCATGACTTAAGCAAATTAAATTTCATTCATTAAAGTAACTTAGCATAAGGTAATGAACTGTTCAGAAACTTATTGAATTTGTTCTTATTGCAATTTGGCAAAATTATTCTTCGACCAATCTTAAATAATATTTTTAAATATATCTTAGCCGAGAAATCTAATACCAAAAAACACTCCAAGTGAGACTGTTGCTATAATTAATTATGTTATGATGACTTGCATTTTGAAAGTCCATTTGCTTGAAATTGGAATAAAAAACACATAACCTATTTTTTAGCTAGTTAAAAAATTTCCAAATCCAATATATCCCTTAAGTTTCTCTAAGCATGTTTCTTTGATTTCCTTCTTTTTATGCTCATCTTTCAACAAAGGCTACTGTTCTTAAAATGAAGGATTTTCAGGTTCAATTTTATCATTTTCATTCTCCTCATCCAGTTAATTCTCAGATTCATTCGCTTCAGAAGAGGAATCGCTTTGGAATAATTCTTATTCATTTCTTTCCGATAACATTGCTTCATCTTAATTATTAGAAGATAACATTTAATTAAATATATACAAATTAATTTGATAAATTATTATGTTATTTAATAATTCATTTATTCTTAATCTAAGTTTTTATTCATTATTAAATTTCTAGAGATTTGAATTTTTAGCATCTAGATGAATCAAAGATTTTAATACAAAATTTCTAAAAACCAATGCATTTTTCTAGAAGTTTTAAGCTAAGCAATTTAAAAAGGGAATGTGTTTATAATCCACATCATTTGCAATAATTAATTAATCAATCATATAGAAATATTTAGAGCACGAAATCATAATTTCAGTTTATATTGAGAAAATTATTGTTGATCACTTAAAAAAATACTTAGTGATATTTTCCTCTATTTAAATTTCTAAAAGTCCTCTTAGTTTTATAAAGAATCTAAATAATAATATTATGTTATCTTTCCATTCAACAAATAAACTATATTTACAAGAGCTTTTTTAGATTGATAATTTAATGGGTGAAGAAGATGATTATTTATTTCATTCATAAATAAAATCCTTTTTCAATTGATTATTGGATTTTAAAGATAAATTCAGTATTTAGAATTGCTTATGATGATATTTATAATCTATTTCTTAGTAATTAATTTAATATATTTAACAATTAAAATCTGGATGACTTAGGTTACCTAAGACCCACGTTAATAATATTTGGGTATCTCTAAAATTGATTATTTTAAGACAAAGCTTAAGATATAAATTAAGAGCAAATCTAATAGCAGAGACAACTAATCACAATAATAAGTGTTAATGATAAAGACGCCAGAGACATAATTTACTATTTGTAGGATCGATAGAGCATTGATTTATCAAAAGTTTCTAATTGGAAAAAATTCAAAAACTTTTTATGGGGTTTACCTAAAGTTTCCAACCCAAATTCATCTTTTCGAATATTTTGGGAATTGATAAGTATGATTTTCATATTCGTACAAATGATCCAAATACCTTTAGTTTTAACATATTCAGTAGAACTCAGCGAAGGATTTTTAGCTTTTAATTAATTTATGGATGTATTCTTTTATATTGATATGATATTGAATTTTAAATTAGCATATTATCATAGGTATCTTAATTTTGATTCTATAACTATGTTAGAGGGGAAATCATTTTTGATAGGAAACTGATCGCAATTAATTATTTGAAATTATGGTTTTGGTTAGATTTCTTAGCAGTCCTGCCATACGATTAAATGTTTAGTGTAGAGGATTCTCAAACTTAATTATTTAAAATAGTAAGATTGTTCAAATTCATTAAAATAATAAGACTATTAAGGGTTTTAAAAATCAGTAAAATATTGCAAAAGCTGGAAGGTAACATTTATAAGAATTATTCCATAGAGTCATTTACATTAGCATAAACCTTTCAGGCTATGATTTAATTTTTAAAGATTGCTTGTATGATTTTGAGTATAGCCCATTGGATAGCTTGTATTTGGAACATCATAGAATATACGGACGAGTAAGTTAGTATTACATGGATGTAAAAATATGGGATAGCAGATGCAGATTGGGGAATCAAATACATCTCAGCATTCTATTTTAGTGTAACAACAATGATTACAGTTGGATATGGAGATATCAATGCAAATACTCAAACAGAAATGATATTTGCAGTTTTCGCAATGGTTTTGGCTTCAGCGATTTTCGGTTACAGTATGTCCAGTTTCATGCAAATTATAGAGGGGGAAGATGAGAAGATTTAACAATAGAGAATTTAGAATTCTAAAATTGTGAGGTTTCATTTTATATAATCCAACTAGATATATCAGATAAAAAAGTATACCAAAAGAATTGTAGAGTAGAGTGAAAAACTATTTGGAATGGCTGGCTGGTTCTGCTTAAATTGCAAGAAATTATGAGTAATATGTATTGAAGAGTTTATCTGCAAATCTTAAAACTGAAATTGTTTGTTTATTGAATGGAAGAATATTACATAAAGTTTAATTATTTAGCAAAGAGTTTACTCCATAATTAATCAATAAACTTGTTTACGTTTTAAATGAATAAATCTTGGGACCAGAAGAATATGTTTTTAAAGAGAATTCCTTAGATAACGACAAAGTATATTTTATTCAAAATGGATAAATTAATATTTGTCTTACTTAAAGGGAAACCCTTGTTAAAACACTATAGAAAGGAGAATATTTTGGGGAAATTGGATTCTTTGGTAGAAAGCCAAGAAATGCTTCTGCAAAAACTGTAGATTTTGTAAATGTTATGAGTTTAAAAAGATCAGATTTGTGGGAGGCTGCTAAACCTCTTGAAAGTGATTTATTAAAATTATACTTTATGAAAGACTGCTTAGAAGTTGAGAATAATTTTAAACCATTAAAGCTGAGATGTTACATATGTGATCGACCTCATCACATAGCAAGAAATTGCACTGTTTTTCATTACAGAGCCAGTCGAAAAAATATAATATTTGAATACTTCAGCCATTAAAATAGTAGAATGAGATTATTTTAAAGAAAGTCCAAACGTCAAAAAATAAATATAAATTAAATTTAAGAATAAATTCAAAAATATTAAATCAACCAAAATCGAAATGAAAAGTAATAAAAAAACATCACAAATAATTATATTATCGAAGATGTTAAAATTGCTTGTGATATTGATCATTTGAAAGAATACTCTGATTTTTATAACGAATTTAATATTACTAATGTTGCATAAAATATCAACTTTTATGCAAATTTTATACTACTTCAAATGGAAGAAGAAAAAAAAAAATTAAAAGCATAAATGAGATAAAATTAAAAAAGATTAAAAAATCAAACCTTAGCACCAAGATAATCAAAAATTACTTTAGGAAATATCGAAAATCTCGTAAATTTATAAGATAACTACTTATCTTTGTCATCTAAAAGCTCAATTAATTGTATTGAAAGATCAAAAAGTAAATCAAAAAGACTCCTCGATTTGCAATCTCAAAAGCAGTAATGGATTTATTTATTTTAGTATGACCAGAAGATCTTTTACAAATAGTATCCCAAAATATTTTGAACAATTCTATAAATAACCTTCATTTATTGAAAGGTCTAAAATAACAAAACATAAAAGAATCTCATCTCTCTCGAGATTTGATTCAAATTAAAGGGCTGAACTCAATATTTTTAGAAAAGAAACTTTTATGAATAAGTTAATTCCAGAACTTCTACTGAATTTTAATTTAAAGCAGCCATAATTTTAATATTGACTGATTTTACTTTAATTTTGTGCTCTCTTTATTTAATATCTTGTTGTTAAGAAATTTTATAAATATAAAATATTATATGTTTTTCTCTGAATAAATGAAATTTAGAATAGGATAAAATTGTTTTTATTTAATAATCGAATTATAGCTTTTAGATGAAAGGATATCTCAAATAATCTAACTATGATAAAGATTATGTTTTATCAACATTCTATTCTTATATAATTGCTTTGAAAAATTGCTTTGAATTTTTGTTAACCAATGTATATGTATAAAATTTTTCAAATAGGATTATCATCATTGAATGAATAAAAATATTAATAATTACAATAAAATTTTTTAATGGAAAATAAGAAAAAAATATTATGTTTACATGGAAATGGCGCCAACAAAGAGTTTCACTCTTATTAATTAAGATAATTTGAGAAAGAATTTAATAATTATGAGTTTGTCTCTTTAGATGGTCCAATATCAATTACTAGAAATGTTCATGTTTCATAAGTTGTAGTCCCCTAAAATTTTGCTAAAATGATAGAAAATAAACCATTATTCACATGGGGGAACTTTTTAAAGTTGGATAGAAACAATATTGATGGAGGTATTTTAATATAAGACGAATCTTAGTTTTTTAGGAGTCATTAGATTACGTAATTAAAGTACTCAAAGAATAAGGTCCCTTTTATGGAGTTCTAGGATTTTCTTAAGGAACTGCAGTAGCAGCTAGATTGGCTACATTATTGGAGCATAAATAAATTAATTTAGGCTATGAATTGAATTGTTTTATATTTTGTTCTGGGTCGATGGTGAACTTGCCAGATAACAGATTGATTTTCTGCAAAATTCCTTCTATTCACTTTATTGGAGTTAATGATTTCTTATATGATAGGTAAAGAGTGCATAATATATTAAGATCGCTTGGATTATCAACTCAGTTTTTAAACCCTTTAGTGATTTTTCATGATCAAGGACACAAAGTTCCGTTTTTAAGTCGGCAACAAATCCAATTATTAAAACAATTTTTTAACAAAGAAAAAAAGGATTGGCAATTATAAATATTTGTTCCAAAATTATGATTAATCTAAAAATTTTAATATTGCTTATAATGTATTGTAAATAAATCTTCATTTGTAATGGTTTGTCCATGCAAATCTTTGAGTAGATTCATCAACTGTTCCTTATTTGATTCTCATTGAAAACACATGCTTTGGTTTGCCAGTTAGGTAGATTTTTGCCTATTGTTTAGAATTGATATAAGCATTTGGTAACCAATCTATGTTCTAAACAGTTTACTTTATAATTTACATCAAAAATAGCAGGTTTTAAGGGTATTTCAAGATACTAATTATGATAATATAAAACAGGTGTTTAGTATTAGAAGAATAAATCAAATAGCTATAATTATGTTTAAATAAATACAGAAATATATTTTTAGGCCTTAACCAAATTTTCCACATTGATGGGTTTTCTTCTAATTTGGAAGTATACGTAACCATAAAATCTAAAGAAAATGCCTGGTGGAGTGTATGTTCCTGTCTTTTCAATTTCAGATAGTACATCATTTACATTTACAAAAATGCTTTGCAATATTCTAATCTATTGAAGTATTGGAGTACCTTTCAGCTTCAAAAGCATGTGTGATTCTTTCATTTATCAATGCTTTTTTAATTGGGTGTTTAATAATTTCATTCTCATCTTTCATAATCATATCCTCTTCTGGCTTCTCCCATTCTTCAGGATCAACTTCAAACCATTTCAAGTCTCCATAAATTGTATAATCAGCCTATAATAGAATAAGGAGAAATAAATACAAGCATCTTCTCACTTGTTGGATCTCCTCTATACCTAAGCATTCTGTCATTAACATCTGAAAACATGGTTATGATTTCTTCCTTTTTTTATTCTTCATTTTCTATTGATTTTTATCTCAAATTGTCAATAGTTTCATTTGATATGGTAGTCTATTTTGCTTTTGCCTCTAAATTTTTTGTTTTTTGAGAATTTTAATAAGCAACATATCCACCAGTACCCAAACCAACAATTCCGAAAAATGCTGCAAAAATTTTCACAAGCTCAGTGTTTGAAGAACCTTGCTATGGTACCTAACTAAAATAGCCTCTAGGTGTTTTATTCAGTGAGTTTGTGAGTACTAAAATTATTCACTTAGATTATTAATACCTTGTTAACTCACTTTAGATATTCTACCATAAGACATTAACCTGTGAATCATTTATCACCACTTAAATAATCACAATTAAAAAAAATATTAATTATAAGATTTGAAGGCTTTAAAGATTTATATGCCAAAAAATTACAATTTTATTTTATTATAACAAAATTTTATATTTTTGTATTATGTATAATTATTATAGTAATTAGTTAATAATTTCTATAATTATCAAAAGCACTTATTGAAAAAACAAAATCCACCACTCTTCTCCTTCTTATCATTTTCTTTGATTGGTTTCTATGTGGAAAAATAAAAATAATATAATTACTTTTCCTTTGTTTAATCCGTTCGTATATGATACTCTAGACTTAATGGACATGTCTTATTATTCTTATTATGAGCACATGGTTGTAGTCACTGATGTTTAAGGTTATTATTAATTATCAGAATTTTATAGATTATTTTTACACACTAAAGTGAATGTTTGACTTCCAGTTTCAAATAAGATTTATTCATAATCCAAACCTAAGTGACATTTATATCTAGCTAATACTTGGCAGATCATCTTTGGGTTGCCCAGACTTTTTTGAAATTTTTAAGGCGTAATCACTTGCCTTTTTCGCCTTAAAGTTTACTCCTAAAGATTATTTAAATTAAAAATTACCTAATTCCTTTTAGAATTATTACGAAGTGAATGTTATAGCGTCTTCGACTGTGAAAATGTTGGGTAATTCACAAACAATTTATACATACTTTTCGTTTTACAATGTAAAAAATGCGTATTTTTTATTATATAGCATTTATTATTCCTAACCTTTCAAGCTGAAAATTACTTATTGCATTTAGGGGTCATTTTTTGCGAGCTTCATATTATTTAAATGATCTAATTTAGATATTTAATTACTTATATTTTCTATATAAATATATAATTCATATCACTAATGCTAAAATATTTAATATTAATTATATTATCTATTTCAGTTTCATGGCTGATCAATAAAAATAACAATAATGGACAGGTCGTAAAATAATTACGTCAGACAATGTTACTAAAGGTATATATAATGTGCTATAGAACATCAGGTATCGTGAAGAAATTAAATGAGAAAACCGGATAATATGAAACTATGAAGGTTGAAATCCCCAAATTAACTGTAGCCTAGCAAATTGAAAACACTAAGATGGAAATTAATCAAGGTATATCATTTTAATTATTTTAAAGCAAATGAGATCTCAAAAAAATTATATTAATAATACAATACGCTGAAAGAATAAGTAACAAGTTTAAGGCAACTTGTAGATGAAAAAGCTAAGCAATATAAAAAGGAATAAGAAGAAAGAGAAAAAAATTTAAGGAAAATGATTAAAACTAAGGATTTAGAAATCAATATCGCTTAAATGACTGAAGAATAAGTTAAAGACAGACTAAATGAACTTGAATAAGAACTGAAAAGTGCTTCAAAGTTCAACGAAATATTGGCAAAAGAGAAGGAAGTAGCCAAAAAAGAGAATGAAGCAATCGAAATGACCAAAAATATTGAATTGTTACAAGCTAAATTAGAAGATAAGAAAACAGAATTAAAAATGATAAAAAAGGAAAACGTACAACATTAACGACAAAGTCAAGCCAATTAGAAAAAACTAGAGAAAATTGAAAATGGAACAGACGAAGCTGCATAGATTAATTAATTAAATAAAGAATTATGCATGCTTAGAGAAAAAGAAAATAAAATAAATGACAAGAAAAACAAGTTCTAAAAAAACATTGATTTAATCCAATAATCCATAGAATTTTATTCAGAAAAAATTGAAGAACTCAATGATGAAAAAATAAAGGCTTTACAAGAACTTTATAAGAAAGCAAAAACGAATTGGGAGGAAAAAGATTAATAGCTAAACGAAGAAAAGTTAAAATCAAATAAGGATCTCGTTAAGGAATTAAAAGAAAAGAAAGATAAAAAAGAAAAAGAAAAGGCTAAGGAGAAAAAAGAAAAAGGTGATGAAGAAGACAAATCCAATAAGTTTAAGAGAATTAGCGATTATATTAAAGAGAAAAAAGATGTTAGCATTTTAAAAGCCGATGAATAAAATTTCATTTAATTATTTTAATTAAAAGCTGATTTGTAGAAATAAAAACATAAAAAATAGAAAAAGTTTGAATAGGAGAAAGATTAATTAGAGAGTTCAATAAATAATTTAAAACTAGAGAGAGTTAATATTTAGAATGCTATAAAAGAAAGAGAAAGGGAAAAGGAAATGGCAGAGACTAAAATGGTTGAGGAGAAGGAAAAATTAGATTAGTTAAAATTATAGAAGAAAAATGAGCTTGAAAAAAAGGAGAAAGAGAAATTAGAAAAACTTAAAAGTAACTAACGATCATAATTATCACCACTTAGAGCCAAGCAATAAAAGGATGTTATCACAAAAGATAAAGTGAGAAAAGAGAAGAATGAGTAATTAAAATAATTTAAAGAAAAATATTCAAAGTTGCCAAAAGAAAAACAATAATAATTTTTGCAAGAACCATTTAAACTTTCTTATCAAGAATTAGAAGAGAAAAAAAAGCGATAATAATAAAAATAAGGGGATAAAGAAGAGAAAGATAAAGTAGAAGTTAAAGCCTTGAGTATTATTGAAACTGTTTGCAGAACTAAACATAGAGGATCTAGGAGGGACTGGTTTGGATATGAACCAAATGAATAAACTGTTTAATGTGATGATGTGCACATTTTAGGATAGTTTTCCATCAATCATAGAATTAAGAAAATAATTATATATCATAATCCAAATGAAGGGTTAATTTATTTATTGTGGACAGAATACAGAAAAGAGGATGGCACACTTATTAGCGGAACTTGGAATGTAAAATATGTTAAGTATTTTTTAGATCAATTAAGAGTTATTAGAAAAAAACAAGGATATAAAGAGAGATGAATTAGACTTGCAGGACAAAGATAAAATAAAATAAATAATTATTAGAAGAGATAACAATTTTGTATCCTTTTTATAATTTAATACTAAATAAGGATAGCAGTTCAAAGTTGGGAAGGAAGTGATGTAATAATATTGAAATATTTTAAGTGAAAAATAGGAAGAAGAGAAACCAAAAGAGAAAAGTGATGAGCAGTAAGATAAGAAAGATGGTGAGGGATAAGAGAAAAAGGAAGACCCTGACAAAAGAGATCTTAAGATTGATAATTTCTCTGTTCTCTTTACTTTATTTAGTGGATATTCTTAGAGAAATGAGAAAGAATTAGCAATGAGTTACTTTGGTTATGAAATAGGAAGAAAACTAACTGCAGAAGAATATAACTAGTATTTATAAGAGAAACAAAAGAGATTAGAGGAAAAAGAGAAAAGGCAGAGATTGAGAAAATTAGAAGAGAGTATGGCTAGTGATTTGAATAGAAGCTAAATCAGAAAGAAATGAAAATCATCATTATATTAAAAATATATAAATAATATCACATATATTTTTATATATATAAATGGATGTAAATTTGAAATGAAAATTAAATCTTTTTTATAAAATATAGAGAAAAATGGCAAATTAGGTTGAATTCAAATAGCTCGGATACTTAAAAGGTCACGGTGATTGGGTTACCACTATCATTACCAATTAAGACCCAACTTTGCCTGATATTGTCATCTCAGGTTCAAGAGACAAATCCATTCTTGTTTGGAAATTATTCAAACAACCCGATGGTGATTTGGCTGGTCAACCAAGAAAACAATTGAAGGGACACTCACATTTCGTAAGTGACTTAGTGTTGTCAAATGACAATAAGTATTTGTTATCAGCCTCTTGGGACAAGGAATTAAGATTCTGGGATTTGGTTAATGGAACATGCACAAACAGATTTGTTGGAAACAAGAAGGAAATCTTCACATGTGCCATGAGTCCAGACAATAGATAAATTCTTTGTGGTGGAGCTGAAAGAAGATTCAAATTGTACAATGTTAAGGCTGAAGAAAAGCTTACCTAATAAACCCATTTACACTCTGATTGGATCAGTTCTGTTAGATATTCACCAATCATCAAAAATATTCAACCATATTTTGTTACAGTTGGTTGGGACGGTTGGCTCAAAGTCTGGAATTAAAACTTCACAATCAGATTCTAATTCAAGGCTCATGATTCCTAAATCAACAGTGTTGCAATCAACCCATCTGGTGAATACATTGCAACAGGAGGTAAGGATAAGAAATTGTACATTTGGAACATTACGGATTTGAAGAAACCAGCCTTTGAATATGATGCAGGAGGTATCATTAACTAAGTAAATAATTTATTAAATTATTAGCTTGCTTTCCATCCATAATAAAATTGGATTGTTGCTGCCACAGAAAATGGTATCAAAGTTTGGTAAATTTCACAAGAAGAAAAGGCTGAAACCAAGACACCAATTGTTACATTAGATCACCACACTGAAAGTACAAATTGTAATTTAATCATTTAGCTTTGGTTGCTGGAGGAGTGAAGAAGATTTAAAAGCACGGTGCAGTTTCTGTTGCCCTTGATGCCAATGGTGCCAAGCTCTATGGAGGATTCACTGATGGATCAATCTTAGTTTGGGAAGTATCAACCAAGAATTGAAAAAATTATGTACATTACATCAATTCCAATAACCATACACTATAGGCATAACAGTGAAAAAAGTTAAAAGCTTTTTTAATACGACTGCCTATTAAATTAGGAGGAAGGAGTGCTTAGTGAAATGAGTATTGGAATTTCAATAAAAACAACAATATATATATAGTATTTTCCTTTGAAGCTATTTTTGAACTCATTAATTGAGTTAAAAAAAATAGATCATCTAAATTCCTTATAATTCAATCCAGAAATCAACAAAAGGGCAAGTTTTCGAAACCTTGCTAAAATTATAGATTTATAATTTGTATATATGATAATATCTCTAAATTTATCAAATAATATCTCAAATTTCATGTCTTAATTTTGACTAATCAAATTTCAGTCTAGGAGCAATATTCATTGAAATTAATTCCTAAATTAATGTCTTTGCTGCATATGGCATTAAGACTTAATAAATTTAATTTTGTTGATTTGTATTCTTACAAATGTTACAATAAAACTCTTGATTCTCTAAATTAGCAACTGCAAATAATCCACATTTTGAGCATACATGTACTCTGAATGCATCTGATACATCATAAGTTCTCTCTTTTAAAAATTTAGCAGTTCCTAAGCAATATTTAAATATTATACCATGTGAAATGATGCAGTCCCTTTCCATTTCTCCAAATCTCAAACCTCCCTTTCGACTTCTACCATGGGTAGGTTGTCTTGTAATTCCTGTAACAGGTCCTCTAGAACGAGCGTACATTTTGTCATCCACTAAATGTCTCAATCTTTAATAGTATGTTGGACCAACAAATATTGGAATTTAAAACATATTGCCAGAATAAGGGTTAGTCATTACTTCATTACCCCATTTTTACCATCCTACCTCATGTAATTTATTTGCTATATCATTAACTGAAATTTATGCAAATGGAGTGGCATCATTAAACTGCCCTTTGATTGATGCTAATTTGGATGATAAACATTCAATTAGATGTCCTAATTTTATTAAAAAAAATAATTATACCAATAGTCATTCTTGATGGAATACAATGTGGATTAATCGTTAAATCAGGGGATATACCCAAAAGAGTGAATGGTAAATCTTCTTGTCTATAAGTCATTCCGCATGTTCCTTTTTATCCATGCCTACTGCAAAACTTATCTCCAATTTAAGGGATTCTCAATGATCTAACTTTTACTTTCACTAACTTATATCCCTTTTAGTTTTCACTGATTAACACTGAGTCGACTACTCCTCTTTCTGCTCTTCTTGTTAGTAATGAGCATTCTTTTGTATTTTTTTGTCCATTAGCAGCATTCAACATGATATTATCAATAATTAATTCTTTTCCAATAATTGGCTCTTCTTCATCTACCTTAGTTCCTGGGGGCACAATTCCATCACTGTCCAACTTAATAAAAAGTTTGCCTGCGTAATTGTCCCCAAGTGGTTTTGTAATTTTTGTCTCTGTGAAATTGTCAGGGTCTTTGTCCTCAGATTCTTTATAAGTTCTATAAAAGACTGATCTAAAGAATCCTCTATCTATAGCATATTAATTAATAATAATAGAATCTTCTTAATTATATCCTGTAAAACAAGCTATTGATGTTACACAGTTAATTCCTATAGGTACTTCATTTACTGTGATGAAATCAACTGCCTTTGAGGATGCTAATGGCTTTTAAGGATAATGCAGAATATGAACCAAAGTGTCAAATCTAATATTAAAATTAGTTGAATTTAACCCCATAGCTTGTTTACCCATGGCACTTTGTAAAGTATTTCTAGGTCCTTGATTATGATTGGCAAATGGAATAACAGAAGCGCAAACTCCAAACATCATACATGGATGAATTTCACAATGTGTATATCTCTTAAAATTTTAAGTTCCTCTTGTCATTATGTTAAGATCCATTGCAATTAAAGATCCTTCCTCTTCCTCAACATCCAGTAATTCAACACATTTATTTTACAGCAATTATTCCCAATCTGTAAATGAGTTAAGTTAATTTTTCTTTAATTTTAATTTATTATCTTAAACAATAAATAATGGCCTCATACATCTTCCAGCGTCTGTATAGATTCTGATTTCTTTATTTACATAATCGAAATTAATTGATACTTCAATAGGGATAAAGCTTTCTTCTGCTGATCTTAAATTTTTAAATTCTTAAATAAATTATTCTGGGTTTCTTGTAAATCCAATCCAATTACCATCCACTAATACTTTGGTCATTTTAGGAATATCTTGAGCCTAAAAATCTCCTTGCAATAATTGAAAATCAAAAACATCTTATTTCAAAACCATTATTAATTTCAATAATGTTTCTTTGTCTTTTTGTTATAAATCATTTGAAACAGCTGTCATTAATGATAAGTTTTTGACAATACCAATTTTTTATCCTTCAGGTGTTTCAGCAGGGCAAATAAAACCAAAATGAGTATTATGAAGTTATCTCGGCTTACTCAATTTCATTTGCGGATTTATTGGAGCATTCATTCTTCTTAAATGGCTTAGAGTTGCGAATAAGGATGTTTCTCTTTTTAAGGTTTAAGCAACACCTGTTTTTACTACTTATCCTTCTTTGCTTCTACCCCAATTACCCGTGGCTAGCGCATTATCTATATCTTTTGATATTTGCTCCCCATCAAAAAATGATTTGATATCATCTGGTTGTCTCATATTCTCTATTCTTGTTTATTGACCTTTGCCTCTCCTGCCTCCATTTATGTACTTTTCTAGGGCTTTTTTAGCATTTTATTTAAAAGATTCGAAAGAAGTCTTAAAAACTCCCATCATCATAGCACCGGCCATATCTAATCTCTTTTTACCATAATGATCTCTATCATCTTAATCTGTTTTTCCTAAGGAAGCATTCAATAATCGATGTACGATATATCCAATGAAATATGCTTTTCTGTCTCTACTTTCAGATGACACACCAATATGAGGTAAAATATTTTTATTTATTAATTTCTTTGCTTCTTATATTAAAGTTTCTGGATCTTGATTTTCAGCCTTCTTTATTTTATTTCCTATCCATCTCAAGCACAATTCCTCATCTTCATATTCACCTCCTTCTTATAATGACCCGTATAGCATTTCTAACATAGGCCCCATTTATTCATCTTCTAAATTGTACACTATTCTTTCTAAAATCTCCTAATCACTACTAATCCCCAAAGCTCTAAAAAGAGTGAACAAAGGTATTCCTTATGTGGAATTAAATTATTTCACGCTGCATCTTATAACAGGAGTATTTTAGATGTATCTCAGCTCAACTTTGAAATTATTGGGATTTGACCATAAATCTGGCTGAGATCTTATTTCTGCCACCCACGGCTTATTTACTATTTTACTTTTAAACACCAAAACAACATTATTAGCTATTCTCTCCTAAGCCACTATGACCTTCTCTGATCCTCTTAAAATAAAGTATCCGCCTTAATCAAATCCGCATTCACCACTTTAAATTCTTTATTAAATTTATTCAGGGTCCTTAGGATCTTTTGGTAAAGAACAAAATCGACTTCGAACCATAATTGGGAGTTTAAAGAATGGCAATCCTTTGAATGTTTACTTGCTCTTTTCTTCTATTGAACCATCGCGTTTATTTCTCTACTACATGGTAACTTCCAAGTCGATTTTTAGCTATCTTGAATAGGTCAAATCTCTTAATCTTGCAATCATTGGAAATATTTCCTCCTCGAATTTGTCAATGTGGATATTCTTCTTCCCCATAAAGCATCTTTATATCTAGAATTAATATAGGTATTCAGTTTATGCTAAAAAATAAGTATTTTTAATACCATCCATTCTTTCCTCCTCTTTATATTAAGGCTTCACTCTTACCACAAAAGTTCCTTCATGGCCTCTTACATACTTAATGATATTTTCTACAAAGCTTTCATACGAATTAATTTGCTAAGACACTAATCCGTGAGTTTAAAAAAACATATGAAGTACTTTCCAAATGTCATCATTATCCAATTTTTAATTTTCATCCTCATCTTCTTCTTGGATTGAGTCGTCGGAAAACAGTCTTTGATCTTCTTCCTCAACTTAAGACATTTGAGGTAATTTTTTAGTTAAAAAAATTATATAAAAAAAATAAGGTCAAGTATTAAATAAAAATATCAGATTTGAGTTGACTTAAATTTTTGAATAAATTTAAAATCATCTAAACGAGTTAGCATGAAAGAATTATGAGTGTTCAAATAGTATTAGATAAAAATTGTAAAATATTTATGAAATCAGAGTTGCTGTTCTTTTTTTAGAGTTTTTTCAATTCTCAAAATTGTATTTGATAATCATCAAATTACAAAAAATCTAATGTGGAAACATTTTATTTTCTCTCAACCACCTATTTAGTAGATTTCATGGCACAACATAAATTGGGGTGAAGAAAAATTTTGATTGGCTTGTTTGATGGGGATTAAAAAGATCAATCCTATCTTTATTAATGAACTAAAAAATTTAGTCCCTTGAAATAATTTTATAATTTTTTGGAAATAAACACTCAGGGTTTTTGTGAAAAATTAAAGAAGAAACGATAAAGATAATTAAGAAAGACTTTACTTAATAATTAACAATCAAACTAGGCTATGAATTATAAGATTAATTACTGGTATTTGATGAAAGAATTTAGATTCAATCCACTAAATGTTAGAAAATGATCAATTTTCAGTTTTTCCAGCATACAATTAATGAATTAATTACAAATTTAAGTAATTTGTCGATTTCTGCATATTTTTCAATCACGACTCTATCTTTCAACCATTAAACAGAAAAAAGTTTATATTTTAATAAAATTAAATTATTGTATCGTACTTTTTTGAATCATAAAGCGATGATTTATATACGTTTTTTGCTTCAGTTAAATATTTAGATGAAAAAATTTTCACTACAATATTAGCAATATTACAAAAGGATAAATTAATGACTTTCTAGAATTTCTTTCAAAATATGTACATTAAAGGAATGTAGGATAATATATATTGAAAATAGCTTAAAGAAAATTGTTAGTTTTATCAATAAAATTCAAGAAATATCTTTTTTTTTCTAGATTATTCAGATATCATAAAATATAGAGAAGCTTTAATTCAGAAAATATCAGATGAAAAAAAGATTATTCAGTTTTAAGTATTTCTAGTTAAACTTACAGCTTTCGATGTTAGATTTAATGTGGATCATTTAATATATTAGTTGCAAATTTAAGTGGATCAAAATTCAAAAATGTAAATACTAGTGGAATTAACTTAAATTCTGCTTGGTTATTTAATTGCTAATGGAAAAACCTAAACATAAATGAACTACTTATATTTAATAAATTCAAAGATCAAATAGAATCGGTTTTTTTCTCCCCCAATGGTAATAAGTTTGCTTTTTGTAGTAAAGAGGAAAAAGTAGTACTTTATTAAAGGATGTTAAGACTGGATAATAAAAATCCAAATTAGATGGTCATTCATCATATGTTACTTCAATTTTACTCTCCTGATGGTGCTACACCAGCATCTGGTAGTAGGGATCACTCCATCCGTTTATGGAATGTATAGGCAGAAAAATAAATTAATTAAGAAGCTTTAACTAGAATAGATTTCTAATAAATTTAAATGGCTCTATATCTCGTTCTGTGCCATACAGCAATTTAATATAGCTTTTAGAGAATTTTTAAATTTACTAAAGAATAAGAAATTTATTTAATCAAATCACAAAAAAAAGCTTTTAGGTAACTAAAAAAAATTTTTTTCTTCGGCATCATTTGGGGCTTACGCCCCAAATGATGCCGAAGTCAAGGGGCCTCCGGCCCCTGCTTCGAAGGGTGGGTGGGGCGAAATAAATGAGATGAGGAGGAAAGAGAAAGTTACAAAAAATAATTATACTTGACATAGGAAGCAGGGGTACATAGGGGGTAGCCAAACCCCCTATGCCACCAGAGGTAAAAGGAAGAATACAAGTAGAGGAAAAAAGAGAGAAGATGAGGAGTAATAATTGGAAGGATGAGGACAAATTTTTAAGAGAGAGAGAGAGAGATGAGAAATTTTGTTTTAAATAAAATAATTAATTATTTTATATCAAGCTGTAACATTAGAACTTTTAAGAGAAAATATAACATT